GCAAAAATAACTCTTTTTGTTTATTACTGATGATTACAAATTCTTTTAGATACTGAAATTATGCAAATATGCTGTGGTTATAATGCTATTTATGGTGGTGGTCTATGCATAATACACAATTAAATTTTGCGAATTTTTATTCAAAAGACGTTAAATTATTTATAATTTAACTTAAAAAATCAGACTAAAAACCCTGAACATAAAGATAAGCATATAAGTAAAACTATAACTGTCTCCGTACTGATACATTAAATATTTTTGAGAATCAGAAAACAATAGGACCCTATTCTACATTAATATCTTATAGTTAGTAATATGAATGTTTACCTTCTTTGACTAATTCCGCAAATTCGTCGGGGTTCCATATTTTGTCACCTTGGCACATGACTAAGTCGATCGCAATAGTCAATAACACCACACATTTTAAGGACGCGCTCAACATCTTTGATGTCTAAACTGCAATGTCTCAGTCAACTCCGACAGGGGCAGGTAAACTACAATCTTATACAGTAAATTAGCCTTTTAAAGTCGCTAATGTGTTACTATAAAGCTTACACGGCACGATGCCTTCAGGCAAAGATTTCAACCAGTGGTGTATCTCAAGTTTAATTTTGTTCTTTTCTTGTTTGAGAATACCGTAAGTATCAAGCTGAAAGAATTAAAAATTAATATGTACTACAATACAGCGGTTTATATAGCCACTATATATAATATAATACTACCTAGTGTTCATACTGTATCTGTTGCATTCGTACATCTCATTTTTTTTATAGTCCCATGCTTCCTCATTAAAGTAATCCTGCCATGTCGCTGTGTATCTAAACGGGTTTCGGAGAATTTTGAACAAGATCCTTTTAGTTATTCTTAGAACAAGAATACTCTAGAGTGAATCATGGAGAAAGTACGATACATGATGATAGTGATTCAAAAACAAACCTGGAGGATATGTAACAAAATATACGTTTCCTTGAAAGAAGTTATTTTTACACAGTGCAAAGGTCAACTAATTTTATTTAGTATTTATACTTACTTTGCATAAATTTTGAAAATCCAGTAACGATCACAGTAATACTACTACATACTAAACAAGTTTAGCAAGATTAAAACTACAATTCGGAAAACAAATTAATTGAAAAACGCACATTTTTTTTAATAATAGAATAGAATAAATATTTGAAAGTTGGTGGTGATGTATAAATGTCATTAAAAAATTGTCTATGATGTCATATGTTCTAGTTGAGACACCCTGTATATATTTTTCAAATTTTGTACAATTGTGTTATACGAGTAAGCATAAATCCGTAAAAACCGTTGAGAGATCAATATTTAAATTGGGTAAATATTATATTTCATTCAACTTATTGGTTTAAATTAATTGGGCAAGATATTCACAGGGAGATAAGAGCTGTAGATATATTTACATCTGTAAATAAAAAGACAACAGTTCGTGGTAAATCTCTTAGAAATAATGTCGTTTCAGAGCGTAGTTTTCATTTCTGCATTTGTCCTTTTATTTTTTCAAGAGTCCTGTTTCCAAAGACTAATCTACCCAGATGAATTCGAAAAAATAAAGAGTAGTGAGTACATAGTATAAATTTTACAGTTGAAGATAACTTGAAACACGTTTTTAGAAGACGAATTATCACAAGACTATCGAACTGAGTATCAAGGAAATGCGACAATAGAGAATAGGTACCTATTCCGTGTTAGGTGTAAACCTGGATTTATACCAGTTCGGGGAAGGTGTAAGGAAATCGTTTAGTTGCTTGTCAGCACGTACATCTATGTAATATCGTTAATTTATATCTATTTAAAATAAACATAGTTTCCAATTAGATCAATATATTATTAAGGTTGGTTATTAACACTCACTGTATCTATGACTATAAAACGAAATAATTTTTTATTTGTATTGAAAGCAATTCAAGAGAAAATATAGCATTTTATCGTATTTTTCAATGGAAAAATACTTCTGATATTATCAAAAAGTAATATCTTGTATCGACTATGCTCAAATTACGTTAGAAGTATGGCTGGTTGCATAAAAATGAACGTAATCTTTAAATTTGTCTCATTTATTAAATTTCTTTAGCAAAGAATTTAGTTGTGGCGGGTACTACCCCTACGCTCTATTTTTGTGTTCCATTATTCCATAATTAATAGACCGTCAGCCCGCTGCAAAAAAAACCGTATGATTTCTCCACGTATGCCCATCAAGGTATCGTTAATTTAGCGCATGCTGACCAATGAAAAAGCACAATTAGCCGGTAACCGTGAAACATGCACCGGTAAAGGTAATTGTTAATTGCAAAAAAAATCGCGTTTTACAATTATATTTACACGTATGCCGAGCATACTAAACGGTATTTTAGCAACAACAATTAAGTGGAAAACGTTCGGCATACGGGCAGAGTGGAACCGAATGGTCGGGTGACGCCCTTAAAAGTGTAAATAAATATATCATCTATTTTGTAAATGATAGTATGCCTATTCGAAATTCAATGGTTTTTGGCATAAAGTGCACAATTTCCAAAGGGCATACGGTTCCCGAAGGTCTAACTAATTTCCTACGGTTACCGGTTAATTGTACTTTTTCATTGATCAGCATACGCTTTATAGTTTACAGCTTATCAATACTTTAACACATTAATATTTATTGTGACAAATTGTTTTGTTTTGGATAGGAAAATAAGATTCATGTAATTGATGCACGGTTATAATGTTATTCAAACATTTGTGTTTCTTCCATGATTATTTCCTCTAGCGTATGTTTCAGATTTTCTTCTCTTTTAACTTTAGAGATCTCCCAAGAGCGCCGACTAAAACAATAACGTATTAATAATATGTATTTATAAAGTACTTTGATTGCTTTTGGATGTAGCAGTAGGTTCTTAACGTTAATTCTCATTTTCCGTGATTGTGACTTAAATTGTTCTAATGCGGTTTAAAAAGAGGATTTTTAAAAATAATTTACCAATTGGGCTAGACATGGTTGCCACAAACACCAATAACTCGAAGCCAATAAACAACATATAAAAGAAATTCATTGCTGCTTAGAGAATGATTATTTCTAGAACTTTTAATAGATACATATAATAATTATTTGTATATGGGCACGACAGTTCTTATCCTTAATTCATGTGGGAGTTAGTTAAATGACCTGTTTTTTATTACTGATTGTTTTTAGTTTATAACTTTTCAATATCGGATTTCTATATTTGAAGGTCACATCAAGAGATTCCTTGGTACCTATATTCCTCAGTACAATTTGTGAAAGGTTTTCGTTTTATGAAAGCATTTAAGCTTGTTTTTTTTGTTACTAATATTAACCAACCCAGAAATTTTGTAACCTAATTAATATGTTAAATCTGCCAGGATTATTAAATAAAAGGCATGTAAGATGAACAATTTATTCGAACATGTGTGTTTTTTCAATGATTAATCTCCCTTAGGGGCATTAACATTAATCTTCCTGCAACTTTTCTTGTTCTCCTTTTCCTTGTATTATAGTATGTATAAAACCAATAACGTATTGGTAATTTATAAATTAAATTATTATGTTTTTATCATCTTTTACAGCTATGCACACTGTTAACTGTTATATGTTACTTATCCTCCATTATTTAGAAACTTTTCGTTGTTATAATATAGTTTGAATAAACGTGAAACCAAAACAGGAAAAAAGAAAAAAATAATTGCTTAGAGTCTTAGAAAATGCTTGTTCCTAGAACCTGTATGTATAATGATTATTTATGTTATAATTATGATTACAGTTAAATTTTTAGTATTACTGATTGTTTTAAGTTAATAATTTATTCATACCGTATTTTTGTTTTAAGAGACCCTTTGGTATATTCCTTAGTACAATTTGTTAAAGGTTTTTGTTTTATGACAGCATTTAAGTTTTTTATGCAATAATGAAAATAGCGTTTATTTTGGGCGAACCGAAAATTCCGAAATTTTTTTTTTTTATTAATTAAATTACAGTACTGAATAACATATTATCTTAAGTTGACTGATTTATTTTATTTACCATTTCATTACTAAACTTCCGTATTTCATTCGAGTACACCATCGTTCACTAAAATTATTAAACTTGAAGATAGAAAAACGACGTCTTTTATTAAAATAATGTGTCGACCATACGTCAGTCCCACAACCCAACGTTGAATAAAAAAATTATTGCTCAATACAAGAAATTATTATTATATAAGCCCTAATCGAACAACAAAATCTTCTTACGGCTCTTTATTCACTATAAATTTGAGGCAATTTTTAAATAAAGTTTTCCAAATTCACCTTAACTATGCAAATGGTGATTGACAGAAATTCGGTAATCAAGAAAGCTGATGATGTCGAGAAAACAGTTGAACTGCCATGACAATAAAACAAAAGCTACAAAATGTTATGACGAGTAAGTGTTTGGAAGGAAAACCTTTAATTTAATTTAGTTATTCGTAATATCTGCTTTGGCATAGTGTCAATTATTATTATTAAGGATCTAAGAAACTCCAGACTGAAAAATTCCCAAATCTCGTGGATTTTTCTTTTGAGATCAGCAACTGTCCTTTGCTTAATGTTCTACAAGGACTTTTTCATATGGTGTAATAATGCTTCAATAACGTTTAGGTTGGGACAAACTTGTTTGCATAGTAAAATGTTCAAATATGTAAGTACCTACTAATTGTTTGATACATTAAAAATATTAAAACATATTTGATTGCTTTATTTTCGATACTAACAATCTTGGGTGGATGGAGAAAATTTATTTATAAATTCCTTAAAATAATACTATGGAAACCGATTTAATGGTCTGTACCAATATGAATAAAAACAATAACTATAATTCTGTATAACTAGATTATATTCTTAATTTGCTATTCCCACATATTTGACTTTGCTTTGCAAAATATAGTCTATATGTAATATTTGAAAGAAAATTTTGTATTATACCCGTACTAACATACTTTTTGATAATGCATAAGACATTAAATACCAAGATGAGGGCAATATGTTTTCTAGTAATTTTTAGTATAACATTTGTAAACGGCGATATCGACGATGAAGAAACCTGGCAATATGAAATGCTCAAAATGCCGGATTTAAGAGCTATGTGTGAACAGTTCCAAGACGAAACTAATGTTGGTACAAGATGTAAAGAACAGCTAAGTATTGTGTGTGGAAACATAACACTTCTTCTGGCAAGTAAGCAATAAAAATTAAATGTTGTTACTCTGAACAGATTTTCTGTTTATGTTTGGTTAATGGAAATGACGGCTCGAGGATCTAGAAATCGGGAGGTCAATTTCAAGTTAACATAGTTCAAATTGCCCTATATGGAAGCTGGTATAATAATTTAACAGTCCCTCAGCCTTCGTTTTATTGCAGTGTCGGATGCGTCGTCAAAATTCCCATTCACGGGCCTAGGATACGCCTCGAAAACGGATTTGGGCAATTTCGATCAATGTTTGTCAATAGATCACAGTTACGAAGGCGGTCGAATTCTGGGGGAGCACTGTATGGAAGGTTTAGTAGTTCCCGATCCATCTGACAACATATCTGACGCAAACGTGAGTTCTCGCTAAGCAAATTGCTGTGATGAAGTGCACGGAACTCGAAATTTTGTTTTAGACGTATTATACGCTGTCAGTGTGCCGACCAGATGGCTGCAATGCCAGAGACTATAACGAAATTGTTGAACCACTGCTTGACGCGAAATTGACGGAGCTTTTCCTAGACAATTGGTGTCAAAAAGCAGTACCTAATAAAGCCTTCGATGTTACGGAGATCGTTACACTGCAAGTCTTATATTTTCTCATAGAAAATTGTAAAGTGTCACTCGATGTCTGCAATATTTGACTGGATTCTATTTGCAGGATGCCAAAAAAATACGGCATCAAATCTCGGGAGGTGATAGTACTAATCAATGCTTCTTAAAGGAGTTCTTTGACGAAGCCTATGGTGATATTGAAAAAAACTTATCTACCACTGTTTCTTAAAAAAATGTAATTATTCTTTCTTCTATTCCCTTTAAAAAGAATAGCAACTTGCTTAAGAAGTTTTATAAGGCATTTTTTTATTAGCATTATCACCTCCCGGTATCAAGTGAACTCCATCTTTTTGCCAAATTAAGAATAATGATAGCTCAGTAACACTAATATTTTTAAAATTAATTGGTACCTTTTACTTTCAGGACAATTTTTGCAATAATAACATGGCTAATTGTTATATCAACGATATATGACGTCTATATATACAAAAGTAACAACAGTAAGTGTTTGAAATTCGTTAGTTGTACATATATAGTTTTTCTTATATTGCCCACTTTTTCAAATTTTTAGATCATAAAAAATGCATTATGCTTTTGAATAGCAAGTAGATTAGTTCTGTTTGGAAGAATCAGTTATATCTAGATTTTTCTCATTACAGAAAATCAAAAAGGATTCAAGATTCTTCACAGCAAAGCATTTATTTAAATATTTTTTGTATTATGCTGAAAAGCCACACTCGACGTTTTATGAAAGTTTTAGTGATATTCCTGTATTTAAAATAGCTAATATTTTTAGTTTAAGATATTTTGAGCCGTATATAAATACTTTTTAGAAAACAATCATCCCTTACTTATTGCATTTTCCTTACTCTCGAACGGTAGAAAATTGTTACACATCTCCAAAAATTCCACATCAAAAGAACACATCGAAATACTTAACGGATTAAGGGTAATCAGTATGATGTGGATCATAGCTGGTCATGGATTTATGTCATGGGCAAAGGTTCCTGTTGTGAATATAGAGGACTGGGGAGAGAGTGTGAGTTAAATTTTTGCCCAGGGATTCATTTTATTTTATTTGCACTGAAACCAGTTTACTTACAGTGATTTATTTCAGTGGACGAAACACTTATACGCGGGGTATATCCTTACGGCACCGCTAGCAGTAGATACATTTTTTTATATGTCAGGTTTTTTGGTGGCCTTTAAGTACTTACAACGTAAAGAGAAGTCATTATTAAGTCAATTGTTATCCATACCACAAATGTATTTACATCGCTTTTTAAGGTAATTCTCTCGAATAATTAATTACACAATTTAATACCGTACCGGTTTCTTAACGATAGGTATATGTAAATATAATTATTTGACCTTAGACTTACTCCGGCATTGCTTATGGTATATTTGGTGATCATCTCATTATTTCACCGGCTTGGAAGTGGACCTTTATGGGAGAAAAATAAAGATTATGCTAAAACTTGTAGAGATAATTGGTCGGCAGTGTTTCTTTATATCCAGAATTACTACAATTATAAAAATGTAGTAAGAAATCTTTTTCTCGACACTAAATTGAACCATTATCGATCGGAGGCACTTCTGACTATATTCACACGTATTACTTTTTTAGTGTTTACCCCAGACATGGTTCTTGTCAGCTGTTATGCAATTGTTCTTAATATCGCCGTTAGTATTAATTCCCTTATCTCTAACTTTACGAAAACCCTTAGGATTTAAGAAGGCTATGGTAGGGTTGACGATTTTAAATATTGTTTCTACTTTTACACCCATGGTCCATAAGCTCTATGTTCTAGATTACAGAAAGTAAGTATTAGTAGTAATTTTACGAAAGTTAAAAATATTTACCAACATTTTCTGAAACAGAGGAATAGCTTTTTTTACCTCTTTTAGTGAATACGATTCCCATTCAAGACTTATTGATTATTTTATGGGCGTGATGTTGGCGGTTTTTATGAGAGAAAATATGGATAAATCTTTTCTATATATGGTCAGGGAACAACGTAAACCTGTACCTATGTGTATTCAATTTTAAGTTAACATATTTATTTAATTTTATCTAATTTCAGGTCATAAATCTTGTGATATGGATATTAATTATACTCGCAATGTTAGCGACGGTGATGTGTTATCAATTATTAGTGGAAATGCAGGAAAACTACAAAATAACAGTAACCATTCTGTCTTTGATGAGACCCATGTGGAGTTTTGGACTGAGTTGGATAATTTATTCTTCCTATCATGGATATGGAGGTAAATATGCTTATGATAAAGTAAAATGTGACTTTGAAGACTTACCTTACTGACCTAATATCCAAGAAACACACATTAAACTAAATCACTTTTACTAGACATCTAAAACTGCTTAAAGCCATCTATCAAAGAAATTTGATTATAAAATTATTTCTAGGTTTTGTCAACTGGATTTTGCGTAGACCGATATTCCAAATTCTAGGAAGACTCACTTATAGTATTTATCTCGTACATCAGTCGGTAATTGATTACAACGTTATAACAACAAGAGCCCCTTGGTATTTTACAGACTACAATGCTGTAAGTATCTTCAATAGCCATTACACACATAATCCTTTAATGTTTTTCATCTTTCGCCATACTATATATACACACCGATAGATATTAACGATATATTTTTGTATTGATATTATTTATACTTTTTCAGTTTTATTTATTTTGCGGGCACTACATAGTATCAGTAAACATTGCAATATTTTGGACATTAGCTTTTGAAATACCCTTCATTGCATTAGAGAAATATATAGAGAAAACATACAGTTCCATCTTAGAACGTAAGTGTATTGACGTAACTAACTTATTATATTTTATAGCAACGTTTTTTTTTAGGCAAATCGACACAAAGAGATAGTAATGAAGAAAAACAACTGCAAAGTATCTCTCTAAATGGGACTGGTGAAGACTTAGTTAAAAAATGTACAAACTCAGAAGGACTGTATACGACGAGCAATGAATTTCTCGGAATTAATGTACCGAATTAATATTGTTTTCTGAAATAGATAATAAAAATATTTACGTAGTCTTCTTATTTGTTGGAAGTAAACTCAATATTACCTTCCAATATCTCAATATATCAATCGTAAAGATGATCAGTTTCAAATATTAAACGGAAGCAAGCTATTTTATCCGATATTATCCTGATTTTCTCAGATTTTTCCTAGACATAAATTATCAGGAGCCATTTAAAATTCATCGAAAATTCCCAAATATGAAAGCTCCCAAAATTTAAATAAAAATATTTACCATACAGGTAGGTAATTTACATTTGCTCATAATTATTATGACAACATAACGTGTCACTAACATATTTTATTTTAAATATTAATAAAGGAAAAAACAACGAAATCATAAATATCTATATTTGCAGTAGACATAACAGTTCCGGTATTCGATTTCCTTAATCTTCGGGGTTAGAAAGTTTCCTTATGGATTTGCTCAGTGCTTGGATGTTCAACAACATTTTCGTGAGTGCGTCATCCAGGTTAGAACTTTCGGGCACAGATGATTCTACTATAAATACATTTTTTATTGATAAAATGGGGTGCAAACGAGAGCAACGTTATATAAATATTCTTATTAACAATATTTATATAAAATATACTTACATACTGCCGTAGAATCTGTCAGTTCTTTACCATCTTGCCCATGCCCACTTTCCACTAGAAGTAAAAAGACAAAAATAAAGAAGAGATAAACAATCCTCATCTTTTCCGCTGACATTACCCGCGATATTAACTTTCACGTACTATCTTGTACAAGAAATATAACGATGCTTTTATAAATAAAATTTCATTTATATACTTATGAGGAAGAAACGGACCATATATTTTCAATTTATTTTGATTTCAAAACCCATTACGCGCTATATTAAAAAAATAAATAAAAATCTATTTTTCTTGAGCCATTAAAATTTTATTATATTTCCAATGTTCTATATACCAAGTCGAATTTTTCAATTAGTTAAAAAGCAAAAAATCATAGCATTATATCTTGTTTATTGTTTCGTCGTTTTTTATAGCTTTGAATTAAAAATGGTGTTCATATTATATTAATTAGTTCATGCGTTTCAGCTGTAATTTTTAAATGTCGATGTGGGTAGTGGCTGATTATATGTACATATATCTTTTTACGTTTCGTTACATACATTTGTAACTTTCATTGTTTAATAGTTTTTGAAATTTATATTTAGATTCCTATAGGAAAATTTATTGGGAAATTTCAAATTTATTTAATTATCACCAAATTTTATAGTAAAAATTATTAAGAACAGAAATATTTTAGTTAAATTTAGTCGTATTGTTTCTTACATGATATAGGTATATCAAGTACATGGAATATTCAAATTGCATATATTAACAGCTTTTTGACCGTAGTAGTATACTTATGTACAATATCATGTTGTAATTCCGGTGTTTTTCATTTTAATATAATCTGTAAGATAATTTCGATATTTGAGAAATACCAAATACTTTCCGATATGTCTAATACTCTGAGGATGCAAATTAAATTTTTTGTTAAATTCTGTAAAAATATTGTATTTATTTTCAACTATTATCATAGAAGAGAATTAATTAACTACTTTAGAACTAATTTACAAAAATAATAATTGAAGTTTTATTCTATTTTTTTTTCTGATAGACTGTAATTTGTATTTTGTTTAGAAAAGTGAACACTTTATCTTCGAATATTGTATCATATTTAAATGTCCACAAGAAAGGCATAGGTATTTTAGATTTAATTATTAGGTTATAGTTCTCTGAACGGAACATCTTTTGCCAATAAAAATTGTAAATTATATGTACACGGTGTCTCAAAGTCGATAGTATGGACACAGACAATACAGCTTCGCCCCAAACCGCTACTGGAATAGGACAATAGTTTTAGATTTCCGAATTGCCGTGTACTCTACACCACCAGCAGAATTTTAGGAAGAATCAAATGCAGCGGCCCGCATTCCTCCTACGTGTATCCTAGCAACATATAAACAACACTTTGGCAATGTTGGCAGGCGTACCTACTTACGGATTTAATTTGTACACTTTTTTATCAATATCTGTTTTTTGCGTTACTGTATTTACTTATATGTATACTTAATGTAGGAATTGATAAAAATGTTTTAAAAAATCAACGAATATCTATGTATGTAGTTTTATATGATATTCTGCAGCGGTGTCACAGTTAGGTTATTTAATCATAATTTCGTTAATTAGCTACTATTTTCATTTTTTGGTATTGATATACTGCAGAATATAAAATATATTTCCAAATAAACCAAATTCGTAATGATATTTTAAACACCTTGTAATATAATTTTTTTAATATTTAATGATGATAAATTTATTTATTATACAAAGTGGGCTATTAGTACGTCGCGGAATGCAGTTACATGTTTTTTTTTTTGTATTTTGACATCCACTTATAGGTTTAATAATTAAATATAGAAAAAAACTTTAAATACAAATGTAATTTTTTTTCCTGTTAAAAAGCCCTCTTTTTTTCTAATATACTTTTATTAGAGAAATTTTTCTGTCTATGTCTGGACCAAGTAATTTCTATTTTTAATTTTCCTCTTGTTTGAAACGTGGTTAAAATTTAAAAATATAAACTTTTAAGTTAAAGCCTTTTATATTAGGTATTTTATATTTTTATTTCTCTATCATATTACATGTTCTTGTATTCATAGGGGATCCTAGAACTACCACCAAGATTTACCGCCTCCGCCACCACCACCACCACCACCACCACCGCCATTCGATGTCTTAGTTGTTTTCTTCTTCACCGAATCAGAAAGCTTCTTTACCTCACAATTTACTGTAATGAAAACAGTACTGGTTACAATTTATACATGTATTTTTTTAATAAATATTAAATATTTTCTAAAAATGTTTCGTATCTTTAAAAGTTGTATCTATACGTATACGTACCGTTGCTCCTACCCTTCTTTTTACCTGCAGCTACTTGATCAGAAACTAAAAATAAGAGGAAAATGACACAAAGTAAATACGGAAACGAGATTTTCATTACAGACTCGATTCGAAGTTCGCAGCAGTTGAAGTGCTTGCAGCATACATTATGTCTAGAAATAAAATGTAAATATTAATTAATCACAAATTGGTAAAAAATTATTTCATTGTATATTAAAAATTCAATATCTAGATTGTTTTTATGTAGGTATATATGGTATTTTGGTCCACCTCCAGAGCAATTATATTGTTAAGAAATTATACGTGGTTGTTATATGCAATATTTTTATAGCTTAAAACAATTGTGTAGCTATCGTGAATTATTATAATTTTATTGACGAAACGCCATAATTTTATAGATCTAATTTCATGTTCTTATCGTTAATTAAAAAAGAAAGGAAAATTTTCATGATGTATTCATTTTTTCTTATCAGTATCTTACCAACAATTTTAAATTGATATTTTAAATTTACGTGGCGACATGATTTATGTTATCTACACGGTTTAGAAAAGATTGTTATTACATATCTCCAGTACTATCAATACAGAATTTTGTACATGTTCCTCAATGGTAAAGTCCCATCATTCTCGAAAATAAAGGCAAGTGGACTCAGACGCTTATTCGTTTTTATTATTTTTTTTTTAAATGAATATAGTCTGGCGAAAATTTGAAAATAATTGAATGAAAACGTGGTTTGGATATTTTAAGAACATTTGTTTATATAATATACATATTATATAAGCACTAATATATATACTTAATAAATGATAAAAATATTTTTGTTTTCGAAATGTTTGTAATTTTCTATAAATTCTTGGTCAGTTTTGGTTTTGCATAAAGTACCTCCTGCTCGAAGAGGCTGATACACTGAAAAATTCTGTGTAAAATTACACACTAGTCCTTTGATTTACTTTAATTAGATAAGCATGTAATTTTGCACCTTTTGAGGTGGAATCTTTGAACCATTTCGGGAGCAACAACCAACCACTTCCTGAGAACATTAAACTGAAAACAAAATATAGTGTACCTACCAATCTACCTTAGTAAAAACACATAAAGGATTAGGGATAATACATTTTAAAATGTGAAAGTACAACTTAAAATGAAAATATACATTCAAACGTGTAATTCTACACAATTCATTCACAATTTTCGTTTACAGAAACCAGTACAGGTATTTAAAAATCCTATCCACAATTTTTATCTGTGTCGGGATAAAATCATGTTGATTAAATAATAAATTTTCATCATTTGATAGTAGTTGCTATAGATATAAATTTACAAACATTCTTGAACTACTGTTACTATAATGTTCGAATTTTTTACATTTAGTAGGTATTCTATATACTTTAAAAAAGAATAGTAAATTCTTAATGCACAAATATTCATTATTCTAGCGATGTTAATAAAACACACTTTTAATGATATAACTTCATTTCTGATATTTTGAAACAATACAATGAATTTCAGTTATTTATTAATTAATTTCCTTGGGCGGGTACAAATTTTGGAGGATCGGGTGATCGCTTTCTTGCCGTTTTGGGATCAGGATAGAAGCCACCATCTTGCACTAGAAAATAGACATGACATTAAACAAAAATGTAAAATACAGCAAGAGCCAGGGGTACAAGCTATTTGGGAGAAAACCAAAATATTTTTCATAGACTAACTGTGAAGGACTGTAATTACTATACAGGGTGTCCCCCAGTTTGATTGCGAAATTCCTGCAGTGCCATGGTCAAAATTAAAATAAAAAGTTCTAACAGTGGAAATATCTGTACCAAATGTGGTTTTCGGTTATCGATTACACATATTTATGCAGAACTTAGGAAAAAGTGTTTTGCTTACGTTGTTCATTGGAAAATGACTGCCCTTGAAAGATTTTGCTAAAGAACGCAGTTTCGTAGCAAAACTGGATAATATACTGTCAAGTATAATACATTTAAAAAGTTATGGTGTTCACTTTCACATACAAATAAATTAATAGTAAAATATAAATGTAGTAAATATCCTGTCTTTTTAATTATCTTTTGTGAATAATTGTAACTCATAAATAAATACAAAATTATATTTTTTTTTAGATCAGACTGTAACATAGCTACTTACTAACGTAAGCTGGCTGTATCTGATGCATCGGTACGTTATGTTCTTCCAAAATCTTCATCTTGTCCACATTTGAGCATTGCATGTTCTTGCATTTCCTATTCGGTAATAAGAAAGTTCCCAGTATGTCATCCCCAATTTTCTGGGCGCTGGAACCCATTTCTTTCGCTGTATTCAAAATGGTATCGAAAATGGCAGAATGTACCACATTGACAACTGAGAGACCAACAAATACAAGAAAAACTAGCCCCGCGAGTTTCATTTTACCGAAATGTTTGATCTCGCCAAGTGTCGAAGCGAACTGAATCTGGAAGTGTTGCAGCTTTATATAAGTTCATCATTTTAGAACAATAATGGTTTAAGTATTAAAATATGAATTGATAATAAAAATGTTAGTGTACACTATAAAATCAAACTTAATAAATGTAGGTATTAAATATATTATTACTGTAATGTAATAACATACCTAAAAATTCAAAAATAGGTTTAGTTCAGGTGCTATAAAAAAAAATTCGTAATTTTAAATGTATTTATTTGGTGTAATTTACCCAAATAATAATAAAGCAACCGTGAAATAAAGTTATGGTAAAAAATATCAAGTTCCATCATTTAACAAACTTATTTTAAGAGAACATTAGGATTAGGACATAACAAAAAGTCACGAAAACATTGTTTTATTGTGACTCCTTAATAAAAATTCAAATACAGCATGCACTACACTTATGGAGTAGACTGTTTTTGACAAAAACATTATTCTGTTGCTTAATAAATCAGGTAACAGTTTCCCTTTGCATCCGCTCTGTGGCCCTCTGGACAGTTGGCGCCAGTGTTTATCAGTCTTCTAGAATCCGCGTTGTTGGTAGACGCGTTTTTGTTGGTTTGACTCCCACCATGGAGTATAAGACTTCTCACTGTTGAAGATGCTTCATCTGTTTACAAAATAATTCGTGTTTTAGAAAACGCTTTTCAAAAGCAATATTTCAAGCGAAGGTGTGCCAGGTTTAAAAATAACTTAAGTATACATTTCGTTTTTATCTATCGACTGCAATTTATCCATAAAAATTTTCCGAAATTCCCTATTTTATTTTTTTTAAATTTACATAAAACGGTGATCCTGTTCAGCTTCGCAGGGCATTATATTTTAAAAACATCCTGAATATTTTATAACAAATTCAAATATACCTGGCAAAGCCAAAACCCCAAATAAAAAAATATACGTAAGACACGAATATTCAAACATTTTTATGTAATCAGTTATTGATTTAAGCTGATGGTGCATCACTTGAAATAACACAAACTTACTATTTCTGTTTCTGGAGATCTCTTGCTGACTAGGTCCAACCTGATTTCTTTTCACATCACAGGGATCGCTGCCGTGTTCGTGATGATGTATCGAGTTTGTTGTACCGTGGAGATGACATCTTGTGTTGGCTATAGCTTTTTTTATACCATCAATTATAACCCCTGACTGAACTTCACTAACAATCATAAAAAGAACCAACCCCACAATTGTTAACGACTTAACGTAATTTTTGAACATTTTTTTAGCTTCAGACTTAATTATGTCGGAGATTCTCAACACGTTATCTACATGTGCTCTTCTTATACGTTTACATATTTTGAAATAATGTTTATCATTCATAATTATCAGTTCTTAGAAAGCAATTTTTATACTCGCGTAATGGTGATCTTTACCCTTATTCTTGATTGATAGAAATCATTTCTTGTGTACTCATTTCATTTTATGATAAATCAGCTGGGCAATATTTAAAAAAATGTACACAAAGTATACCAACAAAATTTTGAAAATTTTAAATGAAGCTAATTTTAATTACCTCCTAAACGTACATCTTATCTCTTTAGAAGAATTTTTATTTAACTACGTACCTACTCTCCATTACGTTAAATATATACCGTGCGTTTATTAATTACAATTTGTTTTATTTTTATGGTTATTTTTGGTCAATCTTCAACGTGCTCCAAAAATATTCTTTTAGATAATTTCTCATATTTTACCGTTTAAATAAAAAAAATCTAATATTTCTTAATGTATAATAAATAAATAAATAAATAAATAAATAAATAACAGCCAATTGTACAAAGTTGTCAATACTGAATTATGTAAATTATTATTCAGGATTTACTGTCTTGGGTGCGGTAACATTTTTTCCCATTTTGAGGTCTTGCATATCCTAGAGGACAGTTTACACCAACTTGTGTTACATTCCCTGTAAAAAAATATTTAATAATTGTTCATCTCATTACAAAGATAAAAAAGTGTCATATTTCTATAGAATGTTATATATATATAAATATATAGTGCGAGTTGGATCAAATTCGGTATACCAACATAAAATACTCTTGACACGTACATTAGTATTATAAATCGAATATTTTTTAATAAAATCACCACCAAATTTGAAATAATCGTTCATAGTCGTTACCAAGATAAATATATTGTTCTACAATGTTTATAATTTTAAAAACTGTGAATTAATCAATTAATTTGGTTTTAAAGTCGTATATTTGGCCATATTACACTAATTAGTTAAATAACGCGCATTTTAAAAAATTCAATTGGTTTCAGCTTGGTAATTTAAAAGTACTTTCTCTAACTTAATGTATTTTAAGAATGACTAGGAATATATATTTCAAATTTGGTAAGGATTCAAAAACAGCACTAAAAATAAGAGTTGCAATTTAAAGAAATATATAGATGTCGTTGTATCTCCTAGTTGAGAACCTTGTATTTTGATAACACTTGCATTTGATAGGTATATCGAATTTATTGCAAGTTAATCACTCAAGCTGTATGTAAGTATGTAGGGTAGTTCATTAAACTGTAGGTATTGAAAATACTACTTACTTTTTCTAATATTCCTTCTCCTGTTTGAAATCACCTTGACCTTAAGATGATCGTAACCACTGGACTTTAGTGATGATGGCTTCTTCCTATCGGTTTCCGCTTTTCCAACATAAACCCAATTGGTATTCTCTTCTACAAAATTTTCTTTGCCGGTCATAGCAGTCAAACGTTTTACAAGAATCGACTCCAGTTCGTTATGTTCATGATCACAATAAGTCTGTACGAATAAGGTGAACATAAATATAAATTTTACATCCATTTTTTTTGTTTGTTTTGTAATTTTCAGGGAGGTAAGCGATATACTACTGTAAGTTTAACGTTTGCTGAATATTTATACAGACGTACGGGAAGTTTCATTCTTTACTATCACAACCAAGAGGTGGTTTTTCTACAAACTGGATACGTACTATTAGCGCGAGTGCGGTCTTCAATACGGGAAAGAAAATGCACTCTCATGATTCATTATTTTTATTTAATATTAAGAAAAAAATCAAAATGAAGCAAAATAATTCAATAACAAAAACTCTCGGTATGTAAAAGATGATATTCCTAATTGTCCATATTGCGGGAAATAACTATTTTGTTGTGAGGTTACATATATTTTGCATAGGTACCTAGATTTCTGTAGATGGACATTTGATAGGATCCTTTAGGGGAATTAGCTTTGTACCTTTATAACGAAGTGGAAAAATTTTATATATGTATAGGTCAAAAATTTTGTAATTTTTAGTTTTAACCGTATTACATTTATGTTGTGTAACGTTTTCCTGTTCTGAATCACTGTCAAGTCTAAGGTGCTATAATCTAATCTTATCCAATGAAATGAATGATTATTCTTATCTTTACCACCGACCAAAATAAAAATGAATGGAACGTGATACGGAAAATATGTAGTTATTAGGTATTACACCAGTTTGCACTATCCCTATTAATAATTATAAAAAATTTAGTGTTCCATTATTCAGAAAATTGATTGGCTGAAAAGATTGATTTGAAATTCGACAATAATCTAATGTGTTCAAAATAAAGCAGAGAAACCATTAAATTATTTTGAATTGTAATAATGTTTTTCAATATTTATTTTTAAACAATGTAAGACATTGATGATATAAACTTGCTAATTTTAGTGCGCTAATAGTTGAGGAATATCTTAGTTTCATGTCTCATGAATACAACGTGACGCACATTTGTAGTTCCAAGGAAAAACTCTGTCCATCTTCGCAATTGTGCTTCGGTTTGATCAGCCTTCTACCCTTTGGTTTACGAATGGGAGAGGCAGCTTCTGCACTGATGATGTAAACAACATTATCATATACTACTCGTCCTCCGATGATACCATCAGTGTAAAACAACAGCAGAAGAACGTATAAAGAAAAACAACTGGCATTCATCGTATTTGAAAATAAATCAATAGAAAGTGAATTTATAGGTATATTTAGCCAAAGCGATTTGGATATACTAATTGGTAGCTGGGCTTCACCTTATCGCGTTGTGAGTTGTTAGATTACAATTTTAAAAAATTGCGATAACTAATGTAAACACCTTAATTTTAACAATGTAACTCGTTTCCTACACTTGCTGTTTATGAGTTGTTTAATGGGATATTTTCAATCAAGTCAATTAAATTTGTACATGATTTGCAATATGAAACTAATTTATAAACTGACAATAATTTGTCAGATTAAATATAACAATTAGGTAATTGATGTGACCGGCAACATCAGAGGAAATAAAATGCGCATTCTGCGGTCAAAGTACCTTACGACGATTTTCGTATGCAGAACCACAAAATTTCAATGCGGTCTATAATCTGTTTCTAAGGCATTTTCTTTATAAGCATTAAGCTATTTCCTATTTTCGTCACAAGGAATTTATTCGTATTCTACTTAAAAGCATGGAATTCAAAGAAATCTAATGAAAACTTGATACCTTCCTGTTAAACAAAAATTGACTAAAATGTTTATTAAAACTATTGTTACATAAAAAATGGATTGAAAGATTAATTATTAGTAACAATAATATTATTTTGTTGTTAATTTGACAAGGACACCCATAGGATCTTCAATCTTCAGTTTTAATTATTCTCTTCTCAATTACTGTTTAATGAAATACGGCAGAACATCAATAGGGGCAGAATAGTCCTGTAAGGTAATAGGTCCATCATAAACTGTTCCATCGTTACCGTCCTTCCACGAGCCTTGAGGCAAATAGATATCTCTTGAAGTGGCGCCTTCTAAAACTACTGGTGCCACCAAGATACTTTCACCAAGTAAAAATTCTGAAAATAGTTAAGATTTCATTTATACCTTACCCTTGCTTGACTGAAACTGTTTGTTGTCTTCAGGAAGAATAATATAATAAAAGTTTTGAATCCCATTTCTCATCTTACCGTCATCGCAAGCTAGAGCTGCTTCATCAAAAGGATCGACCCACCAAATTGGAGGGTTTACGGGGGTACCATCGGATATACTGGCCTCCATAGCTTTGATAATTTCATCGCCGTATGCGGCATGCAAGTCGACAAATTTTCTCACTATTTCAGTACCGTCGAACTTTAAGCATAAAAGGGAAAACATGTAAAATATGTGCATGGCACGTACCTATGTACTTACTTCTTCCGAAGGGTAGTCCCATGGAAGGTAACTGAATTGCAAAGCAGGCATAAAGGTATTGGCCTCTGTCCATCTGACAATGAGCTCTGCAGTCGGTTGTGCTTTGTAGCCGTTTCCAGCAACCATGTCGGGTAAAACCCTAAGTTAATTTTCTCAAATTACTGATACGTTCATTTTCTTTAATTTTATTATCTGGCCAAATAGAAGTTTATGTACAAAACATATGATGTTTCCCAAAAAAGTGTTCTATGCCATTGACAAATGGAGTGCAGAAAACAATAAATTTTGTACGTTTCCGGACCTATGTTTATATAAACGATTTTACATATTTTTACTTGAGCAAGGTTTTTTAATCTTACAATCAAAAAACAAGCAGGACTTACATGGTGTAACCATTCATGTTCATTTGCAGTAAAGTGGTAATGAGGGTATACAAGCCGTCATCATCCCCCCAGACCGAATCTTTGTCGATCATTCTAACAAATATAGGAATTTCCTGAGTTCTGAAAAATCATTAACAGTTCACAATCTGTGGTTAGGGAACATATTGACTGTTGGCCATAAAAAAAGATTTAGTATGACCTTAATACACCAAACAATTTTATTCGAAAAATATATATGTTATACACAAAAATTTTTGTATCTCCAACAGGCATATTGATTCAATTTTTTCATTTATCCTCACTAGATAATTTTACTCAGCTTGGCTTTATCTGATAATAGGTATTTCCAATTAAAAGTTCCTTATTTCCGTAGGTGTGATAAATTATCACAATACGTACGTACGATGTACGATTCGAAGTATCACCACCAACACATAAGGGTTCTGGGGAAATTTTGTACGTAGATATGCTATTTCTTGAAATTTTCTTTGATCAAAGCCATTGGAAAACCAATAGCGCAAAATGTTGACGTAGAAAATGTTAGATTAAGGGTTAGATTTAAGAGTAAGAACAATACCTTCACATTTCATTAATATTATTTTTATAAACTATATAAGCAAAAAAATAAGTTTACCTCCAAGCTGATCTAACTTCAATGAGGTCCCCAAATTCAGCAACAGTTTTCACGTAGTGAATGGTGAGGCAGTTGGGCACTTCTTCTGGGTCCATATTTTCATAAAGCGAGGGCTAAAATTATACAGAGTGTCCCAGAAATATGTACCAGCATTTTAGGTACAAATTTAGCTCATCAAAAGCAACTATTTTATAAAAAAAAAATATTTTTCTTAACAATAGTAAAAAAGCTATTTTTTCCGTGACGCTATAATTTCATTGAGGAAAGTTGTTCAGACGCACACACTGTATATTAAGTGACACGTATTAACTGTGTGCCAAGGAGTATGAATAACGATATTCAAAATTTCTAAAGAATTAATAATAATAAAGTAAAATTATAATTATTATATAAAATGTTTTCGTTACGGGAATGGCATAGTCAGTTTCCCCTGCATCAAACTTGAAACCATCCACCCCTGGATCCTCTTTAAGGACAGCGATCCTCGTTGAAAACCATTCCGCAGCCTCTGGATTTGTAAAGTCTATTTGATGGGCGTCATCGCTCTCCCACCATATAGCCCTTGTACTACCATTTTCATTTTTAACAAAATATCCTGCAAAAAAATAATACGTTGAAAGTATAAGTCTTGTGCGAGTGGTACGTTGATAAAAGAGGCATATTCCCTGTATACCTTTTTCAGTCCCAATGGAAGAATAGTCTTCACAATCATTGTTAACGAAAGGATTGATCCACAAGGCAACCCTAAAGCCCAAATCCTTGATGGTTTTAACCGTCTCTTTGATCTTTGCAAATTTATCAGCTTTAAACACGTGCGAACCGAAACAAGTCTGGAATAATTTAAAACATGTATCCTCAACTACATATTTTTTAAGGACTTACTTCCCAATCCTCATCAATTTCCACTTGCCCTCCTTTAAAGCCATGGCCGATTATATCGTTTGCAAATCCCAGCACAATGTCGTCGTTTATATCCCTCTTGAACTTAGCCCAAGTTGTCCAGATTGGTTCTTTTATCATTTTTTCGTTGGGGTGACCTAGGATGCAAACATTTTACTCTATTTTACTCGTATAAGCATTCCAGGATCATCTCTACCTTTCGGCTTGCCCAAATAATTATTTACCGCATGCAGATGAGCCAGTTTAGGATTACCTTTTATCCCTACCCTATACTGAAGAATTACCTAAAACGATACAATAGAAAACGGTATAGTTATTAAGTAGATTATATCGATAAAATTTAATGGGCGATTTTTTCACTGATTTTAAGATAAAATGATTATTATTGTACTGAAATTAAAGAAAAATATCACCTTTTGTAAAATATCTCCGAAGATGCAGATATTTTAACCTTTAATTGGGCATATAAAACCTATTTTAGAAAAGGTGATTTTTTTAATTTTAAAATATTTGATTAGCGAACCCATACTTATTTTCAATCAAAAATCACCCTTTTAAGGTTGTCGACGTACTTGATTAACACCTTGTATTATACACTTCTTACCCTCGTTCTTTTGATGTAAGGATTTTCCGCCTTGGCAATCAGACACAAGGTGCCATTGTTTTCATTGTTCTGATCGATAAAGAGCGGCACCTTGTCATCAATAAAAATGTACGCCCCTTTCGAATTCAACCAGTACCTCTCAGCTACGGCGAAATTATCGGTCTTCTTAATAACGTACGGATCGTTGCCATTTAACACTTGTTTTTCGATAGGCCATTTTTGGGTGTACCTTTGTGGACCACCGTACCAGTTAAAGGTTGACAGGTTGTAACAATCCTTAAATACCTCGGATGTGTCGTTTGTTTCCCATGTTATAAGGAATCCATCCGTTGGGTTGCTGGTGTCAAGTGTATATTTTACATTGCCCACTGTACAAGTGTCCCCATCACAGACCTGGTCAGTAAGGTCCCTGTTGGCTCCCAAAATTCCGTTCAGTTTTATTTCGTTTACTAAAACAGAGATTGTTTAAATCATTAAACCATTTTTTAGGCAGAGGAGCTTACGTAGTCTAAAAGTTATATTTCTACCAAGTCCACCATTTAAATAAGATGGCGACACAACATGTCCCACATTATCCTCTTGAGAATTTACACATATTCCAATAGACAGTACGATGTAGATGATACCTGAAACCATTGCAATTGATAGAATATTTCAACTTTAAAAGATATTCTAAAATTTTTATATTTGAAAGTGATTTACCAAGTCTAGATTCCATCTTGAACGATACTAACCATATTCTCAGTTTATTCGAATTTATTATAAAATATAGATTGTATCTTATCTTGTAATTTCAACCTCTGTAAATAGTTATGTTATCGTAACAAGAATTTTTAACAACTCTGTTAGTATTTTCAGTATACTAATTGAAAGACGGACAGTAAGATTTTTGCGAATGGAAATTATTGCAGAAAATTGTATAATGTTTCCTTTAAGTCCATATTTTTTCGATTTCCGACTAGGTGAATATTCTGCTCAATATTTAAAATATATAAAATAGAACGCTCATTTTTTCCGGAATGATAATATATTTTCACTTAAAATTATCAGTGCTCTTAAAATGACAAAATAAAACACTTAAAATTAGTACTACATATCAATAAAAATGTTTTTTTTTTATGATAAATTTTCTCTAATTTGTAATATTCCGTACTCGTCTACTAAATAGCTACTTTTATTTGAAATTAGAAAAATTCCTTTACGTGATACCTAATTTACATACAATACATATTCATATCCAAAATAATATTTAACAGTACTATATTCTATAATAATTATGAGTATTGCTTGTGCAAGTTTAAATTATTTATTGTTTAAATAAAATTTATGTACAATAATTTGTGGTATACATTTTTTTCGGTACCCCAAGACAATTTCTAGAAAATTTGTAAATTTTTACAATATTTTTTTCCTGTGTTTTCTACTCATTACAAGAACTTTATACTTATGTTAAATGTGAAATTAATTAAATTATGATTAACTACAACCTATTTATATGTATTTATATATATCTTTTTTTTATTGTTTGATTCTTAACACAGATTTAGCATTAATATTTGTATAGGATTCTTGTGGGTAATTTATTACTATACCGAACTATCTACGAAAAAATATAATGCATTAATTTTATTACTATCTTTTAATGACGTTATCGTTGATACATCGACCCTTTTTACACAGCAATTTTCTAATATTTCGTAAATTGCTGCACATAGTCCTTTAATATTAATTACTAATGTTAATTTTATCATTGCTGAATCGGCCAAACGTTGACCTTTGCAAAGTTCAATTTAAGACATTATTATAAATAAGATTTCGAAGGGTTCTATTTTACTATAGTTAAGTGTGCAAATAACTACTAAAGAATAACAGAAATGTCGTTGAAAACAGTTTTCTTGCTGGTTTGTTCCTTAGTAGCTGTAATAAAAGAAATATTTTTTAGTTGATTTTATTCTATTAACGCACTGTTTTCGTGTAGGTCAATTCTTTCGTATACCCAGAACCTGGTAGAAAATCACGGTCGGATGGGTCATTATTTCCGTTATCGGGATACGAAGTAAGTAAGACCTGTAATTTTTTTGTAAACAATAAACCTTGTATGTGTATTGTTCTTTTGCATATACATATAATGCAATTATTGTGAATTTATTTTGAAAATAAATAATAGGTGAACTCAAGAAGAAATAGCGAGTCTCATTCAAATGAACAAGGCCAATTCGGTCGAAGCCAAATAGAAAATGAAGAAGAGCCTATATTAGGAAGACAAAGTGGAACCCAGTCAAACCGAGGGCAAGATTATGATGAAAGAAGAGAAAGAATGAGAGGACAGAAATTGATGATAAAATATCCAGCATCGTCTTCATCGTCATCGTCTGAAGAAGATTTCAGTGACTCTCATGAAATTAGAAAAGTGGAGAAGCAGTATCATGTAAGTAACATATTTTTATGAGTTTTTTTAACTGATATCAAAACTGATTGATTTACATTTAATATTTTATTTATAGGATACAAATGGTTATAATGGTGGAAATAATCGTTATGAACCTGCTCAGACACAACAAAGGAGCTACAAGATGAACTTTGAAGCACCAGATCTCCAAAACGCAATAGATAAGGACATGTAGAAAAATATTTTTTCAATGTTATAAATTTGCATTATTCCTATATATTATGGTATTAAGTGTAGAATATAGTATTTGCACAATTCAAATTTATAAATGTATAACTGTTATACAAAATAAAAGAAACACAAACTACTTATTTCTTTTTCTTTGAAAGCACACAAATGGCAGATTACTCAGGTGTCTTCTGCTGTAGATAATACTACTGATGTCTTTTACTCTAAACCATAGTAAGATGACAATTCACAATAAAACTCACTAATATAATACATCTATTATACTTTTAGAAAAAAAGATGGAATTCGAAATTGAACATGTTTCTTACGGGAGTAAGATCAGTTTTAGAGAAATATTTTATAATGTTTATAATTATTATACATAATAAAAGAAACACAACTACTTATTTTTTTTTTGTTAAACATGGTCATTACATAGTTACAGAAAAAAATTATGTACAGTTTGTTGGAAAGTGTTTATTAAAAGAATAAATTTTACAAGTGTATAAGAAGTTTTAGAGAAACATTTTTTTCAAGTTTCTATGAGGGAGAAACTTGGCTCCTTATAAATTATAAGTACTATTGGTTTCGCCTCGAGTACCCAAAAGTATGTTTCTCATACCCTCCAACCATACGCATCTGTAGGTGCGAACCTTAAATCTGAAAAAAGAATCATGGAATATGGATGATTTCATTGGACATTATTTGAGAAAATTTACTAAAACAATCCTAATCAATTTTAAACGCTACAGACTCATGTTGTTATTATGTGTATAATTACATAAGAATATAATAATATAAATTTAATGATACTACTAGGAACTTTCAAAAGTTACATTCTAAAGACTATTTCACTCATGTTATGATTAATCAAATGGCATTTTTTGTTCATTTTGAGTCAATCGCGTCATTATTATACTGTTACAACCCGAGCATACTGAATTACTGAATTTTTATCGCGGTAAAACCATATGCGGTTTTATCGCGATAAAATTAACCTGTAGAACTTTGAAGGATTTTAAGATACAGTTGATTTTGTTCGTGAAATAGGTATTCTGATAATTATTGAAATTTTTTGCGTTTTTTCAAAAAGTAAATTCACTGTTAGTTGTACATGTATTTCTCTATCATTTAAGAATGAATCAAGTGAAAGAAAATAAATTAAATCTCGTCAAATTACTACGAAAAATTAAAACTCAAAAACAAATATACCGGTGTCTGTAAAATTCGACCAAAACAAATCCTATTAACTCCACTACTGTTTTATTAATTCTACTAAGAGAGCATTAAAATTTCTGTACCTACTTACCTATATTTCCATTAAATTCTTCTGGAGGAGTCTGCGTTGTTAGTACACTAGATTTTCCTGTGCAAGGGTCCACCTCATGTTCGTGATGTTTAACGAGCTCCTTCAGTTTATGAAAACCGCAGTGCACCTTGTCATATGCCACATTCAAACCATCTTTTACTGTATCCAATATTGCTCCACAGTGGACAGTGTTTATTGCAACTGTTACGCAAATAAATAAGACGATGCATTTAGAAGGCAACATTTTCTTCGATTTTACTCTTTAAACTGTATCGATAAATAACACAACACAAACATCAAATAATTTAAAGACAGTAAGATAAGCTATCGCATAGTTGTTTAGGGCATTGGCAATTTCAATTGGATAACCCAGTTATTATACCTACCTATCTCGTGTCTACAAAGTTTAGATGAATCTCTTTGATTTAAGATCGTTCGCTTTTTTGAAAACATGCTTGAATGTAACGATATCGATTTTTTTTGTTACCTACAGTACACATCTGATTTTCTAAAGGGTAGTCCGTAAAATAAAATCTTTTGAATGATTACTGTAAGATTTGTTTATCTCTATTTTATAAAATTATGTTTATTATATTTATCTATATATCTACATACATATATTTCTTGTAATCAAAATATAAATCCAAGCCGAGTATTTCGTTAGGAGGCTATCTTCGTCCATACTTCATCAGACACATTTGCAAGTCCGTGGAATAAAACTCATTTGCTCCACAATTATACCTAATATTAATTATATTTCTGCTTCCCTCAGAATTTACAGTTGTAGTTTCTTCACCTTCGTCGATTTGATAGAGCATATTACTACTAACAATATAGCCCAGTTCATATCCTTTTACAAGAAGTAAAATAACGAGAAAGAAAAATGTCCTCATTTCGTCGAAAGCAGCTATTAAATAAATCCTTGAAAAGTCCAAGAAAAATGAGAAAATAGTATTTACACTAATACAGTTATCTGATAAACTTCTGAACCCTAAGAGGATCAAATGTTATCTATGGCTACTTCAACATATTCCTTAAATAATTAATAATGGTAACATTTAGTTGCGTTTTTGATATAATTTATTGACTATTGACATGACCAATTAATTGTACAAATACCCACAAATCTCGTGTTACAGAGTCAGACAAATAATTTATGTCCCAATATTGTACTAAAAACAAAAATAATGAATTATAGAACAAAAATTTAACTTCTTAATTAATTGTCTTCACGATAATGAAATCTGACATTATTGCATTTAAAAATTAAAAAATTGTTAAAAAAAAATGTTCAGAAACATACGACGTCATCGCCATAATATGGTAGTTATAAATGTCGATTTCGGTAGTAAGAAATAATTCAAGTTTTTTAAAGTAAATTACTCTTAAAGATAAATTAATTTTCAACAAAATATGTAATAGTATATTACGTAATAAGTGTTGTAAAAAGCATTTTACGCACGAATGGAAAAGTTACACACGACGCCGCGTAGCGGCGAGTGTGTAATTGCATTACACCACGTATTACGTATGTACTATACTTTACCTACGACCACTACTGTAAATACTTAAAAATACACCGTCTGCGATCAATGCAAGATTCCTATTACGTCGTACGGTAAAAAAATCGTACAGTTTTTTTAGCAACGATCAATACAATACTGTTTGTGAGAACGGCACCCTTAACAGTTTTACTTTGGTCTGTGGGAACCTTGGTAAAATTGTTTACACCTAACTGTAGTTCTCCTTATATACATGTTTTTTATTATAGGTATTTATTTCTTCGAGTTTCACTTTATAAATTCATGATTTCTTTCGAGTACCGACACAAACACTCGAGGTTATCTATTTAGTATAAAAGCAAAATAACCGATATACATATAATGTAATAACATGTAATTTTGCTTCTGAGCAACAAATCGAAAAAATACATGGGGTATAACTCAAGGGGTAAGCTACATCTGCATTTTCTAAAGACAATTTCATATGTTCATAGATAAAAACTAGAATATTATTATTACGTGTTCTTTTTGGATCTCCTACAGTTACTTCAATTATCTACAGTAATCTCATAAAATGAGATTTTAAATGTCATTCTAATGTTGCAAAACAAGTGAATACACTAAATTTCGCAAGAACACCATAAATAGTGAATATTAAATATTATTTCTGTGTCTTTATGTATAAGTTGTAAGTACTTATTATTATTAAATAAACTTGTTGTGATACACTATTTAATATTATAAGAATACAGATATCGCTGATAATGCAATAGATACATAATTCTCAACTTTGGAAATTCCCAGATTTTTCATAACTCCATAAGTCCATACTTATCGAATGTCCTGATATTTACTTATTGTACATAATTTTACATTCTTAGTTTTCATATTTTATCATAAATATGTGTGGGCAGAAAAAAAACCTATATATTTCTTAGATATAAAAAAATATCTCTTTACCTATATTGCAGCCATCTCTTGGCCACTACTATTTCTATTATACATAAATGTGCTTCAAATAAGATATGTGGGTGCCAGTCCAGGATTATCTCTTGTTCCAAAAGAGAATGGCATCGAACTAAAACTATCCAAGGGTATGTTTATTGTATTTATATTATGGAAAGCCAACAGTTCTTCTATATTCTTACACATGAAAACTATTTCTTAACTAAGTTCAAATAATTTTTAGATAACACGGAAAAATTAGTAGGCACCATTGGGCTAGGTTACGATTTTACTTCCTCCAAATGCATTGGCAGGGCCAACTGTACCATCGGCCACATTGTTTTAGATGTGACGTCAATAGAAGATGGCTTCGAAATCACATGGACGTCCGATTCACTCAAATATACATTCAAGGATTGCTTCGACTTGAAAAAGGCAGAACTAAATTGGTACGGAGGTCCTCAAAAATGGAGTCAACCGTGGCCTATTGAGAAGTTAACCATCAGCGGAGACCAGCCGTACGTTATTAAGACTAACAGCTTTGCAGTGGCCGAAAGGTACTGGCTGAATTCCTTGGGTGCGTATATTTTCTTAGACGACAAAGTACCGCTCTTTGTAGATCAGAATAACGACGAAGACGGAAAAGTGTGTTTCTCGGCTATTTCGTACGGACCATATATTAATAGGACAAGGGTAAACTTTGACCGCTCGATGCTAAAAACAATACTAACAATATTTTGTTTCAGACGATTTTAAAATACGCTATAGTTGCGCTTGACGATCCAAAAGACGCTCATCTCCATGCCGTTACTAATTACTTGGGAAAACCCGAAGGCAAGTTTACAGCAACGGTTGCAAAACAAAGATTACTGAGTAGCGATTACATAATAATTTATAACCGTATTTTCCAAAAAAGTTTTTAATTTTCATGTCGTTCATATTATATGTATATATTGGCAAGTAAAACATTTAGCCATTTTAGGATATCCGGACGAGAGAATGGTTAGAGAGCCAATATGGACGACTTGGGCTAAATACAAGAAGGGCATTAGTGACAAAGTTGTACTTGAGTTTGCCCAAAATATATTGGACCATGGATTCGATGGGGGTCAACTAGAAATTGATGATAACTGGGAGGTATACAACGTTTTCAAACAAAAGCAAGCGATTATATAGATATAACAACGTTTTTAGAGATGTTACGGTGCCCAAGAATTTAAAAGTACCGAATTTGCGGACATCGTAAACACAGTTAGCAAGTTGAAGCAGATGAACTTCAGAGTTTCCCTGTGGGTTCATCCTTTCGTTAACAGTTACTGCGAAAGTGTATCATCCTATGGAATTGAAAAGGGTATTTTGCATTGGTAGTATATATAACACAAATTAGAATATTTACTGCAATTTACGACATTTAAAAATATGTTTTATTATATTAATTTAACAGCTAATGCTTCCCAATTAATAATTGATTTTAGATTTCTTCGTGAAGAATATCACTGGACACTCAATAGGTTCCTGGTGGGACGGCACTTCAGCACGTCAGATCGATTTTACGAATCCGCACGCAGCCAGATGGTACGCCGCTAGGCTCAACAAACTTAGAAATATTCCAGGAATAGATAGTTTCAAATTTGATGCTGGAGAAATCGATTATTCGGCACAGGTAAATACACTTAAAGAATGTAAACTATGTTTTTTACTGCCTTATTTTATAAATTTGTTCGTTATTTATCCATAGCCGGCTACCTATCCAAATGTTGACCAAGAACTGATACCAAATATCCTTACTGGAAGCTATTTAAGACATTGTGCTAAATTCGGGAGGCTCATTGAGGTTAGAACTGCTTGGAGGTAATTTATTAGGTAGCTGTTAATTAATTCGTGAGATTAACATATTTTTAAATTTAAGGACCCAGGACTTACCAATGTTTACCAGGATGCTTGACAAGGATTCTGTTTGGAACATAAATAACGGTCTACACTCACTTATCACAACTTTACTGCAAATGAACATGAATGGTTATCCATTGTATGTTTAAAGGTTATAATACGATTCCTTCACTTTGTTGTAAATCTAAATCCATTAGCTTTTTACTTTTGTCGTGGTGAGTCGAAATTGATTGTGGACATTTTGAACGCATATCGTAGTTTATTATATTGTAATTGTGATTTTCCATTGGTACCTAAATTATTATTATTAATATATGTTGCGATTATGTTTTTGCGACGTCAGATGTTTTTACTTTTTTATTTAAATTCCGCAAGGAATTCATTATTTCTACTCTTCATTTATTCTAATCAGCTTTCCTAGAATTATTCCCGAATATTATAACGGTTCCTTTTCATCAACGGTTAACGTTATGTGCATTTTTGTTCATTTATGCTTAATCTACTTTATGATGATAATAGAACTCAATCTTTTAACACACTGTATGTACTCAAGTGTCCTACCGGATATGATTGGAGGCAATGGCTACAGCACTACGCCGTCCGTAGAACTGATCGTCCGATGGACTCAGGCCAATGCCTTCATGCCATCTATGCAGTTCAGTTTTCTGCCCTGGGACATCGGTACTAGCGAGGTAAGGTTATGATTTATATTTCACACGTTATTTATGAGTTATTTTTTAGACGAATTCAGCAACCGTAGTAAAAAAATTCGTGGACCTACACAAAAATTATTCCTCGCAAATCATAGAAGCTATGCAGGCCAGTGTAAAGAATGGAAGTCCTGTAAATCCTCCCATATGGTGGATTGACCCCACAGATACCATAGCGTTAGCTACAGATGATGGTAAAAATTAATTGATTTCACGTGGCACCTCTCTTTATTTCTTTTGTAGAATTCCTTCTTGGTGAGAATATACTTGTGACACCCGTGATAACAGAAGGAGGAATATCAAGAAAAGTGTATCTGCCAAAAGGTACATGGAAAGATGGCAACAGCGACGCGACGTACGAAGGACCGACCACTATTGAAGACTATTCTGCTCCACTTGATACTTTGCCGTATTTTATAAAGCAATGATGAATCTAATTAGAATTGTATTGTTCTGACTTTAGTATAAATTAAATCTTACAGAGAAATTTAACACAAAGTTGTTTCTTGATCCACTCCTTGCAGTTGTAAAGGTAAAAGGCAAATAGAAAAAGAATTAAATTAAAGTATACTTTAAATAATTCATCATTTTTGGGGCAAGTACGTCGACAACTTTAAGCGGCGATTGTTTAAGTGCTTCTAACCAAAAAAAGAAATAATAATCATATAAAAAATATGTATATATCATATATACCGACGGGTCCACAAATCGATAATTTTCAAGATACTAAAAAAAAATCATTATTTTTATAATTACATCGTATTTAAATTCGTAGGTATATATATTTTTTACGAAATGCGTAGTTCTAGAGTTGTTACTGTAGGTTTAACAAAATACCGTCAATTAAAGTTCTTGAATAAATAAAAGCATTTTTTTCAAATTCAGCACTGCGGCGTACCACTTATTTGTTGAAGGGGCATTTGAATCAGTTGTTGAAATTAACTGTGATTTTATGTGATACAATTTAAAAACAATTAGTGTATTAGCTTTCGAGATATTGGTAATTAAAAGTTAATTAACTTGAACGCCCTCTATATCGGAAGCGGTTTCGAAAAAATTTCATAGAGTACCTAAACCGACATAGTTTTATTAGCTCCTGAAGTTAGATAAATACAAAACTGAAACACTATATTTAATAATGAATCGCTATTTATGTTTTTTTTTTCATTTAGTTGTTACCTTCCTCTGAATTCACTTGGTAATTTCGTGACTTCTTTCAAGTGCAGATAAAACACTTAAGGTTATCTATTATGCATAGTTCAGTATATAGCAAAATAGCTTATTCACTTGGTAATTTCGTGACTTCTTTCAAGTGCAGATAAAACACTTAAGGTTATCTATTAAGCATACTTCAGTATATAGCAAAATAGCTTATATAAAACCAAAAAAAATGTCATATTGGTGCATTGTAAAACGAGATCACTGTTTTGTGATCAAAAAAGTAACATGGGATATAACGCGAGGGGTAAGTTAAATCTACATCGTTAAATTTCATTGTGTACCACTGTGCAGAAAAATGTATGTTTCCATGAATCAAAACTATAATGTCGGGACATACATACTCTTTTAAATTTATTTTACCATTGCTTCAATTGTCTAAAAGTAATCTTATTGAATGGAAATTTAATTTATGTATCAATATGTTGAGCATAGCTTAATTTTACACATAATAGATGACAACAGCTACCCATATATTTATTAAGTATAAAACAAATGTTCAATCAATACGTATTTCTATTGCAGCCATCTCTGGGCCGCTATTATTTCTTTTATTTATCAGTGTGATTCACATAAGACATGCGGATGCCGATGCAGCATTATCTTTTGTTCCAACAAAAAATGGCATCAAATTAAGTCTCTCCAGAGGTATGTTCCTTGTAACTCCATTAAAACTATTGTATTTCTAATATTAAATTTAAAATAATTTTAAGGCGACACCGAGAAACTTGTCGGCACGATTGGACTAGGTTACGATTTTACTGCTGTAAAATGTATCGGCAGGGCCAACTGCACCATAGGCGACACAGTTTTAGATGTGACGTTCACCGCTGAAGGCTTCGAAATCACGTGGACTAGCGAATCATCTAACAATAAAGAATTCAAGGACTGCTTCGACCTGAAAAAAGGAGAACTGAACTGGTACGGAGGTCCTGAGAGATGGAGTCAAAAGTGGCCTGTTGAAAAACTCACCATTGACAAGAACGACCCGTACGTTATCAAGAAAAGCGACAACTTTGCCGTAGCCGAAAGGTACTGGTTGAATTCCTTGGGTGCTTATATTTTCTTGGACGATAGGGTACCGCTGTACGTAGATCAAAATTTTAGCGAAGATGGAAAAGTTTGTTTCACGGCTAATTTGACTGGACCGTATATTAATAGGACAAGGGTGAGATTTGGCCGCTTTAGAGAAAAGCGTATTTTAGATGTCAATTGTACAATGCACTGTACGGGGAGTTTTTTCAGAATAAACAGTGTAAATTATATACAACACTTGCATAAATAAGAAAGTAACGTTTAATAATAAAAAAAAAATAAACTTTTACTGTACAAAGGGTTAATTAAACAGGGTGTAATTTTGAATGGGGGGTCATATTACGGAGATAAGTACGTTTTATTAAATTCCGTATTATGATCATTTTATTCCAGACGATTTTGAAATATGCCATAGTTGCACTTGATAATCCAAAAGAGGCTCATCTCCATGCCATCAATAATTACTTGGGAAAACCTTCGGGTAAGTTTTAAAGCAAATAAGTAAAATATTTAGTTTGTCACCTATTATTTTCATATTTTAGGATATCCCGACGAAAGAATGGTTAGGGAACCAATATGGACGACATGGGCTAAGTACAAGAGAGACATCACTGATGAAACTGTTCTCGAGTTTGCCCAAGATATATTGGACCATGGATTCGATGGAGGTCAATTAGAAATTGACGATGACTGGGAGGTATACTACGTTTTTAAATAAAAGCAAGCGATTATACCTATAGAAATAATAACGTTTTTTAGAGGTGTTACGGAGCTCAAGAATTTAAAAGTACCCAATTTGCAGACATCAAAAATACGGTCAGCAAGTTGAAGCAGATGAACTTCAGGGTTTCCCTGTGGGTTCATCCTTTCGTCAATAGCGATTGCGAAAGTGTAGCGTCATATGGAGTCGAAAAGGGTATTTTACATTGATATCAGATACACAAATTTGTATATTCGCCCATTTCTAATAAAGATGTAATTTAAATTAAATTATTAAATAATTTTTAGATTTCTTTGTAAAGAATACCACTGGACACTCAAAAGGGGTTTGGTGGAACGGGCTTTCAGCATATCAAATCGACTTTACGAATCCTCACGCAGCGAGATGGTACGCCGCCAGACTCAACAAACTTAGGTACTCTCCAGGAATAGACAGTTTCAAATTTGATGCCGGAGAAGTCGATTATTCTCCACAGGTAGATAAAACATTTAAACTTTATTGGTAGTTAAAAATGTTGATGGATAATTTGTTCCTTTATATGTTCACAGCCAGCCACTTATCCAAATGTTGACCAAGAACTGATACCAAACATTCTTACTGGAAGCTATATAAGACACTGTTCTAAATTTGGGAGGCTCATTGAAGCTAGATCTGCTTGGAGGTAATGCATTAAACAGCTTTTAATGATCCCGTGATACTGAGATATTAAATTCCAGAACCCAAGACTTGCCAGTGTTTACTAGGATGATTGATAAGGACTCCAGTTGGACTTTAGATAACGGCTTATATTCGCTTATCACAACTTTACTGCAAATGAACATGAACGGTTATCCATTGTAAGTTTAAACGTTTAAATACGATTTCATTATGATGAAAGATATACTTTTTAAAATAAATTTTATTTGACAATTATAATCTGATATTTGTTATTCAAGTGTCTTACCCGATATGATTGGAGGTAATGGCTACAACTACAATCCAACCGTAGAACTGATCATCCGTTGGACCCAGGCCAACGTATTCATGCCATCTATGCAATTCAGTTATCTGCCTTGGGACGTCGCTAGTAATGAGGTAAATTGTGTTAATGCAAATCTCACACTTGATTAATAAACCGAGTTCTAGACAAGTTCGGCCGATATTGTAAAAAAATTCGTGGACCTGCACAAAAATTATTCCGCACAAATTATAGAAGCTATGCAGGCCAGTGTAAAGAATGGAAGTCCTGTAAATCCTCCCATATGGTGGATTGATCCCACAGATCCCATTGCGTTAGCTACAGATGATGGTAAAAAAAAATATATGCAGAATAAGCAACCAATTCCACGTGGTAATTTTTTTTTTAGAATTTCTTCTTGGTGAGAATATACTTGTGGCACCGGTGATAACAGAAGGAGCAACATCAAAAAATGTTTATCTGCCAAAAGGTACATGGAAAGATGGCAACAGCGACGCGACGTACGAAGGACCGACCTCTATTAAAGATTATCCTGCACCCCTTGATACTTTGCCGTATTTTATAAAACAATAAATAAATATATTTAATTTGAAGTATGTTGGTGTGACGTTCATGGAAATAAAATTGAATATTTAAACTTTTGGTGTAAATGTTTCTATTCATCGAAAAAAATGAGAAAAACTTTTGTTAAAATCAAAGCTATAAAAAGTTCTAACCGCTATGATTGTCAATGTAAATAATACACTCTTATAAAAATATAACCTTTCGAAATTATTTTAATAAAACAATCCTCAAGCCATTTCCCTTTTAGAAAGGGCCTGATAATTTATGGATTTGGAAAAAGAAAAAGGAGAAAATGACATCATTTTAATCAACCAAAATTAGAAAATACTTTTTACGAATAATGTGGAACTTTTACTTAAATTCCAATACTATCGGTGACAAAAAAAATTTGTTGTTAAAGATTCGACATATTTTAAGTAGTAACATCATTTTTGCATTAATGAATGCGCGAATTAAGCAGTAGCGCCTGTTTGATACTCATTTAAATAATTTCGTAAACTATCGACGTTATTATAACTTTCGTGACCCCGGTTCACTTAACGGATCAGTTGCTTGGGGCAAGTACGTCGGGAAATAAAATATACACAGCGCGAAAGCCGCGTAAAAAAGGAGTCAAGATCTCACCTCTCGGAAGTTTATTGTGCATGTAAAACGCAACGAAACTTCCAAGCGGAAGTCTTACTTAGCCCGAGCGGGGAAGTTGGTACGTGCCCCTAGGGACGGCTGAATGCCTCTTGACGGATAGGCTCTTGTCTTTAAACCTCTATTTAAATGCATTCCTTAACTCCATCTCTCAAGGAATACCGAAGAGAGCAACACTATTACGCCCTCTACACTGGCTCCGCAAATTAAGATAATCTGCTCCAAGTTGGCGCTGCGTGAACAAAAACTTTACGTGCGCCCCACGCGGTTCAGATGTTTTACATATATCATTTCTTTATTTCCATATACACGGTGACTAAAGAAACTGCAAAAGAATTAAAGTGTAAATTAATTAGTATATAAAACAAAACTCTGTTTACTTTCCGAAAATTTATTTTTTTTTCACGGAGTGCTAAAATTAGTATTGTATTTTTTATTCTCAATCTGAGAAAAACTTAATTTGAGACAATGAATTCGTAATAAATTTTAAAATAAAATGGCCTAGCTAGGGTAACTTTTTTATATATGCAGACAACTAAGTTTCGAGCAGATGTTTCCCTTGATAACACGAAATATCAGTTCCTCCATTTCAAACAAGTTTTTAATCAATGGGGCCTACACTACAATTGAAGACTTTGCGCATCTTCACATCCACTTTTCCGTCTCTTGAGAATTCAGGGAACAAAACACTTTAATGCACGAAGAACTATTACTTAAAGATAACGCCACCGCAATATTCCTTCTTTCCTCGTCCGATATTCAGTACTACTTACCGGCATAAATTTGTAATATTACAAACGCTGGAACCGCTCGGGAGGTTTTTATTGTTTTAACCCCGACATACAAGTTAAACACTTGAGTATTCTTCAGCGCTACCTGCAAACAGGGTGGTCAAACATAGCGGATTATCTCCCATTTGAAAAGTATTGTCGAATAAGTCACACGAACAATACATATAATGTAAATTGTGTATAAGGGTGCGCAAAACTTTAGACATTACTAAACTCACCCTTTTAAAAATCTCAATGACGACAATTTTTGCTACTATTAATTTAAACTATTTCCCATTCGATATAAGAAATCGATTATGTTAACTGAACCACCGTACAACTAATCCTTCGGGGGGTTAAATAAGAACAAGGTACGTGACCGTGCTCCAAGATGAAGCTTATCTGCTAACTTAATATTCGACTGTCACTTTCAAGAAATGCCCAGCACTCCTGCTGAATTATAATTGTAATACTCAATTTGATAATACTTTCGATGCTCGGCAAAGGATGAAAAAGGTGTTTTGCTTTGGAAATGTACAAGTTTATACCTTTCGATATCTGACGTAGAGATACATACATACATTAGGATGTTTACATAGAAGTAGAAAGTTATGTTCCTAAAGTAAATTAAACATAAATTAAAATAAATGTATCTACCCTTTTTGAACAAATATGTGTGTTTACTTAGGAATATCCAGAAACTATATAAGTAGATCAATTATGACGCTACCAAAAAAATTTCTGTAAATTTAACGACTAAATAAAATAGAAACAACTCGTTTTAAACAATTCAAGCTGCCGACGAATAAATAAAACAGGTTATGGCATTGACATTATTTAAATTAAAATTTGAATATAGTCCTATTCTGAAAATTTACATTGCATTAACCCTGTCAGTCGATTAATTATGTATCGGTTCCATAAAGTCGTTGTTTAGAAAAACAAATAAGTGTGGTCGGTCGTATGAATCAGTCCTTATTAAGTAAGTAAAAATCTGTTAATATGTAAAATAATAATCAGAAACTGTAGATAATTACGATTACATCGTTTTTTTTTTTTTTTTTTTCAAGGAAAATATTACTCTTTTACAGTATTTTTCATAAAAATATGTAGGTACCTAGTCAATGCGGTTCAGATTCTGTGAAGACATAGCAGGATCATTTTAATGGGAGAATAATTTTATTCTCTATATTTTATTTAAATTATATTGGAGTCGATAAACTTATCCATCATATATTTTTTTCCACGAGACTAAAGAGAATTACCATTAGAAATTATTGTTAGTAAAGTTTCCTAGTGTCTTATATTAATAGTACCTAATCACTTTTATTACAGATATGAAGATATTTGCACTTTTAATTGGACTAGCAGCGATAACATTGGAAGTATATTCAGCTGTAAGCCAGCCTCAGTGCGATTACAAAAATGACCAACGCTCCTACCACTGCAAATTCGTCAAAAACGTTTTCCCGCGGATATTCTACGGAAATTACCATCTACAATGCGAAAACTGCGACATTAAGATATTCTCCCAACAGACATTTACATATGAAAACAGCCTGATATCACTAAACGTGTCTAACAGCGGGGTGGAGTCGGTTTCCTCGAAGGCATTCTCAATTTTCGGAAACGTTCAGTATATTTATTTACAGAACAACAAGATCACGAGCATATCAAGAAACGCCTTCGCTGGCCTGAGGCAACTCTTTCAGCTACATTTAGATAACAACCATATGGCAAAATTAAATCCAGGATTTGTAAATGATGTGGAAGTCAACAGTATTATTCTGTCTCATAATGTAATCAGAGAACTGCCAGGAAACGCATTCGAAGGCGTGTTAACGTTATTAACGTTGAACCTGGACAACAACTATATAAAAACCGTTCATGCAAACGCGTTCGCGGGGTTGGAAAGTCTAGAGTACTTGGAGCTGCAGAATAACCGCTTGTGTCACCTGCCGTTAGGCCTGTTCAAAGATTTAAACAACTTGCGTTTGCTGAACTTGGCGGACAACAAATTGACTAGGTTCTCTCTAGGCACTTTTTCAGGATTAAGAGAACTGAATGCTTTAATTTTAGCGAATAATTCCATTAAAGAGTTTGACGGCACCGATTTGTTACCACTACTTCATCTAACTAAATTGGATTTGAGCGGTAACGATATTTATTACCTGGATTCGAACGGAATATATTCAAACGCTCCCAGCATCAGATTTCTACATATAGAGGATAACATTTTCTCGTGTCAGCTACTCGTTAATGTCATACAGTATTTTAAGGGCAAGGGGGTCGAAATAGTTACCAACCGAGGGCGGTATCACCTTCAGAACGTTAATGGAGTAGCCTGTATAGAAAGTGCTGTAACCAATTCGATTCCTTTTGACTTTTTCCTGACAAAGGTTCAAGAGGAGTCAAAAAATCAGATAAACGTCTGTTAAAGGATGTCCCGCACTCATATCAAAATGTAATTACGAAGCTATGATGTTTTAGCAAATATTAAAAAAAATAAAATAAATTACACCTGACCTGAAAACCTGACATGATGGAGTAATTCTGAGGTCAGATTCGAATTAAACAAAAATATACCTTATTACCTTCCCAACTAATGCCCATACGCCGATACAGGTACCTAACCTAACTACACAATTTTTCTTAATGCAAATTTGTGTTTGTTGGGGTTTTAAAATGTTTGTTTGACAATTAGATAGGTACATGGTACATGGTACATGTGTTATCAGTTATCTTTATTGGTAATATCGTTAAAGTAAAATTATGAGATAAATTATACATTATCATTTATCAGTAGTTATATTAGGTATAATAAACTTTTTTTTATTTCAACATGCAAACGACGTACCGCTTAAATTATCAAATTGCTTTAAAAAAATCAAAAAAATGTCTAAAAGGTTGCGTAATCTGCGCATGTCATTAAATCGTCATACAAACCATTCAAAACTACGCCGCCATACACACTGAAGACTTAACTTAATGATTGCTCGAATGAGTAACACTTTAAAGAAGTACTCAACTATGACGACCATAACAGAAGCTAAAAAATTAGCTGCCCATCGTGCAGTGGATTTACATGTGAATTCTGGTAATTTAGTTGGTATTGGAAGTGGATCTACTGTTGTTTATGCAATAGAAAGGTTAGCCGAGAGAGTCGAAAAAGAAAAGTTACAGGTAAAATGCGTACCTACCTCTTTTCAAGCAAGACAACTTATTATAAAGCATAAACTGCCTTTAACAGATTTAGATATAAATCCGGAATTAGATGTTTGCATTGATGGAGCCGACGAAGTGGATTCTAACCTCAACTTAATCAAAGGAGGCGGGGGCTGTTTACTTCAAGAAAAAATCGTAGCAAGTTGCTCGAAAAAATTAATCATTGTTGCAGATTATTCCAAAAATTCTCAAAAACTTGGCGACCAATACAAAAAAGGTATTCCAGTAGAAGTTTCGCCAATGGCGTATGTTCCTATCCAGAATAGAATTCAAAAACTACATGGGGGTACAGTCGACCTAAGAATGGCTGTCTTAAAGGCTGGGCCAGTAGTTACTGATAATGGGAATTTTATTTTAGATTGGAAAGAATATAATCAAAATGTAGATTGGAATAAAATTAATAGTGAACTGTTATCGATCCCTGGAGTTGTCGAAACTGGACTTTTTATAAACATGGCCTCTAAAGCTTATTTTGGAATGACCGATGGATCTGTGAAAGTACAAGAATAAATTTCAAGAATGAAAGAGAAAGCGTAACTACATAACAAATAAACATATTCATGGTTTTCATTATTATTAGGACTTAAAAGTTAAGTCTAAAAGTTAGCTGTACAGTTGTAACGCATACATGATTTTTTTTATATTTGTACTTAAATATATTTTCCAGAACATAATTTTTTTTATCTTCCCACACCTTTGAAAATATAAATTAAAATATAAATATTTAAATAATGGTAAATTTTTAAACAAATTTCATGTATAGTGTGGGTTGTTAAGACAAGAACACTGATCTAAGAGGTCCCCCTACTGATCTAAAAAAAATCGTAGCAGGCCATGAAGTGCCAACTTGATCATTGGAACCAATTCTGCAAATATATCCAAATGGTCGCTATGTATTTACATTATGTGATCCATTTCAAAAAGAAACACCCTGGTAAAAAAATGTATTCAATTTGATTGTTTTTTTTTTTTTTGACTAAAAAATATTACGCTACCTACATAAGATTTGAATTTATTTTCAGTTATCAAAGCCTACTTGCAATTTTGTTTTTAAATGCTAAATGTCAAACACTCTAATTGGGTTCCTATGAGGTTTTTGTAAAGAAATAGGTACTAATTGCAAAACTAAATTAATCCGTTTTATTTTAATAAACAAATAAAATGTTTATTAAATTCCATCAGTATGTAATATATTTATATAAAATATTAAATAGACTTTAAAAACTCGAATTTAAAATGGGTCACAACTGTATAAAAAAAAAATCATTTAAATTGTGCACTTTAAAAAATTTTAGAGAAGTATCCTGGTCCTTATTGAGTCACACTGTAAAACACCGACTTTATTTGATACACAGAGGCATAAATTCTCCACATAGTTTACAAAATATAAATAGTACATTAATATCAAAACATTCTACACGTAATATTTTAGTATAAACTAGTTTTCTTCATAATTCTAAGAAATTCCTCTTGATTAATTTCTCCATCTCCATCTCTATCTGCCTCATCAATCATTTCCTGCAATTCTTCATCAGTTAAATTCTCTCCTAATTCCTTAGCGACTCGCTTCAGATTTTTAAAACTAATTTTTCCTGTCTCGTCATCATCAAACAAACGGAATGCTTTCATTATTTCTTCTTTCGAGTCTTTCTCAGCCATCTTGATCGACATGAGTTCAAGAAAATCATCGAATGAAATTTTCCCTGTTCCATCTTTGTCAATGTCAGCTATCATCTTCTTGATTTCTTCTTTTTTAGGTTCAAATCCAAGTGCCCTTATAGCTACTTTTAGATCCTTAGCATCTATTTTGCCAATTCCTTCGTTGTCGAATAAATCAAACGCCTCCCTGATATCAGTTTTTTGCTCTTCGCTCAACTCGAATTTTGGACCAGACTTTTTCCTAGGAGCACTACTAGCGGATTTTTTTAAAGTTCCTGTTGTAGCCTAGAAAATAAAAAAAAATGGAAAATCTGAGTGTATATTTAAACAAATTTTTACCATTATTTCAGTTATATTTTGACTTCGATTGATCAATACTGGTATAAATGATATTAATGTCCCTTGTTTCTTGCTTTATTTTCAAATTTAAATGCTATGGAAATGTACGTACATAAACAAATCTTACGTCACCACAGAGTCACAAAACACAGAACAAATGTACACAGAACAGCAGAAAGCAGAACACTAATGATAGAAACAAGACATCCTCAAATTCAGAATATTCACAACCACTTGTAACTTAAACCACAATATTTATTTCTGATTAGTGATTACATATTTCACATAAACCTGGAATAACTTTCCTCCTTAACATCTTGTCCTATTTTTTTCTAACTACAATAATTAGTAAATCACTAACCAGTTTCTTTCAATTTGCAAAAAACGTCATGAAGTCGAAAACAGCAGCGTTTATTGTGCGTCCAATTTTATGAAAAAGGTAGCTTTTTTTAACCCGCTTTTATTGAAAAGGACCTAAAATGTTGTTTTAATATTTAAGTAGGTTAGTACATATACACAGGGTGTCCTCTACTAAGAAATAATTAAGAAATTGAAAAATTTAATTTAGTCCTATTTTTACAATTTCTTACATGAATTTGTTGTCACCAATTTATTGACTACAATTTTCTGTATTGCACATAGTAATTAATTTAAGCTTAAAAAATGAATCGATATCTTTGACTGTGCACTTGTGTGCACTGTGCCAGTTTTTGACTGTGCCAGTTTTTTCGATTTCGTTTTCTTTATGACAATCATATACCTATCTAGATAGTAAGTTTACAGTGCTATCATGTGGTTGGCTTACGTCTTGGAATTCTAATATTAATAGTTTTTCAATGCTGCTTTATGTTTTCCCTTGTGTTCATTCTATCTGTATATGAATTATGGTTCTATGGAAGTATCAATCATTATTCATTCCATTCAACATTCAAGGTCTGTTGTAGTAGTTCAGTAATCTGTGGTCTGTTCGTCAAAGCCAATACATAATTATTATAGTTTGTTTAGCAGAAAAGTTGAAGCGTCCAAGATAATTCCCGGGAAGTTTTTTAGTGAATAAATTGTAAATTATAAAGATTAACTTACAATAATATATATTGTCTAGCTGAATTTTAATAACGTAAAATTGCATCTTATCCAGTGGTAATCCATCAGAAAAATGTCTAAACCAGAAGCACAACCAGAAGATGCCGTAGAAACGGTAGACACAGCTGATACCGCAGGTCTCTGTGATACCGGCGAAACATCTACGAGTGTTATGGATGTTCAGGTAGAAATAAAATTATTTCTTAACAATTTTGCATAGATGTATAAATTTAAGGAATTGGGACAAAATGAATCTTCTTCTGACGCCACATCAAAAGGAGAAGACTTTGATACCAAAGTTGAAGCAGATAGAGGCAAGCGATTTGACTACTTACTGAAACAAACCGAAATATTTTCTCACTTTATGAATCAGGCCAAAACGCCCACTAAACCGAAATCTGGACGACCAAGAAAAGAAAAAAAAGAAGAAGTTATACCAGAGTAAGTAATACTTTGTTTGGGGCATCCTTTTAACGTCTCGCATAAGTTTAATTAAGAGCCCCATATTCTTTAAATAGTGTTTTCCGCAAAGACAAATAATTTCAAACATTTAATAACTGAATAATCTAAAGCTTATCAAATAATAGGAATGTTATGTCATGCCATCTGGTTATTTTCAAAGACGCCGCAATAAAACGAATAAACTGGTGCAAAAAACGATCAAACCATCAAGGTTTTAGGTACTGAAATCTACGAAAATACTAACTTTTTTATACATAATTCCACATGTAAATATTCTTATAACATTTACTTGCTTAGTCCTACATATAAAATTGTTTACTTTTATTTATAAGTATGTGAAAATAATTCTTAAAATGTGGGGTTAGAATAACAGCAAACGCATGTTTTACATACGCTTTTTTTTTAGTTATTATTTTATTTGAGTAAATTTAAATGGTAACAATGAATAAACAAAACATTAAGGATTTTATTTCTGTGCTTATTTTTGTTCTACACGTTTTACTTTTAAAGATTTCAGTACCTAAAAACGCCAGAAATTTCACTATGTCTCGGCCAGGAATATGGTCACCTTAATGATTTTTCCGAATAGCTTTATTTACTAATAATAATCACTTTCCACGACAGTCATCGACATCGAAAGACAGAACAAGAGGAAGACGAGGAGTTGCTCGCAGAAACCAACCAAAAATGCAAGCCTACTATAAGATTTGATACATCTCCTGTTTACATCAAGAACGGAGAGATGCGTGATTACCAAATTCGCGGTTTAAATTGGATGATATCTCTTTATGAGAACGGCATTAACGGTATACTCGCCGATGAGATGGGATTGGGTAAAACTCTGCAGACCATCTCCTTGCTCGGTTTCATGAAGCACTACAAAAGTACTCCCGGTCCGCATATTGTGATTGTTCCAAAATCTACTTTGTCCAACTGGATGAACGAGTTCAAGAAGTGGTGCCCCACTCTCAGGGCGGTATGCCTAATTGGTGATCAAGAAGCAAGGGTGAGTTAAAAGATTAATTTTTTCAGTTTTGTGTTGTGAGTTACAGTTTTTTTTTGTAATAAATTATTACGGTTTATTCCCCGAGAACTATAACAAACCATTGCGTTTATAATGCAGTTGCTGATTTATTGAATAAAATCTTGTGAAAAATTACACCAATCATCAACCGGCGAAACACAATGTTAATGTTATATTTTAACGTAGTCATGATCTTATGGAGAAGACTGATTGATTTTTAATTTTACCAAAATTTAATTGCCAACGTGAACAAAATAACTGATTTATTATATTAATTTTAAATAATTATTCTAGAGCGCTTTTATAAGAGACGTTCTTATGCCCGGCGAATGGGACGTATGCGTCACCTCTTACGAGATGTGCATCAAGGAAAAATCCGTATTCAAGAAGTTCAACTGGCGGTACATGGTCATCGACGAGGCGCACCGCATAAAAAACGAAAAATCCAAGCTCTCCGAGATCCTCAGGGAATTCAAAACTACGAATCGCCTCCTTCTCACCGGCACCCCCTTACAGAACAACCTCCACGAGCTCTGGGCGTTGCTCAACTTCCTCCTGCCGGATGTCTTCAATTCATCCGACGACTTTGACGCCTGGTTCAACACCAACCAGTGCCTGGGCGACAACCAGCTGGTGGAACGTCTACACGCCGTCCTGAAGCCCTTCCTCCTCAGGAGGCTGAAGTCGGAGGTGGAGAAGAAACTGAAACCGAAGAAAGAACTAAAAGTGTACGTCGGCCTGAGCAAGATGCAGCGCGAGTGGTACACGAAGGTCCTCATGAAGGACATCGATATCGTAAATGGGGCCGGCAAAGTGGAGAAGATGAGGCTGCAGAACATCCTCATGCAGCTGAGGAAGTGCACGAACCACCCGTACCTGTTCGATGGAGCGGAACCCGGCCCGCCCTATACCACTGACGAGCACCTCGTCTACAACTGCGGCAAATTGGTCCTCCTGGATAAGCTGCTGCCCAGGCTGAAGGAGCAGGACTCTCGGGTGCTTATTTTCTCCCAAATGACCCGTATGTTGGACATCCTGGAAGATTACTGCCACTGGAGGCAGTACCAGTACTGCCGGTTGGACGGGCAGACGCCGCACGAGGACCGTCAGAGGCAGATCAACGAGTATAACGAGGACGGGAGCAGTAAATTCATTTTTATGCTGTCGACGAGAGCCGGCGGTCTGGGGATAAACTTGGCAACCGCGGATGTGGTTATCATCTACGATTCGGACTGGAACCCGCAGATGGACCTTCAGGCAATGGACAGGGCACACAGGATCGGGCAGAAGAAGCAAGTTCGTGTTTTTAGGTATGCATTATCGTATGGGGTGGGTCCGTTACGGTATTTCTAGTGTTTCCTGAAGAAATAGGAAAAGGTAGTTCAAAAATCTCAATTTGTTATAAAATTATAGAGATGTATTGCTGGTTGCCTATTTCCTATAGAAGTGAATGTTTAAGTTTCCATGAAAATTAGCGAAAATAAAAGAGAAACTCGAAAAAAGTCCTATCTGCGAGATTATTGTAAAATTGTCACATCTCGTGAGTCAAAAACTTTTATTAGCTAACTTTTCTATTTAAACAAATAAGTGAGGAAAACAGTTTTTTCACTTTGCAGGGAAAACCATCAATTTTAGCGAAAAGTGACTCTTTAAGCCTCTGTACAGGCGTTAATTTTCAACCAAACTTGATTTTCAAAGCGTCATTGTAATCTTAAAGACGTAATTAAGCGACCTATTAAAAAATATCACCGGTTTTTTGACATTAACATTCTCAAATTGTGCATTAAAAATCAGTGCGTTTTTCGCTTATAAACAATTTGAATAACATTGTACAGAGGCTTAAAGTTCATAACTTTTGGAGCCTCCGTTATAAACAAATTGAATTGTGCAAAAACTATTGCACCTACAGTGCCCACTTTTGGCACACTTTTAAAGTATGACAAAACCCTCAACTTGTCATAGGTTTTATAAAATATTAACAATAAATGCGATAGTTATAAACAAATTAAAAAATGGTCACTTTTCTTTTTTTTTGCAATAAGTATTTTGTTTATTAACCGATTTTAATTTAACAAGTCTCATTTTGTAGATAATTTTACTCCCTACAAGCTGTCTGAGAGTCACTTTTCGCTAAAATTGATGGTTTTCCCTGCAAAGTGAAAAAACTGTTTTCCTCACTTATTTGTTTAAATAGAAAAAGAAAAGTTAGCTAATAAAAGTTTCTGACTCACGAGACGAGAGATGTCTTGTAATATGTTCCTTTAGACAATTTTACAATAATCTCGCTCATAGGACTTTTTTCGAGTAAAAATTTAATTTGCTTGGTCTACTATTAAGAATATCATTTTAGAGTTCAAACGCTATTATAAGATAAAAAAATTAACCTAACTCTTTTTGAAATTTTATCTCGAGACATTTGAACTACTTTTTGTCTACATCTTCCGGAGGATGCAAATAATTTTTCGAAAGTGTTGAAGTTATCCCACTCTGTACGTTTTACAATGGCAAACAGCCTTAAACTTATTTTTTTCTTCTACATTGCCTTAACGTTTACAGATTTATCACTGAAAACACCGTGGAAGAGAAGATTGTGGAACGAGCCGAAATTAAATTGAGACTGGATAAGTTGGTCATTCAACAAGGACGATTGGCAGATTCCAAGTCCCAGTCGCTTAACAAGGACGAAATGTTGAGCATGATCCGGCACGGTGCCAACCACGTCTTCGCTTCCAAGGATTCAGAGATCACGGACGAGGATATCGACACCATCTTACACAAGGGCGAGATGAAGGTAAAGACATTGTCACACTTTTACCACTGATTTAACCTGTTTTTCGTTGTAGACAGCACAACTCGCCCAAAAAATGGAAACCATGGGAGAATCCTCCCTCCGCAACTTCACGGTGGACACCCCGACCGAATCCGTGTATCAGTTCGAGGGAGAGGACTACCGCGAGAAGCAGAAAACCATTGGCCTAAACACCTGGATCGAACCGCCAAAACGCGAGCGGAAAGCGAACTACGCTGTCGATGCCTACTTCAGGGAGGCGCTGAGGGTGTCGGAACCAAAAGCCCCTAAGGCCCCGCGACCTCCCAAACAACCCATTGTGCAGGACTTCCAATTCTTCCCTCCCAGGCTATTCGAACTACTTGACCAAGAGATTTATTACTACAGAAAGTCCCTAGGTTACAAAGTGCCGAAAAACTTGGAACTGGGCCCCGATGCCTCGAAACAGCAAAAGGAGGAGCAGCGGAAAATTGACGAGTCGGAACCGTTGACTGAAGAGGAACAACAAGAGAAAGAAACGTTGCTGACGCATGGTTTCACCAACTGGAGCAAGAGGGACTTCAACCAGTTCATAAAGGCGAACGAGAAATACGGCAGGGACGACATCGAGAACATCGCCAAAGACGTTGAGGGCAAGACGCCAGAGGAAGTAATGGAATACTCGGCGGTGTTTTGGGAGCGGTGCCACGAGCTTCAGGACATTGACAGGATAATGGCGCAGATTGAGAGGGGCGAGGCGAAGATCCAAAGGCGGGCGAGCATTAAACGCGCCCTGGATGCGAAGATGGCGCGGTACCGTGCCCCCTTCCACCAGCTGAGGATATCCTATGGCACGAACAAGGGCAAGAACTACATGGAGGACGAGGACAGGTTCCTCGTGTGCATGCTGCACAAGTTGGGCTTTGACAGGGAGAACGTGTACGAGGAGCTGAGGGCGGCGGTGCGGGCCTCCCCCCAGTTCAGATTCGACTGGTTCCTGAAGTCCAGGACGGCCATGGAGCTGCAGAGGAGGTGCAACACGCTGATCACATTGATCGAGAGGGAGAATGCAGAACTGGAGGAGAGGGAGAGGAACGAGAAGAAGAAGAAGGCGTCCAAATCGTCGTCGGTGGCGGGAACGCCCACTCAGGTACCCTCGAAGTCCTCGCAGAAGAGGAAGAACGACAGCGCCGGCGGGGGCGTCGAGAAGAAGAAGAAGAAGAAATGAGATCCGTGTTTTTTTAAGTTTTTTACGAGTAATTTATAAATTGGATGAATGGAATCGGTTCGTTTTGGAGTTTTAGATGTGTAATACTTTGTAATTCCTGTGCGTTATTAAAGTGCAGTAAATGAAACCAAAAAGATTTGTTTATTTCTTTAGAGCAAGGGTCGGTAACTGGCGGACCGTGGTCCAGGTCCGGACCGCGGAAGGTACAATACTGGACCGCCAAAAATTTTTTTAAAGTATAAATTGCTCAAATAAATTATTTAAAAAATGTTTTTTATGTTTAAGTGCCAATCTTATTATTTTTTCTAGTATTTTACAATTGTGTGTTTTGAGTTCTTAATGGTTAGTAAGCAGATTAAATTTGAGTCCAAATTAAAATAAAAAATAAGAAATGTGAATTTTTTTTCTGGACCTCGTTAAAAATTTTCAAATGTATCCGGACCCCACCTAAAATTACTTGCCGACCCCTGCTTTAGAGGATCTTGGCTCTGGGTATGTACTGATCTGGGAAACTGGGAAAATCTGGGATAGTTGACTTGCACGAAAATTTAAAATATTCCAAAATTTCTGGTTATAACCGACGACAAATAACGAGGGTGAAAGAAATTAAGTCTCTAATGCTAAAAGTTGTGGATATTTAAGTGTTCTATGGCAAATAGGCAACCACCAATGCATTTCTATAGATTTTATTACACAGTTTGTCTAATTATGAATTAATGCCTAAATAACGGACTTTCCCCCATTTTAACGTAGTTTTTCTATAAAATGAAGTTAGTTTGAAACTCAAATTACTTTTTGGTGTAAAGAAATTTGTAAAATACGACGCCGCTTATTCATAACGCAGCAAATTAGGGATCAATAGTGACTAGAAGGACTAGGTCGGAATTGATTTTAATTTACTATTGGATTTCCCAGGACAGTTAAAGCGAAAGCGAATTAGTTACATTTTCTCGATAAATAAACCAATAAAAAATAATATACTTTTTATTTTTATAAAGTTTTACGATAGTTATTTATGGATATACATTGAAAAAATGCATAAAATTGTCCACCGACACAAAATCATATTTACTAATTTCTGACTAGGGTTTAATATATTTACAGATATTTAATACAAAGTTTATCAACTAGCCTTGCTAACGGGTTTGTATTATGTTTAAAGCTGACATACATTTCGTTTATTACGTTTAATTAATTTGTCTACAATTTTTGAAACCTTTTTACCTCTTAAAGAAATCCGTTTTTATGTACACTCGACGCAAGAAGGTTTCCAATCTGAATCGTATTTTGTTTGAAATATGACGGCTTATCCGCTTGTCTATATGGGGCGTTCCCATTAAACTCGTTTGATCTGACATATTACGAGTTTTGTACAAAAATGAGGCAAATTGGCATTTTTTTAATGGGACTAATCGGCAAACTCTTATAGCAGACCCCGTATGGATTTTTTATTATCTTGTTTCTGTTAAAAGAGTTGCATTTACAACAATAGAAAAATCGATTCATCCTAGTTAATAAATCTTGTGAAACGTCTACTACCTACTTACGAATAGTTAGATTGAATGGATTTAAGAAAATTAAAAATTTTAATTTTTTTTTAAATTTTGAAAACCCTGCAGCTCGGAAACGGCGGCCTTAAGAGCCTACGTGTGTGTAACAAAATTTACTTAATTTTAGCCACAGAATGGGCCTGTTTTTTTTCTATATGCCATTAATGAACACTGTATAGGTGCCCGCAATGAAATCAGTTGAAGTTTCTTATAAAAGTTGAAAGCATACAATTCTACATAAAAATGGCCTCTTGACTTTTTCTTGTACTGTTAAAATTAACAGAGTTAGGGAGGTTGGAAGTTACGGAAAGATTTCAGAAATTTAAAAAAATCATAAGTAGAAAAATAAATGAATTTTGTAATTTTTTTTCAATCTACTCTAAAAAATGTAACTTTTCTTTTCATAGAAATAGATAACATTTTTAAATTTTTAATAGTAAATTTTAACGATGCAACAAAACTAAAACAATTTTTTTTTTCTATACTATTCGATTGATTATTTAAAATAATGAAAAGTTGCCTTCGAATTTTTTTTACGTTTGTTTTTTAGACACAAATTTATTTATCTTTTTATATTTTAAATTTTATTTAGCTACTACGACACTGCCAGGACAAAGATAAACAATCATGTTCGCTTTGTCGCACTCATGGTACCGAAGTTGTGGACAACTCATATGCTTATGACAAAGATAGATTATTTTCTTCGCTATTCTCAATGCGCGTGCGTTAGTAAATGTGTGTTTCTTTAAATTATTGTATGCTCAATATCCATTGTTAATCTCAAAAAGGTAAATACATGTTAATAAGGACTAATATTTTTTCTTTTAGCCTAAAACGGATGCAAACTAACCCTCATGTTCACCCCCAAAAATAATATTTCCGTGATAACTCGGGTTCTAATCAATATTTTGGAATGAAACAAAATCGAAATTACTTCTTATATAAAAAAAAAACATTTATGGGCTTATGTAATGCGTCAGTTGAATGAACAGTATGACGATATTCCACCAAATAGAGATACGCTCTGGGAACATATACAAAATATTTGGAACGCTATAGACGTGAATTATATACGACGCCTTGTTACATCTATGCCAAACAGATTACAAGCCGTTATTGATTCGGATGGTGATTGGACATATTATTAGACCGTTTTGTTTTTTCATTGTTTATAAAATGATGTCAAAATAAGTATATAAGTTCATAACATTATGGGCCCGGAAATGCTTCCTTTCTGATAGATGTAAAATTTAAAAAAATCCTGTTTTTCTAAATATCTCGAAAACGATTCAAGATACTACACTGAGCTTTGGTGTATAGTACCGTGGCAGTGTAATATCTTAAATCGTTTTCGAGATATTTAGAAAAAAACGGATTTTAAATTTCTTTCGACATCTATCTCAAAAAGGAAACATTTCCGGACCCATAATGTCATGAACTTATTTACTTATTTTCACTTCCAGAACACGTCCTTCAAATATTTCCTTTTCCTCCCGAAACTGTATAAGTTATAATAAAACTGTAGTTTACAATATTTTTTTATTTTGTTGCCTTCATGACCTACCTATCTTCTTTCTGCAGAATATGACACACATTCTTATTTCAAAATATTAATTTTCTCGGGGACAAGAAAAATAATGTGGCAAGACAAAATAATTTCAAAACGTGTATACTCTTCTCTTTTTATAAAGCATATACTTCAGGCCTGCAATTTTTTGTTATATGTCGTTACACACATGCCTACACAAAAAAATATGACACACCCTTAATTATTATTACTGCCTCCCAAAAATCCTATTAATAGACCACCCGCTCGCCCCATTAAAAGTAGTATGTCTGTTAGGTTGGAAACCTTTATCTTGCGACGAGTGTACATATATAAGAAAAATCTTTAAAACCAAGTTTTTCAGTGGGTTAAAATTATTATTTCGAGAAGAGAGATAAATAATATCTTAGGATAACACTTAAGGCAATAAGGCTTATTTGCTATTTTTTTTTAATAGCACTGGTTATGGTTACTGTGCTGGTTTCAACTACATAGTTTTGTGAAAATCGGGAAGAAATAAGAAAAATAAATATTATTTCCTTCCCAGTTTTTCTGATTTTGACCACCCTGCGCTTGTAATTCTATTTGAATTTTTCAATCAATGCAATACTGGCTATGCTAAGAGAAACTAACGAGGGTTCAAATAAAAACGTGGTCGAAGTTGGCTCTGACACATTGGACGTAGGGAGTAGCTTGTAGCGACCAACTTAACCTCATTTCTCAACGAGCTGTATAGAAGCTGTCAGTTTCAATAACGTTCATGACTATATAACTTTATTTTAAAGAATAATTGTGATAACAATAACAAACAATTAAAGGAGCTTTTTTTAACACTGTGTGGCAGGTACCGACTGATACTCCCACCATTTGTGATAAAACACGTACAGAAGTTCTTGGCGCATTTTCCATTATTTGTTGGACATTTTCTTTTAATTCTTCAGTCCGCTTTTTTTGTCGGCCGCTTCCTTCTTTTCTTGTTACACTGCCCGTTTCACGAAAAACATTAACACAACACTGAACTGCACTTTGAAACATTTTGTACTCAACAACGCCGGGAAATTGATTTTGAAATTCTATGAAACATTCCTCAATAGAATACTTCCATATTCCATCAATCTTGCGTCCATTTCTAAAGTAGGACTCTATGATAAACACTTTTTGTTCTTGAGAAAACACCATTTTAAACGCTTTTTAAAAAGCGCTTTGACAGATGACGTTTAAGTTCATTTGCTATACGCTACGCCCTACGTCCAAATTTTCAGAACCAACTTGACCACGTTTTTATTTGAACGCTCCTTAGATGGTAAGTGTGTAAGTTATCTGTACTTAATATTTACAGTGTCGATATGGATTCTGAAAAAAAAAGCATTCGAAATAAAATTAATGTTATACGGCTAGCTATCAATATAATTTAAGTGTTCGAAGACTCGGGGAAATGTTTCATGTCGAAAAATTAATGTGAAATTCAAAAACATTTTCAGGATGGAAACTTAAGCCAAAAAACAAAAAAATTCACAACACTGCTAGTTGGTTTTGTAAGGTGTGAAACAAGAATATTCCCATATCAAAGAAAATGTGTTGAAAAAAACTCAAAGTTTGTATGTAACTCATAGCTTTCAATAGTCAGGTGGAAAAAAATTGTTAAATGAACAAAAAGCTAAGTCGCAATCAAGATTGAAGGACTACGATCCTTAAGATATTTTGAATGCCTTTCTTCTCGTGCAGTTTAGACAAAAATATTTACTCGTACATTAAAAAATCATAGTAATAGAGGAGGAAAATTTGCAAAACGCTCAGACATGAAAGATAAGGAAGAGCCTTTAGTTATTGATAAAAGTAGAGCATATGTGGATTGTAATAATTATTTCAAGTGTTTCGGAAGCCTATCTTTTTTTTCACCACTTTATCCAAATTCCTTGATATCTTTTGATACTTTTTAATAAAGTGGTCGGAAAATGAACCCTTTTTCAACCAGATTATTTTATAGAGGTGAGCAGGAATTAATTAATATATTACCCCTTTGGGGCAGACAACCAACAACACATAAACTTTTTACCTGCATTTTTTTTGGCACCACTTCTTAGGCTAGCAAGTTTTTTACTCCGGGATGGCCATTTCGATTGTAACCATACTGGTGATAGCAACCTCTAGGTTTTTTGAATGGCTATTACATATAACTATATAATATGTATAACAGGTACGAGTTTGTTTTTTTTTTTTGTTATAATATCCTAAGAGCCCATTATCGAAGCTCTTATCAAAAATTCTCACCCCCAAATAGCCTTAGTAAACTGTTCAAGCAAACTGTGACGTTTTTTTTTACGGAAAGAACCAGCTCTGCCTCTGTCTCGGCTCAGAGGTTTTCAATTTATTTAATAGGCATTTATTTCTTAATTTCTTGAAATATGTTCATTTAGTCGTAGAATGCCTTCCAAAAACTTAATGACAAGTCAGTGAAATAAAAAAAAAAATTTTTTTGCCAGTTTTGTGATTTCGTTTTAAACCTTTAATTCCAATTATTATTCAATGTAGGGGATGGTCAAAAATGGTAGAAATCAAGGAGAAATTAGTGAAAAACATGTAGAAAATTAATTTTTAATAATTATGCTTTTGTTCGAAAATCTTTCAGGTTATAAAAACAGAATTATATTTATACTTAGCGATTTCAGAATATCCATATCAGATTCACAGCAAGTCGAGCCCAAGACAAAGGATTTATGATGAACTTGTTACGGCTTACAAATAACAAAAAAAAAAACATTAAATGAGCGGAAACCAGAGCAGTCACCCTACACATTGGTACAATGCAATACGTTATAAAATACTACCTAATAAATACATTATATAAAAATAAATTTCTTATGCATTTGTAAATCACAAACTTATAAAAACTACTAGTTAATAACTTTTAATGTCATAAAATCGTCCAATAATTTTTATTTTTAGAAGAAAAAAATTTGTTTCCCTGCAAATATAAAATATCAAATTGTTAAAAAAAATACATAACCTACATTAATTAAATACATCAATCAAGTTCCGCAATCAACTCTGTTGTATCCGTAAGTGAATGGTTCTAATTTTAAAACAGCCTTGCACAATTCTAAACACACATTTTTCCACTATTGTAACTATTATCTTTGGTGTAAGATACTGAAAATAAATATACCCATTCTCTCGACGGTTTTACGTAACGTCCACTCAACGCTTGTTCAACTTAATCCACAAAGTCAAGTAAGTCGCAGCGTGCAGTAAACACCACGTGCAGACTATCAGAGAGATGTTGGATACAAGATCGACGTCGGTCATGTCCATCTCACCCAGGAACTTCACGGGGTCCTGGTAGTGGCAGTAGATCTCCTCGTCTGAGCAGTACAGTTCCGTCCTGTTTAAACCGTACAAAGTGTACACGAGACTCTGAAACGCCGCCCGATAATAGCTCAAATTAAATATCCACCTGAACGCCGGCGGGGTATCATAGTAACGTATGCAGAAACCAAATACGGACAGGAAACAGGCTAGGACCGGGGCTACAAATACTGCAACCTAAAAATTGAAGATATAGCAATCGATAAGGTTTCTTTGTAATTTCACAAGATTTTGGGCACTAAATCTTAAGACTAGATATTTAGATCTGACATTTACCTTTATAGGAGTGGTGGATCCTATGAAATATCCCATAGATTGACCGCAGAGGGACCCTGCTGTACAAAATAAAATGAATAAGAACAGCCTGAAGTCTAATGGCTGGTTTGTCAGGCAATACGAAATCGCAATATAAATCCATACACATATCACCTGAAAAGTAAAAATAAAATTGATGTGCTATTGATGAATTAAAGTTTACGTACCTGCTAATAAAAAAAAAGTTTATTTTTATCAATCATCAAATTAACTATATTTGACTTCTAAGTGTACAAAAAAAATATTAACACGATGTACTTACTTGAAATGGAATTTCAACCAGTATCACAGACAATAAATAGGGCGTCAATTTATACCATCTATTAAAATGTTCCCTCGTCAAAATCCTCATTTCCATTGGGACTAAAACAGAAAGCAGAAGTTACTTATCTTTTAGCAATTATTGGTTGTACTAATGATTGACGTCTCATTTCTTCCTTACTTTGTTATATCATTTTAAGTTTATTGCTATTCACTTAGACTGGAGATTTTAATGAATACACAGAGACGTAATATTAAATGGGCATTTTTACATTTAGAGAATTTTTCCTAAGAAATTTTCATTAATTTAGAACTAACAAAATACCAAACTAATTGAACTATAAAATTTAGAAAAATACTAACATTGTCAGTATTTTCTAAATCAATAATACTAGTTTTTAGTCTGCTTTGTCTGTGATACTGTTTTAAAGTTTGAATTTTGCTCGAATTTGCGTATTGCCTAATTTTTAGAAGAAGAAGAAGGGGAGATCTTGGAGTCAGTGTTTTGGCGTTTTGGCGCGCTTTTGGATTAGTTTTATAGTTTTAGACTTAAGATATAGATGTTGCAAGAAGTGCTGTTATGCTTGTGTTTTTGTGAAAAAAATGGTAATTTTTAAAGAAAATATTGTGTGTTGTGTGTGGTTACTGTGGTTCCTGAAACAACCTCCCAAGTAGATCTTCTACTCCTACATGAGTCAGTTTAGGTCAGGTAAGTTTTTTTTATGTAAAACTTACAAAAAAGACCTAAATTAGTTATTTTTGACAGGGTTCTCAGCGTCAGGGAAAACCTGAAAACCTGGAAATGTCAGGGAATTTGAGCTGTGTCAGGGAAACGTCAGGGAAAGTGCCAATATTCGTCAAAAATCAGGGAATTTTTAATGTCGTCAGGGAACATTTCTGAACGCCACTCACGCCGCGTCTAAATTCTTTATTTATTGAACGCACCCAGTTGCCTATTTCTATCTGTTTTAATCACACGTACTCGTAGATCAATAGAAAGAAAAGGATATATCTGGAGTGCATACCAGTGAGAGAGAACGTTGTGAGCGGGTATGTAAAAAAGGATAAAGATAAATTGCGTGGTGATTGTGCTGTCTGTTTTACGATTTACAAATTGTAGTATTTCTGAATTCTACAAAACACTACAAACAAATTCGTTTTCATAGAAAAAAGATCTGTACGTTCTGTATGTACTTTTTCTACAATTTACGTGCTGTTTATAAAAGGTAATAAAAAGCTGAAAATATTGTATGTATTTTATTTTTTCATTTTTTAGGTTAGAACAATGTCTCAACGAAAAACATTTAATTACAACTGGATTGATGAAAAACTTGCTCCAGTACAGTGGAAAAAGTATTTGAAGTCGGTAGAAAAAAATAAATATCAGGCACATTGTTGTTTATGTTATAAAACATTTGAATTAAGCAATATGGGTCGACGTGCTGTTTCCAGCCATTTCAATAGTGCAGCACATGTTAAACGGCATAAAGCCATTGAAAAAAACAATAATTTGCAAACAGTTCTTCAAGAAAATAGACAAACACAGAAATTGCTCATTTGAGAAAAAATATTTAAGGAAATGTTGCCGACATCCTATAATAAATATATTAAAGTTATATATTTGTTATTCAGTGAAATCTATTTTTATTGTTTTTTGTTGTATTTATTGACATTTCTGTTAAATCTCTTGTTAGATATTTATATTTGTTAATATTTAACATCATATATGTTTAATGCTGAATTAAATATTTTTAATAAAATGAAAATTATTTATGTCATTTATTTGTTATCAAATTTTGGTTTAAGTTTTTAAAAATATAAATTTCGTTTGCTTTTTGTCAGGGAATTTTAAAAAAATATGTCAGGGAAAACCTGGAAATGTCAGGGAATTTGGTTTTGAAAAATTGCTGAGAACCCTGTTTGATGTCATGTGACCAGTAATTTTGTTTGAAACAGTAATTTTATTTCTTACATGTTGGCAATTATTACATTTCGCTAAAATTAAAAGTGATAATTATTTACTAGGATACGAGGTATAACAAGAAATGCCCAAATCGTCACAAAAATTTTTCTATCCCCACATTCTCAATGTGCTGAACACGAATCTGAAGTACTTATTTGGTTGAACCTAGTTTTCAAGAAAAAAAATTTTTCAAAATTTTAACCTTTACATTTCATAGAACACTACACAGTACACAGGACACTTACCGGAAACACATTTTAATGAGTTCACAAAAAATTTAATTTATCCTATTTTTTTTGTTTATTACCAACTTGGATTTAATACAACTGTTTCATATCAAATTTAACTTACAAAGATACATAAGTATTTCACATTATTTTTAGTGAAAGCATATATTATGAAAATAAGAAACTTATATAGGTAGAAGACGTGTTAGGTACTACGCCTAATTAACCAAAATTTTTAACCTAAACCTAACTACGAACAAGTAGGTATGTACATTGTGTAACACATTTATTTAGGATCCAACCATCCCAAAATGATTATACGCACATTTCGCCAGTGACACATGTCTCGGGTATGACAAAATTGATAATAGTTTCCCAGTTAGGTAACCATGCTGAACGATGTGCAGCATCTCAGATAACAAGGCACTAATTTTACCACGGAATGCTATTTATAGCTCACAGAAGTAATTTGCAATTATTCACGGTTTTGAATAATTCATTTTGTTCAAGTTGAATTTAATTAAGCACACGCCGGCAGTTGGGGAAGTGCACATTCATTTTCATTGTATGGTAATATCGAATGGTAATGTTGAAAATGAAAAGTTCCAATTTTTTCTGACTCTTGCTCAGTATCGTTACAAATTATATTGCAATAACTATTTTTATCCTACGTGCTGTTTCAAACTAAGGCTGAATAAATGTAGTCAGGTCGCTTTTTATATAGTCTTATAATAAACATAAACAATTTGTTTTAAGGTTTAAGCGCCCGATTACGTTTTAATTTAATTTTTAGTTTTAAAAAATGCTTCACCTCCAAGACGCAAATATTACTGTTATGTGATTAGACATGGTTTTAGAATGGCATTTCTGATAGCACTGTTATTTCATGACTCATTTTACTAACATTAACTTCGTGTCTGTAATTATCTGTTTATTAAAACTGATTCTGATTCATGATTATTCATGCAAACTCCGACGTTTTTTTTTGCAATGATGTTAGATGTATGACCGTGTTCAAAGGTTTGTATTAATGAAATGACTCATTTTTACATCAAAGTAGAGCCTCCGGCTATTTAACTATTGTAACGAGCGTTCAAATAAAAACGTGGTCGAAGTTGGCTCTGACACATTGGACGTAGGGCGTAGCTTATAGCGACCAACTTAACCTCATTTCTCAACGAGCTGTATAGCAGCTGTCAGTTTCAATAACAAAGCGGCGAGATGACGTTTAAGTTCATTTGCTATACGCTACGCCCTACGTCCAAATTTTCAGAACCAACGACCACGTTTTTATTTGAACGCTCGTTATTTACCTCCCCATTTTATTAATCAGTAAAATCTGGCCTATATTATAATTATACTGAATCAAAAAAATATCCTGGTAGATTTTAAAATAATTTCAAGTAATACTTACAGGATAGTGTTACAGGCATCATCCCCGTGTATACTGTAAGAAGTAGAGTACCATAGATATAAACATAGTTAGCTAAAATCGTGTTTGCGCCCACACCAACATCCCAGTATAAGTAGCCGAAAATGAAGCCGATGATGACGTGCGCCAATAACCTATTGAGAGTGTTAAGCTGAAATATTAAAAAAAATTATTTATGCGTTCTTGGAATTCTAGGCAATTGTTATTTGGTAACACCCTTGATCCACTGGTTCAAGTTTCTAGTGGGATGTTACGAAACAATTGAACAAACGATAATTAAAAGTGTATTTAGGTTAGGAACTATCGCAACATCCTCCCCGGTTTTGAAAATATTTAATAATGAAGCCAAGCAGGTTGTCATTGGAAATAAAATATCTATCGTGAGTTGAGTCGATGTTTTGAAACTTTATAGGAATTACTAGAATGAAAAGTATAAGCACAGACTTACGTAGAATCTTCTTGTAGTTAACAAATTCCTTTTGTAGAGCAGAAGGAATTGCATTATAATGGCTGCAGGAACTGGAGTCGCTTCATCAGTAGGTAAAGTGAGACCTTTGGTTTCTGATGAACTTTCCAATAAATGTTCTTTCTCTAAAATAATTAAGAAAGTAGTAATAATTACGGATTTTAAAAATTCTCTCTCGTAGCATTGACAAGCAAGAATTCAATTTAGAAATATGTTTTTGATGTTTAAAAACGCTATTCACGAATAAAAACGTAAAAAACGGCTGCTACTCAAAATAGTGATGTTTGAAAGTTAACATATCTTTTCATCTCCTTTTTTAAGATACAAATGTAATTTGGAGGAACAAAAAAAGGTTCAGACATTCTGAGGTCTAAAATCTAACATCAGTATATTAACAGATCAACAGATAGAATAGAATGTCTTTCCTAATATGTCAAATGCTTGTGCATGTGTCTAATAATAGCCAACCATAGAGAGCTATTACCAATATTTTAGAAACCATAATGTTTTACTGTCAATAATGGCGCGATTTGCCATGAACTAAAAATTAATTGCAAAATATATAGTCATCGAGAAAACGTTGAAATTCGAAATATGTTTATATAATTACAAAAGCTTGAAATGTTAACGGTATTTGAAAATGTTTGCGTGTATCATGTAATCACGTTCAGATTTTCGTGGTCAAGGGTCCAAAGTTCTTAACCTGCTACTGAAATGTAGTTTGCATTTACTTCGACAAGTTATCAAAAAGGATGTCTGCCAAGGGCAAAGATAATATTTATCCAACGTTACGTATGGCATGACTAATTTGAATTTCATTTGTGACTTCGATTAGCTATCCATTAATAACATACGTGTGCCATAATACAAAACAAAGAATTGTCCAGGATATGATATACAGCGGGTGTTTACAGTTATGCGTTCAATTAATAATAGACAAGGCGAAATCGGCGGCTTCGTATGAAAAAATTTGTGGATTCGATTTTTTTGCATAATCACCTCCGTGAGATGTCTCTGAATAAGGATCAAAATGTTACCGGCCGGTAACCTGGTCACAATTTTTTTAAACTAATTTTTTTTAAACAAATTGCAAAATAACTTGTTTTGCTCCGGAAAAAGTATTTTGGGATATTCTAAACAAATTAGTTCCTATGCACTATGCCCCTAAAATCAACGGTTTCCGAGTTATAAACAATTTAAAGTATGAAAAAATGCAAAAAAGGTCATTTTCAAAACTCAAAAACAGTAACAAAAAATCAAGTTTTTGATGTTACTAAAATTTAAAAATAATCTTAATAGTAAAGTAATCTCTAAGTAAATATATGTCGAGATATATGAAAAAGTGAGGCGCTGACGGGGTCGGCGCACAGTGGAGTGCCCGAGTGGCGCGGCTCGCAAGTCAAAATGTATATTGTTAATAGGTAAAATAATACGCATTGCAATCAGTCCTCCGTATTTTATCAAGGTATGTTTAAAGATTACTTTTAAATTTTAGTAACATCAAAAACTTGATTCTTTGTTACTGTTTTTGAGTCTTGAAAATGACCTTTTTTGCATTTTTTCATACTTTAAATTGTTTATATCTCGGAAACCGTTGATTTTAGGGGCATAGGCATAGGAACTATTTTGTTTAGAATATCCCAAAATACTTTTTCCGGAGCAAAACAAGTTATTTTTGCAATTTGTTTTAAAAATAAATAGTTTAAAAAAATTGTGACCAGGTTACCGGCCGGTAACATTTTGATCCTCATTCAGAGACATCTCACCGAGGTGATTATGCAAAAAAATCGAATCCACTAATTTTTTCATACGAAGCCGCCGATTTCGCCTTGTCTATAAAGTCCTATGAACCATCAAAAGTTTTTGGAAATTATTTTGTTTTCTTCTCTTTCATATATTCATCTAGGTATTTGTTTTTATTTTTTTCCGTAATATTAATTAGGAAATAACATTCGCTTGTAGTTGTACTTGAATGAATTTTCGGTTATTAAAATGTTTGAAGTTAACCGAAGTGTTATTTTTAATATGTAACTTTTTTGACAGTGTGTACAATGTCGATGTCAATTTTTTAATCCTGGCTCATACCAAAGCAATAACTTTTAAAAAGCGTTGGAGATATGTATTTTTTTCGATCAGTCAATAATTACCTATATGGATTTTTAGGACCTCAATCACACTTTGTTCTGATGTCTAGGAGGCATACCTAGGTACACCCAAACAAATAATTTTTTATTAGAAAGGACCGCACACGAAATGATTTCCACTATTTCCGCCTCTTTTGGAAAATAGGCTTGACTGGTTCTTATACCAAACCCTTCAATTAGAGAGATCTTTGCTTACCTTTTGCGGTGCCAATTTCGCACACCCTCATCTGCTGATTTACCCTCGCAGAGTGGGCCAACAGTGAGATATCCGCCCCGTGTTCTCCAATGGCCACTTCTATTACTAATATTCCAAAATTTATTATCCCTTCATCATAATTCAGTTAATTATACTTACAGTAGTCAGCCGGATTATGATACGGTGGACATCGAAGATCCAAATTTCCTAAATAATTGACTAAGTTGCTGGTTGTGCCGTCGTATATACATTTGCCATCGGCTAGGGCGTACAATTTATCGAACATTTCGAACAATAAGGCCGAAGGCTGGTGAATGGTCGCTATGACGGTTCGTCCCTCCGTGGCCAACCTTTTGAATAAGGCGATGCACTGGGTGCACGAAGAACTATCCAACCCACTGAAAAGGCAAATCAAATTTATTTGTCCAAAAGAAAAATATATACTTCAGCTAGAAGTTTATGAATGAAAAAAAATAAAAAATATATATATTTCAACTGGTACGTAGATCAAAGTTGACGCAAACGGAAATGATGAAATGTTCAAAACGGGACGCGATCAACGACAAAATTCGTTTTGAAGTTTTCATTGACGTTTGTGAATTTTGAACCTATTTTATTTTAGTTACTATGCTTTGAAAAACATAATACCGAAATTCCTAATTAAACAATTTCTTTGGTAAATAATAAGACAATATCGCGTAAAGAATAATAAATTAGAAATAATTGGCTCATTTTTTCGAGAAAACTTTGTCTTGGAAATTTAAGAGACAGACCCTCAAATATACCAATAAAAAAGGAAATTTAAAACTTATTTACATTTAATAATTACTAAATTATATTACTAATAATTCTTCATTTCAATTATAAGTATCGTAAATATGGTGGGAGAGAAAACTATTTTAAATATTTTTGTAGGTATACTTCTAGGTATACTTATTTGTTTTCAAAATAAGCTATAAAATATTCCAATTTTAATATTTTAGAGTAAATAATAAATGGATATTAAAAAATTATAAGCGATAAAAATTAAAAAATATGTAAACAAAATTATTATTTTAGTAGGAATACGTTAAAAAAAACCTTTAAGGTTGAACCTTGATTTTTGAAATGTTCACCATCATGTTGCTAACATAACTGTAATCTATTTCTTAGACACCATACTTTTTCTTATTTGAAAATTATTATTTCTAATTTCCTTTGCAACTCCATTAAACTTGTCCTTCAATTTTTTGTTTCTTTTTTATCTATTCGTGCTATAACAATGCTATGCTTATTTGTTATTTTTTTTATATCAGTCTTATTTAGTTAACTATTTCTTGGTGTTAATCCTTTAATTAAAATTTTGCCTTTATTGCAAAACAGAAAATGCAAACACTATGGACTGTGGACGTGGTTTCGTGAATTTGTTTGTTTTAATTTGAATGACGCCCAAGTAATAAAATTTCGTGTTTTATCGTTAAAATAATAAGTAGGTCGACATCCATTAAATGTAATTATAATTTTATTACTTGTTCACAACAAATGAAGTAACAAACCTCGAGACTTTTTACCAACTGTAATTATTTACTATCTTAATTAGAATTTTCGCAACTGCAGACACCGTTTCCACAATTTTAATCTACAGCGTTCAGCAATGTAGAAATCTTTTGGCCCGATTTTTACGCGTTAACGTATTTCTGTCTAATTTGTTGAGTTGCTTCAGGCTGTCTAATGCAATACAGGGAAATTTTGTCACATATTTCATTCTCCTTGTTGAATTGCTCGAAAAACATAAACTTACGTCGTGGGTTCGTCCAGAAACAATATGGGAGGGTTACTGATTAACTCCAGAGCCACAGCCAACCTTTTCCTTTGGCCTCCCGAAAGCCTCGACGTCAGCGTGTGGTGGCATTGGTCTAGACCTAATAATTCCAATATCTCGACAACCTACAACAATCGACATTAGTGATATAGTGCAATCCTTGAAACCCTAACAAACATGCTTTTGTTTCTGTTGTAAAGTCGGGTACAGAGGTCGAATTTGTTACGCTCATATTTTATTACCAACTCAATTGGTGGGATGATTAGTAATAATTTAAAAACGTCGGGTATACACTGATTCGTAGCAGTTGTTTTCTTGAACAATTGCCGCTCATCTCAGAGGAATAATGACGGTGCGAAGAGAAAATAAGGAAAGGTTCAGAATGAAATTTATTTATACTGCTGGCATTTTACATTAGTCTCACGTATGGAAATGAATAATTCAGTACTCACTGTTACAATTGCTTTGTTAAATACCCGATTTACGTAAATATTCTCCATAATAATTATAAATTCTTATTATTATTTGCGTGTACGTTGTAGGAACCGTTTCTTATCTAAATATTTTTTTGTTGAAAACTGTGCCTAGATATTCAAAACTTAAACATGTTTATTTTCCATGCAATATAAATATTTATCAAAACCTGTAAGGGCTTTACATTTTTTACGTTAATAAGTTTCAAGAACAATATTTTTATGACAAATATGATATGATAGTGATACATAATTAATTTATTAATAATAATAATGATAATCTTAGATATTAACGTAGAAAATATTTTATTTATTCATCTCCAAAATAGGACAAGGATAGAATACTTATATTTATCAAATATATACATCTCGTTGAGCTAGCTGTTAATGTATATATATACTTTTAATGCAAAAAATAGCTTTAATCACACATGCACACATATGGTATTCATATATTTCCGCTGCTATGGAAAATACTTGCTATACAATTGAAATAATTCATAAATTGTTTTCTTCATGTCATGGCAGCTTTTGCTATCTTTATCGCTGGAAACAGTTCCATTAATTAATGTTTACATTTTTAAAATATTCTGCAATAAATTATAAACATATTAATGTTTACGGTGACTAAAATATTTTAATTAATTTATAGTAAATATCACTGATAATACTCTAAAAATCCTAAGCAAAGATCAATAGATTACTAATAACACAAACTCACTGAAAAACTCATCTTCTAATTCAAAATATCCTTAGATACAAGCTGAACTTTAAAAGGAGGAGATAAACGATCAGAAATGTACGTAGACACGAAGAAAATATCCAAAACATGCACTTTACAATGATAACCTCTTGGGCAAAAGTTATTTGAATCACCAACAAAAGTGACATCTAAAATTATTTAATAAAAAAAAAATGTAATGCAACATATTTTTAAGGTCATCGCTCAACCTCGGGGCTATAATTTAATTAGTATTAAAATATGTAACTGCGTAAGATGTACGATATACCAACCGTATAAGATTCTTACACAACTACCACCTCTTTGATATTTTGCTTTATCACCACGTCTACAGCTACTTTATTCTTCGTAAGAATTCGGTAATGAAAAACATTTCACGTAAGGACGTAGGCAACTCAAAAATTTATTCTAGTTTAACCTATTTATTATTGAGCAAACTGCAAAGTCACATCAGCCACATCTAGAGAGATAAATAGATCGATAAAACAACCCACTTCGTTACCTGTTGCGTTTTGTACTCCGTAGATACTCCGTAACCTAGTTTCAGGTGAGCAGCAAAAGTCATAGCCTCCTTGGCTGTCAAAGCCAAACGCAATTCCTCGTCTTGTGGTATATAGGCGGATAATTTCCTGTAACGCGGATTTCCATCTCTCACGGTATCGTTGAGCTTCACGATACCGGTGCTTCCTCTAGTTCTGCAACAGAAAGCGATATTTCGTACAGCGAGGGTAAAAAAAATGAAGGTTTCTAATCGAAAATTGCGCAGGACTGTCATGCAATCGACAGCCACAGGTCATCTTTGTTCTTTCTATGAAGAAATTAATTATACTGGTTATGTCACAGATAGATTTAAGAATAATTGTCGAAAAAATGATCACTGAATTCTTGAAATGATTTGGATAATATCACTACAAAACTTAATAAAGGTTCCTTCATTACATAATCAATTAATTTTAAAAAGAACACCACCTCGATGTCAATATGTGAATGACGTCTTCATATCATTTAAAAACATCGTAAGCCACAAGAAAATGATTAAATGCTTCTTCATTTACGCAGCTGTATTTCGTGTAAAAGTTTGTGTGCAGAATTTTAAACAATACAGTGACGGTAGCAGGAAATATCTGGTAATACTTTGTCTGCTGAAATGATGTTTGAAAGACCTATGATTTTTAAAATAACAATAAATGAATATATTCTACATCGGCAATAGCACTGTTTTATAACTATATTAGTCCACTTTGTTATCAAATCGTTTCGCTATGAAATATCGCATTAAACCCACAGCAATTGTTTCATATAATTTTCTAATCCCTAACATGGTATTTCAGACCTGAACAAATGTCACACGAGTTTCATCTCATGTGATGAGTAGTATGCCAAGACCTAGCATAACGGTGATACCTTTCAGATAAATATTCTGTTTACGCAATAACGAGTCTAGTGTGTCTTAACACATAGTTCAAGTTCTATGCCATTTTTGTACCGCCTGCGCCTTTGAGAAGATTAAGTAGGTCTTAGATTGTAAACCAGTTTGGAAACATGGATACATAATTAGTAAATAACCGAAAGTTAGTCTATTGTAAGTATATTTTTTACTGCTGAAGCAATTTTGACGCGAGAATTCTATTATTTGGGAATGTTTTAGTATGGAGAAAGTAACAAGCTGAACCACACACGTGAAGAAAAAGGATTATCGTGTGACTAAATCGTATTGTCTCTATTTTGTATGTGTGGATTATGCTATATCTGATTTCTATTTATCTTTCTTTAGTTTATTCAACTGTGTGTACTGCACTCAAAGAAGAGCAAGGCGCTTGACCTAGATTACTTCGTTTACATTTCTTTTTAATAAATAAACACGTTTTCTTACAAACAAATTTTTTTCTTGAGCTGAAGGATATTGTCCCTGGACCACTGGACTATCAAATAAATACATCCGCAGCCTGTGTTGCTTAATCAACTTTATAAGTGCTAATTGACATTGTAAATCTAGCGATTTATAATTATCAACATTAAGATCACCTTGATGTTTATTGTTTACCTGTAAACTGTTAGAAGGGCATCAAAACTCAATCTGATTTATAATGCAAGAATTTCAAAACAGCATTTTATTCGTAACTAGTGAGAGATACCTATATATGAATCGAGTTAGTTTATACACGCCAGTTGACAATGAAATAAAGTGGCAATGAAAAATTCATGTTCACTCGACTTTTACACGATTGGTTAGTTAAAACTGTTAGTAATATCCGTTCTGACTTTATCCGTATCAATTATTATTATGGCATTACGTTGTAAATACCTAAGTTGCCACTTTATTTATCCTGCGGAAATATTTTTACTCCCACATCGGGAAAAGTTAAATATTATTCACTTAACAGAATGAAATCAAACGAACAAACTGTAGTCGCTAATTCGACAGAAAATTCCGTTCTTGGAAATTTCCATGTTAAAACCGAAAATTTTGAAAAGATTCTAGATTAATTCGATACTTTGTTCCTAAAACCTGCATTTACTTAAGGTTTAAGGAGGAGACATCAAGTCTGTAATACTATATAGAACGCTTTACAAAAAACATGCATCAGAGATCGATACTCATATATTTTTATTATAGACTATGTGCCTATCGTCTTTTGTTTTCGAGACACAAGGTGTGAAAAATTATTTTTAAAAATCAAATTTTAACCATATATTTTCCAAAAAACAATGTAATGCTATGAAATTTCTCACAGGTAAGTTATTGAAGGTACTAAATATATCAGGTGTTATTAGTTTTTGACGATTAAAACTATGTTAGTGTATTAGTTAAAATAGAATAAAAAAAATAAAAGCCAACTTTTTAAGGAAGCGATTTCAATTTTAAGTAAAATAAAATTTTACATTATAACATGTAGCGAACGTAACCTCAAAAAAGTTATCATAAAATGTCACAAGAGTAGGTTGAAGCGAGTGACATCTAGCAGATGGTAAAATATCTACCACATTTCAATACCCTCGATTGTATTTTGGAAAAGATATGGCTAAATTTTTGTATGAAACATTATTAACAACAGGCTCCTGAATTTATGGTACCATTTTTTAAAACACCCTGTATAGTACAGTCTGAGGTAAAATACATATGTACCTATTAGTATATCAACAGAGAAGCTTTATTTTTTAATCACTATTAATGAAGTAGATATCTATTTTAATGTGTTGTTATAAACTATAATTATTTTAACAAAAACTGTTGCCATACAAATTATAAATTAATTAATTTCCTAGTTTACATTAAATTATTTATAAATTGTCAGTATAACTACATATTTAAAAAGTCTTATTATTATCGTCGACGACATTTAATACAAACTTCGTGATGACTACGTTAATTATATGCAGGCAGGTACCTACATACGTAATGTGTAGGTATTTTTGTTTTGATTATCTTGAATGGAGAAACCCAATACTTTAAATTATCTAGGTTTAGTTACTATCCTAATGTCTGTTTCTCGCATAACAAATGCTTTTAATTATCCAGAATTAGTTTTTAAATTCAATTTACGTTTTAAATCGGTTTTGGTGCAGACCTTGGTACATAAATAGCAGTAAGTACTGAATAAATATGTAGTACGGGACTATACCTTATTCGTAGTACAATAATAATATCTTTGATTGCACGATTTAGTAGCACCGCTGAAAAAAGGGATATTCAAGGTATTCCTAACGTAGTAGCTTGAATGTGTTGTGGTGGGGACAAACACCTTCACGAGGATATTATTTTTAACTATATGATTACGAGTAAGAACTTTGATAGTAATTATTCAGGTACGATTCTTCTATTAGTAAATTGACGTAACTGTCAAAACGAGATAATTAGAAATTACATTTTCTTAATTGTATATTACACACGTGGTTTGATTAATTGTGTATATTTGTGTATAATTATTGTTATGAGCTTTGAAACCATAAAGCATTACAGAAAGTTGCTAATAATAACCAGCATACCTATTAACCGTACGTCGTGTTTTAGTGTCTATTTGACGAAGTTTATAATTTGTGTATATTCTAAAAGTAGTATAAGCGCTTTCAGTTTAAGTCTGTATACTGTATATACAGTTTATCACGGAATACTTACACGAAACCAGCGAGTACGTTAAGTAAGGTACTTTTTCCTGCCCCGGATGGTCCCATGATGACCGATAATTCGCCAGATTTAAACTGCCCAGACACGCCATGAAGAATCTTTTTAACTTCTGAAACAAAAGGACTTCTGTTATAATACTACCGTTTTATAAATTTTCACAATATGCATAACAAACATAGGGTTTTGGATCCATGTTTAGTAAATTTACGTTGAGCAATGTTTTGTGTATGTTTTTATTTGAAGTTTAACGCAGATATATTACATTGACTTTTTTTACTATTAAAATTATAATAGAGTTAGGGAGACTAGAAGTTAAGGGATGATATGAGAAATTTTAAAAAGTCATAACGAGCAGAAAAATTAATGAATTTCAAAAGGTTTTTTTATCTACTCTAAAAAATATACAGGGTGTTTGGAAAAGTTGTTACAAAATTTAAGGGGGTGAAAGTAGAGCCAAAAATAGTAAAAAAGGTTCCTATAAACATTGGTCCTCCGGAGCGCCGTTACTGAGATATGGCCCTCCAAAGGGGTCTTATCATTTGGATATTTTTTAAAATAACTTTCTTATTAATTGTAAGATAACGGAATGAAAATTGTAATCATACCATAAGGGTCTTTAACTACCATAAGTTTAATCAAAATCGGTTATAAACAAGGATAGTTTTGTAACTACTCTTAACATAAATTTTTCGAATTTTTTGTATTCCTTTGAATTATCAAGAAAGTAATATTATTTTTTAATGAATTAGACTTGTTTGAAGAAAAAATGTATCTGCTTTTTTTTTCGAATTCTGCGTAGTTTAGTCAGAAATAATTATTTTTTCAATAATGTATGGCTCGGAACAGTAACTTTTTTTTAACATTTTCACATAGTAGGCATCTTTCATAGTGACAGTTTCATTGTAATGATACTAATGATTGTCACTTTCACCTGCTATGATTTAAATTATTATGTTTCTTTATTTTCTTAGTTGTGATCTGTAAGTAATTAATTAAAATTGACAATTAAAAAATTAAAATTGTTAACTTTTTTATTGAAAGTAAAAAAATATCTATTTTTCCTGAAAAGAGAGTTTATATTCTTTAGAGCAGATTAGATTATAATGCAAATTAACATGATGTTCCTTTTTTATTCCGTCATTTTTTTTTTGTTAAACACCTACCTTCATATATTAACACACATAATTTATATAAATTTTTGTGATAAACAAATATTTAATGGCTTGGATCATAATTTACTTGATGAAATATACATATATTTAAAATTAATTTGACAGAAAAAAAAATCTGCTTGCAGTCCTCAGAAAAACAAATTAATAATTCAATCACCTTCTATCCTGGTATTGTTAAGGTGACAATTTATTCATATAGGTAGTTAACGCGAAGGTTAAAATTTGCTATGCAAATTTATTGGAACAGAATTTATCGAAATATATTTTCAACGTTATTTTCTTGTTCAAAGTCTACGAATTTAATGTAAAATTGGACTCCAATTATGTGTAACTGCTGAAAAATATTATATTCATAAAATAGACAATGAATAGACACTAAATTATATTGTTAACTTAATTAGTTAATAAGAATGGATTGTGTGACACTACAAACTGCATTTCATAATTGCATGCACTTTTATTCAGGTACGCACGTCACTCTCGGGTGCTTATAAAAACATTGGTTACTATTTAGTAGATTTAAATTTTTAAATTTTTTAAATGTTACACCAACACTTTAGAACAAAATCAAAAACAAAAATAAATCATAATCTGTTTATGTCTTGCGAAACAAGCGAGCAATAACGTTTGTCATTGAAGGACACTGAGCCTTATTTATTTTATGCATAATTTTACATGTCCAAATTAGTCAAACTTTTTAATTTTTGATAAAGCCGTAACATAAAGGGTCAACAAAAACGATTATCTTAATTATGTTTACCGCTCCGTTTGTTTATAGTTAGTGAATTTTAAGTTGGGTCGTCTTCAATTATTTCTAAAGTTATTTGTTTGCAAATTTAATATCAATTTGGAACCGATTAATTAAAACATATCATTAACTTTTAGCAGTACAGATTTAAATACAGATAGTCAGTAGTGTTCTACATTTGTTTCCATCAGAAGTTGCAGACAATAGTTTCTACTTCGACAAAATTATATTTCAATTTTTACTCTTCAGACTATTAAGAACTATTTGCAATATACATTATGTTCATTATCTCATTTATTGTAACCTTTACATAATTCCCACCTATACAATAAGGTATACGGTAGCTGTTCGAAGGATAATCTATTTTTATAAATCCAACTGGGATTATTCCAAATTTTCACTATTATTTGGTAGGATTTTTTTTCCACTTGGCTTAAATTGGCGTGTTGTTAGATTATTTGCTTATTAACGGGGACGTTTTTATACGTAATATTCAGCGAATTTATAAGAATCTGCCGATGAGGGTTTTAGAAAATCTTAATCAAGTTTAAAAGTGTAAAATATTAAAGAATGTTGGTACATATTCAGTATCAGTGTTAAGTTTAAACAGGGACAAAAAAAATGTGTTATATTAAAATTACATTAAAAAACGTTTTCCTTTAAAAAAAAATAGCGAACACCGCCCATACAATATGGAAAAAAGTATAGGTAATTTATAATTTGTAAAAAAAATTCCAATTTTTTATTTTTGCGTCCGTATATTAATAATTAAATATAAATACGTATTACTGGATATTACAAAAGTAAGTACTTCAGTTTCATAGTAGGTATTTGTGCTTTAGTAAGGGATGATTTCAACTCTAATGTGGAATAAAACAAGAATATCTGATGGTTAGTGTACGAATGACTACACCGACTTTAAACTAAAACCAGGGTAATTAGCATATAATAACTATTGTAAGACGTATTCGTCAATACGATACATCCCGGAAACGACAGTAGATCGTGAGCTATTTTCCATAGTTAGTAGTTTTGTTCTGCAAAGTGGATATGATTTACTCTCATATATAAGTTTATTTTTTAAGTCTACCAATATTTAAATGGTGCAAACAAAGAAGGTTTATAAAAAATAAGCTTTTAAGCCATGCTATGATTTATTATTAGGAAAATACTTCAACGCACTAATGTTAGAGAATATCAAATTATTTTGATTTCTGCAACAGATATCGCCTGCCGGTTGCCTACCAACTCAATATTGTAAATAATAGGTACATTTAATCAAGGAAATATATGATGTACAGAGTAAACGCAAAATTTATAACATTTCCAATATTTCTTGATCTCTGGCTATGAACTTGTTTCAGTGTACGTTCTGTAAGTTTTTATCTCGCTCTGCCAGTATTGAGCAATGATAGCCGTTAACATAATTTTTTACGAGCCGATATTTTGCAGTTAAAACAGTTGGTTTCGCTTTAAATGTAAAAACAAGTATATCGGACAATTTTTCAATTGAAACTCGTCGAGGAACCTTGTAATAGATTCCAGTAAAAGATACATATGACTTGCGTGACTTTTGTATTAAATCACTTATTGTTAGCAGTGGTTAGCAATTGGAGCAGAATATACAGATAAATAAACACTCATTGTCAACATCCTCTCAATAAAAAGAAGACAGAAATAGTATTTTGAGATATCTTTTTTTTATTGCATATATGGATGCGCCAAATGAATACACAAAATAGAGCGAATCGCCGGTTCTTGAAATTTGAAGGATGTCGATAATGTCTACGTTTCTATAATAGGTTTTTGGTTGACCGCCTAAGCATGTCAGTTGATTGTATGCAGTTGCGATATTTCAGCCCATATAATAGCTTAATATGCTTCCATACTGAAATGGCGCAAAAATCTATGCTTCACTAATGAAAACTTTTCCTGCGATTAAGAAAGCGCGCCATATACGCTTTTTCTATAAAAAAATCGGCTCGACAGTAAAAAAATCACTTTTTACAATGAATAAGTAATTGTTATGTTATATATTTTTTATATCAAGACGGAAAATTATGAATGAATACATTATTGTGTGGAACAATAGATTGATAAAATATGTATATGAGGTCAATACAACACGTGATACCAAACAGCGTTGCGAAAGTGAGAAAATTAAAACTAGTCTTGATTTTCTGCATGGGATATTTCATATTTTGCCATAAGTGGTGGGCTTTATAAACTTATTAAACTATCATTTAGCTTCTTTAAAGCAAAAATATTCGCATTTTGTTATAATATTTCAGATAACATAAATTGTACACGTATTTCTGTCAAGATAAGAGATAAAGGAGGCCAGTAACATATCGGAATGAACAATATTTTTATTTTTAGAAAAAACATAATTTCTGCCAACACTTTCAGAGGTTTTTTCTTTAAAAGTTATTTGAAACATTAACAAAACTGTTTGTTATCCTCGAACAGCTGGTTTCAATAACAAACGTTATCCGGCAGACAAATTTTATCAACTAACTCAGGCATGTGCAGTGGTAGACGTTTTATTTCAATTTGGTAGCATTCCAGAACCTTCAAAAGAACATACCGATAAGAAACGTAATGTTTTCATATTAAAACTGATTCATATTTGTAAATAGTTGCAGATTTTGTCGTTGATTAGAAAGCTATATTGTTATTAATATGATAATGAGTACGATTTTTGTAAAAACAAACATGTTTTTTTACTAGCCATATGTCTATATGATTTCATCGGCACAATTGCTAGTTAAGTAATTAAGAGATTGTTATTAAATATCGTTTAAATTTATATATGCGTTATATTCTTTTATTGTGCCACCGGTGAACAAAATTTTAAAAATCAATGAAAACAACCCTTTATTTCATATTTTTTTTTAAATTCTGTTCACAGAAATCAAAATACCAAATAGATAAGTAAAGGAAATTATGCCACAAATAAGAAACTCCAGACAATATCAGTAGTATCTATTCTTTGCATAAAATCAGATTTTAATCTTGCCAATTCAAATAATATTACACAACAAGCTGGTTCTTTCTTAGAACATTCCATACTCCATAAACACATAAAACAACTTACTTTTTTTTACGAAAAAGAGCGCTATTCTAAGAACTAACTCATGATATATTTATGCAATGCTTACAGTCATGATCTTGAAATGATTTTGTTTTTCCTTTCATATATTTCTTCTGTTCCGTGCTACAATTTTGATTAATGTTTCACGATATTTCATTATCATTCATTGGAGGTTATTGTCAATTTGTTGGGAAATCCTTCCTCTTCGTACTGGATCAGTATGTCAGAAGTGATATACATATTATCTCTTGTCATGTATGTATGTCATGGTCATATTCTGATCTTCAAATCTGGTTAATGACAAATTACAATTACGAGATAAGGGTGTTCGTATTTGTTAACTAGTCTTAAGGTCGCTGACAAATGGAGAATAAAAAAAAATGTAAGTACCTATTTGATGTATGATTCATACTATCAACAGAATTGAAAATTGGAAAAATCAATTTCTTAAAAACTTATGTTCTTAATATTTTTGGTGAAGGAATTAGTTAACTTAACAGGTATAATATCTACTTATTTGTCTGCAATTTAAAATTTTAATTTACGTAAGTATATGCTTCTACACAACTTTTTCCTTATCGAAACAGTGCTGATCTAAAATTAATATTTGCAATACTCAATAAGCGTAAATAATAATTTCTAACGGGGCAACTCAAATAGATTACAGAGAATTTAGAATTTGTGTTTTAGATGTATTTACCGTATGGGAAAATATGAGAGTAGGATTCGTAGATAAATACATTAATAATTCTTTAAACCTGAGACCGGCACTCTCTAATTTGGAAAAAGTAAACAACCTGCTTTGTACACAAGAAGCTTCACTTATACACCTCCTAAGTTCTATAATACTTTGCCTGTTGTAAACAATTTCTTTCTATCGTATACTTAGTTGAATTAATAGTAAGTTTTTCTTTATTGCTGTCCACTTAATTCAATCATAATAATTATGGTACTGTTATATCAATTACAGGTATGTACATATTCTGGACATATTTTCATTTTGCAATGTATTTATTTTTTTTTTAGTTTACTGTAATGTTATAAAACGGTATTTTAAACTGGATTCGCTTAATTGTTTTTTATTAAATCTAATAAAATCAAGTCGAAATCAAAGCGATAATCATAATTTTATTATCCTTATCGTGCTGGTAAGATTAAAACATTGCTTCTCAAACTTTTCACAATATTTTTTAATATTTTTTGTTACTACAAAAATACTTTATATACTTATAAAAATTAATTAATATTATATACTGAATTTACATGTAAGAATATTACGACATGGCAATGACAATTTTGAGTCATAATTGGGTGGGAAAAAAATTGTCAAATATCTTAAAAAATTAAACAAAAAAAATCCATACGATCCATAACTTTTTGAGAAAGCATTTATATTGAATTGCGTCTCAACCCGAGATGACACCAACAAAACATTTAATCCTCAAAAATTTACCGATTAAAATTGTTTGTACTTTACGTATTATACAGTTTTTTTATCAGTTTAATGTTCAGTAATAAAATAAATAAAAATATAGATTAAATGTATAAAAAATAATGAGCTTGTACAATGATATTGCAAATCGAAATTAAGTTAATTTAGTTAAAATGCAATATATTACAGTGTGACCTATATCGAAAGGTATTTTATTTAATATTTTTTAAAGATAGCCTGAATTTTTTATTTAAAATCTGACTACGCCACTGGATACTGCATCTCCCCAATGTCGTAAAATTAATATCAAAAGTTTTATGACTTGCCTTTGTCTAAATTATTATAAAGAGACAAATAAAATGTTCACTAATGTGTTTTTTCATGAAGTGCAGTTCCAAATAAAAAAAAATATTTAACTATGTCCAATTTTTATGTGTTAATGACATATCAATATTTGTATTTTTTTTTGTTACTTTTTGTTCATTATAATTGGTTCATCCACTAAAATTAAAAATTATTTATTGATTTGGAACTGCAGATTTGCGAGAAACATCTAGATTATTTAGGAACAACAGAAATGATAAACTCTAATATAAAATACAGAAAAAAAATGATAAATCAAATAACTTCAATTATTAAATAAATCAATAAATACATTTTTTATAACGATGTTTCTATTTGAAATGGGTCACGCCATACATCAGTTTCGTAACAAATTATAAGCATTTTTGCGATTCTAAACTAAAATGAAATGAACTAAATCAGAGAAAAACTCACCTCTCTTGAATTTCGTGATGGACCAACTCCAAGACGTAAACGTGATATTCTCGAACTTCAGGTCCACAGCCTGCTTCTTCGGGAAATGGTGCTGGTTCTTCATCTGCGCTTGAAGGAAACGATTGTTGTTGTTTTCAGGCGTCGTCACGAAAACGTTTTTCGTCTCACAAACGACCCCGTCGTCGTCGTCGGCGGACAACGACGTGAGCGAGTCGTTGCTTTGACAGCATTTTAGCGGACTGCTGCTGCTCGGTTTAATTCTGTCTTCCCTGATAGACATCGTCCGCTTCGCGTTTCAGTGAAAATTACTCCTATGAAAGAAACATGAGCTGAAAAATTTAATGTTTGATTTAGGGTTCACAGCGACGGATTTTAGTCAGAAAAACGAGCGCGGCGTTATCTGTTCATGGAAAGTAATACAACCCGCACGATCTCAACGTTTAAATGAAACTGGCGAACAAACGCGCTGTTTTGTTTATTTATAACATCGTCTATTACCGCGCTAGAAGTCAAGAGTCGTCGTGTTTGAGGCGGTATTATCAAAATCGGGGCCAAATCGTTTTTTTTTTTTTTGAAAAACGCCGATAAAAAATATGTAGGTAAATATGTTTTTGCTAACTTATCTGTTTCTTTTATTCTAAACAACATAAGAAACTAAAATTAGTATCAATTTTTATAGAGATTATATGCTTATTATATAATACATATACTATGAAATAAGTACTAATGTTTTTAAACAAAACAAACAAAACATAAGGGTAAGAAGTAGTTCTATGCTACAATTAAATAAATAGGACTAACTAAAATGAATATAAATAAAAAGAACTAGATGTATAATGTAACACTATTTCCTAATATACTGTTAGGTATCTCACTTCCTGTTATCAACATCCGTAAAGGTTTGTTAACAGGTTTTGTATAAATATTGGAAATAAAAGTAATTTTCTCGAATCGTTCCTTAAGTTTTGATCATTGTTGGTTGAATATTTTTAACAGCAAAATCAATATGCCAAAGTAAATAAACAAACAAAAGGCAGTCGGCTGTCACATTTGACTTTCAGCCAATTTAATTGGTTTTGACAACGAAATCAGGGAGGTTTTTGTAACGTTAAATATACTCGTATGTTATGTGTAAACGTGCTTGTGGTGTATTTAGCTAATGATATTTTTTATTATCTTTTTATTAGCAATATATAGAAAAGGATTTAAAATGTTTAAACGAAAAATATAAATAATGGTGTGTAGTTTTATAGATACTAAAAATGTTCTTTGCGGTGTTTTTCAATGCTTATTTCTGTTCTGTTGTTTGAAAATAGTTAAAATAATTAAAAAAATTAAATAACACACCGTTTGTCACTAAAAAACAATGAAATATCACTAATGTACACATTTAATAGACTTTGCTCACTAATTCTTACAGTTGACGGTAGCAATATCAAAAAAGATAAGATTAGAACCCCCATGCGTCTCTGTCTGCCTCTACGATTATTCACAGTCCAACGTTTTTACCCAAAACATCGTAAATTACTTTTACGGTATCAACGACACTTATTGCGGTAACTATTTCTACATAATATAGGCTTAGAATATTTTACAATATCGGTGGCATACATTTAAAGTTGGTGTTTGTATTTGCTGTGTATATCAGTGAATATATCGTGCGACAGATACAAGAGACTAACAACCTTTAGACTTCTTAAGTAAACAAACTACTTGTAAAATTTCCTTTCTTTCTTAAATTTTGGCTGACCTTATAAATTCCGGAAAAGCAGTGTAAGTTTATCAGCTGTATATTTGGGACGAGTGTGTGATAAAATGATTATTTTGAGAAGCAAAAACAACGCATCAATTAAAGCTGATTTTTTTAGATGTTACCGGTTGACATGAAACCAAAGATTATTTTTTTAATTATCAATGTGCGATAGACTAAACCAGGGGTCGGCAAACATTTAAGCCGGAAGAGCCATCTGCAATAAAAACATCGATTTCATGAATTTCAAAGAGCCACGAATTTCTATTTCTGTTTTTTACATTTTATATCAAATTTAATTGGGATACGGGAGTCCATACGCGTCTTTATGTCCGCTTTTAATTTTCAGGGGAACTTGAAGAGCCGCAATTGTCTCTTGAAAGAGCCGCAATTGTCTCTTGAAAGAGCCGCATGCGGCTCGCGAGCCGCGGTTTGCCGACCCCTGAACTAAACCATCATATCCTTACGTTTTTGGACTAGCTGAATCCGAATCCGTTTGAAGAAGGTAGCTAATGTTCAAAGTTATTTAAAAGTCAACTTTTGTTTTTTTTAAATGATAATACAGTTTTTGTCCCCGGTTTCTGAGAGAACAATAAATTTTACGTTCAAAGACGTGGTTGAATTATTTTTTTTTTTATATTTAAGGTCAGCTGAAGGTCATATCTCAAAATTATCAGGTTGGTATTTCGTCAGGATAGCAAAATAGTCATAAGGTATATCCACTTGGTCACCTTAGATTTGTCTCAGTTTGATAAAAATCACTAGAATCGGCTCTAAAACAGTGGGACGAAGTTTTTTGTATCCATGAGATCTGGTTTTCAAGATTTTGAGGGCATAAAAATGGCTTTTTCGAGAATTTGATTTTACATACAGATGTGGCCTTATCATAAATGATTTCGCAGTGTGGATATTCCTTTTCCTTCAGTGTGGCTGTTTTCTAGCTAGAAGAATTTGGTATAACGTTTTGTATCATGGCAATTAACCTTTATGGGAGTTGTCTGACATATNTATTTTTTTATAAGGAAATGACAGCAAATGAAATAGCATTCAGTAATGAACGCAATGCCGACAGGTAACAAATTTCATTGTTACCACTGCAATTTGTTTAAGAAACATCAACGTTTTCATCACAACAGAAAGTAAAATGTTTATTCTAAATAACATGCATAAATTACTACCTACGTTTTTGGACTAACTGAATCCGAATCCGTTTGAAGAAGGTAGCTAATGTTGAAAGTTATTTGAAAGTCAACTTTTGTTTTCTTCAATGATAATACAGTTCTTGTCCCCGGTTTCTGAAAGAACGGTAAATTTTACGTTCAAAGACGTGGTTGAATTATTTTTTTTATATTTAAGGTCAGCTGAAGGTCAAATCTCAAAATTATCAGGTTGGTATTTCGTCAGGATAGCAAAATAGTCATAAGGTATATTCACTTGGTCACCTTAGATTTGTCTCAGTTTGATAAAAATCGATAGAATCGGCTCTAAAACAGTGGGACGATGATTTTTGTATCCATGAGATGTGGTTTTCATGATTTTGAGGCTATAAAAATGGCTTTTTCGAGAATTTGATCCTACATACAGATTGTGGCCTTATCATAAATAATTACGCAGTGTGGATATACCTTTTCCTTCAGTGTGGCTGTTTTCTAGCTAGAAGAATTTGATATAACGTTTTGTATCGCGGCAATGAACCTTTTTGAGAGTTGTCTGACATATCATCCCAAAATCTGCGATGTAATGGTTACATGTCTCTCTGTAATAAGTACACGTTGTACATTGTTAAAATTCTACGGCGTCGCTATATTTTTCTAGATCATAGGCATTCGGTACTTTTGTAAATACGGCATGACTAGAATTTCTGTGTTTTCGTGGACGTAATGACGTACCTATTTCAATTTTATTTTTTTTAGTGTGGCTTTATATAATCCTAAGACATGTTTCTGTGACGTAAACGAAACAACTTCTTGGAAGATCAACAGTTACAATTACGACACACCCGGGTTTTAGATTCCCGATAGATGGAAAAGATATACTGTATTCGATTTGCTCTACAATACGAAGAAGATATACTTGTTATTCCACTCACTCACGCGTTAAGGTGAAATGTAGAAATAAATTGGTAGGTAATAAAACCAACTAGTTAATAGGCTCTCCGCATCGGTCAAGTTCATGGTCTAGGCTAAAAAGTGAAAATGGGTTTTTAATTCACATAATTACTGTCATCAAGTATCACGTAATACTTTAACTAATGCTATTGTGGGAAATGTCTACTCCACGGGCAATATGCCCTGACTGGCGTTGAATTACACTCCCAATATCTAGTAAATATCTAAGATCATTCATCAGGAGAATCACCAGATATAGGTGTTTATGTCATTTCATTAAATGTCGTTGCCACTTTATTTATACTAATAAGTTCCAAACCGGTATAATATATTAGATGAAATTCTTAAAAACTTGTAGGCTACAATTTATATATTGATATCAAGAAAATTCCTTTGTCGCAAGTCCAATTATAATGCTATGGCTTATTAAGAACCACAGTAATGCATCTGACCATAATTGAAACTTCATTATGATAATAATGCAATTATTAATATGGAATTTACTACTTAATTAGTGTAATTTTGCGACTTATTACTTACAATTTATCATTATGATGTCATGTATACCTACACACTTAAAAAATTATGTTTTTGTTCATACAATTAGTACATACAGTGTTGATAGGCGGAAAATGGTATATAAAAAGAAGAACCCAGTTCTTTTTTGAAAAATAGGTATATATTATAAAATTCAAATTATATTTTTCCTAGTAAGATTTTTCTATCGTTGTTATTTTTACATGTGCCTTTTGTCAAGGTTAGAAAAGCAAGAATATGTACATACATTCCTTTGAAATATTACGTTATTTAACAGTTCCAATGTTCCAGGTGTATTCATAATTTATACCTACAGTCTTTCGTAAAAACATTGTTTGACTTTATCTAAATGTAATTTTAGAAAACAATTTTTATTTATTTGAATTAGCGAAGATTATAGGTACTATTTCTATTTCAGTTTAACTATAATACAACAATTTCTAAAGCAAGTAAAATTGCAGTTAAATATAAAACGATTGTACGAAGTTAATCTAATTATAATTTCGTACTTTGATATGGATACCGAATGAGAAAGTTATTTGATACAATTTAAAATGTCACATTTTCGACTCCGACACCAAGGCCGTTTGTTGTTTGCCATTCTAAATCAGCTTTCATATTGATCGCGATAGTAAAATTATCGGAACCGGGTACAGTTGCATCAGATTTGCAGTTTGCATCAATATGTTGTCTTACAGAAATTTTATCTAGTTTCGGTTTACCAGCATCCTAGTACTGTTTTGAATTAAACTGTATTAAAACATGTATTTTAATAATTACATAGAGGAAGTCGTGAGAAAAAATAATTTGAATAACTAGGAAGATAAGTGACATATATACTTAACTGAAAAATTCTGCTGCAACGATTTAAAAATTGTGGCGGAAAAAATCACAAAAAGGAACATTGGACTAAATTATTTTCATATATTTTGCGTATGTCCTGAAAAATCCGTGAGTTGTGATCATTAGTTCGATGTTTGCAAGACATATATAATTATAGACAAATATTTACTCATCGTAAGTGTAAAATGTAAAACAAACTGTTAAAAATGTCGTTAACATAATATTTGTCTATGTTTGTCAAATAGATCAGACTTACTTTTGCCCGTCCTAGAGGCCACAATGGAAATGATTGTTTTGGTTTTATATGACTGACGCAATGAGATTTTCATAAAATTGAACCGACAATGTCACGAACAGAAACGGTTTTATTAATCCGAAAATAATTTCAGGGATATTGTTAACTATTCTATGCAGTGATAGTGTTACGTAAAAGCCGAGGCATGGTCATATTTTTTTATAAGGAAATGACAGCAAATGAAATAGCATTCAGTAATGAACGCAATGCTGACAGGTAACAAATTTCATTGTTACCACTGCAATTTGTTTAAGAAACATCAACGTTTTCATCACAACAGAAAGTAAAATGTTTATTCTAAATAACATGCATAAATTACTACTACGTAAAATATGTCATTAATAAAATTGAAGTAAATATCAGGGTATTAAAGATTCTATAGGTGAAGGTGTAGCAATGATATTTTCTTTCAAAATCAGAAACAGTTGCAAAATAAAACGTCGTATTTGTTTTCAAAATATAACTTAATACTAAATCCATTAAAAAATGATTCGTGTTTTAGAGTAGTAGCACAAATTATAGTAATGGTTTTTCAGCGTTGAAAGATCACTAGGTCATCTTGCTACCATTGTGAAATGCTCCCAATGTACCGCGTTTTATTTTATGAATTTTCGTAATGAGAAATCGTGTAGAAATGTACTTACTCAACAGCTACAACTCGGTAACATTCAGACAGAAATTGTAAATATATATTTTGAACTTGAACGTCTCAAACTAAAATACACCTATTAACATGCTTCTACCACTGTTGTTCGATCAATACACCCTCAGTGCGCAGATGCCAAATCACCCCTTTATAGGGTGGGTTGTATAAATAAACCTATTTATACAGTTTCCACATATACATTTTACGTTGCGTGATACGTAGGTACATTAAAATTAAAGTATTATTATAACATGCTAATTGAAAAATCAGTGGCAATATTAATTTTCCCTTTGTTGTAGATGTGATGAGAAAATGTGTGACTAAATTAACCACATCCTTTCATTGTTCTCTGCGCGCTGTAAACAGTAATTCAAGCGATTATAATATTTTTATTTTCTTATTGCGTCTTTACCATAAATAACTCAACTATTTTCTTTGATAATGATAATAGTGATGTTAAAGCATTGAGCAAAAAAATGTTTGACTCGTTGATTAATGTTGGTCTTTTTTAAAATGTTTCATTATTTATGTCTTTATTTATGTCGATGTTTATGTCTATTTTTTATATTATAAACTACTATCTAATAATTATCCACTGGGAAATTAATTGTAATTATATTTGAACTGTTCCATTTGAATGCTTAAGCATTAATGGCAATCATTAGGTATGATATAATGATAATAATCCTCGTTGAATTTATTTAAAAAAATAGTTCGAAACGTTATATGACAGGTATCTACCTTTGAGCATGAAATATATTGATAACTCAAAGAATAAATATTCCCGGGACATTTACAACGTAGAATTTAAAATGAAATCTCCTCTTACGAAAAATATCCCAAAAAGCCGTCTATGAATGTAATTTGATTATTTTTAGATCGTCTAAAATATACCGGTTTATAAAAATACATTAATAAACATTATATATTTGATTATTATGCAAATATCTACATAATTTATAATAGTTATTGTGAAAAAAACACCATGTACAGATAAACAATGTATAAAATATGCTTTCACATGCCGATAAAAAATTTGAAGGCAAAAATGTAATTAAATAATGTTTTATATACAAGTAAGTACTGAGATTCAATATTATTCAACCAATCTAACAGACTAGACATGCAAAAGTTTTAACTGGTTATATAAAAACAAAGTACATATTTTGAAATTAACATTTCTAATTAAAAGAATCACGCGAATTTATTTCCCGATGCCCTTGTTTATATGTACAGGGTGTTCAGTTACCAAACGTCACCAATTAATTCTATGATAATAATTAATGGAGATTCAAATTAAAAAAAATGTAAACTATTTTCAGAAATATCTCGGAACCTTATAAAGCAATTTTATTTAAATTTAACATAGGTAGTTCTAATGCGAACCTCTTTCATCATGTAAGTACCTACTAAAATCCCGTGGCCTAATTTTCATTTTTTCAATTTAAAAATTATATTTTTCGAAAACAGGGTATTTTTCGGCAAAACTTTATTTGAAATACCCCTCATAATTTTAATTGTAGAATCTGTTACTGACATTTAGTCGATTGGTAACTGAACACATTGTATATTAAATAGTTTACCAATGTTATTGGCGATTCCATCACACTCAAGCCACCTGGTGACGAATAGTAGAATTATTACGAAACGAGTAACGTTTTGTTAACAGTTTACAGCAATAGATTATGAAGAAGTTTGTGAAATTTAGCAGAGATAACTCTCCTTGGAAATTAATTAATATACCCTTTTAGTGACGCCACATACGCCAAATAGTAGGCAACCCCGTAGTGCACATTGTCATGAAGAATTTCTCAATATTTGTACTAGATCGATTTTCAACTTTATGTACTTTGGACATAAGTGCCAAAAAAATGTCTTCTTTGTCATTATTTTAAATATCGCGAGAAATATTTAAGAAGTTCCAAACCCCAAGTAACAAACTAAAAGAATTATCCAATTTATATATTTAAATTTATAGAACAATATTGGCTTTTATAGTAATTAATAAATTAAAATTATGCCCATTAAAGATAATTTCATATAACAAGTAGCCTCGCAACAGGATATCCTTCACGAAAAGTTTGATTATGGTTAAGAGTATGTTTATAATAAACCACTTGAAGAAAAAAAACACACGATAAACACACTGGCACAGCACAACACCAAAAAAAAAACAATTAAAATAGTAGAACTAGAAAATGCCAAGATTAAACAAGTGAAGAGAAAATACGGTAATGATGATTTAAATTTATGAATATTTTTTATATCGGTTTTTGTAAGTTTTAAGTATATTAGTGTATCTATTTTACGAATTACGGGTTAGTTGTTCTTAAATATTTCTAAATACTTGTAAAAATACATTAATTTAAGTTGTTCATTTCTATAGTATCTATGTAAATATGTAGTACCTACACAAGGGTCAAATTTAGTCTGTACAATTTCAACTATGGCAATTTGTTGCGAGTTGCCTAAATAGAAAGAGACACCACAGAAGTCTTCCGTGGAGACACTAAAACAGTTTATTGGATTTTCCAGTAAACATGGAGAGAGTGCCTCCATTTGGTGCTGCCATCTCTAAACTTAACTGCTAATTAATAAAGCTGCTCCATTTAAACATATTCAGTTATGTAACCAGACATACAAGTTCAGTCATGTACTTTCCCCTTTTATTATTTGTAAAAACCAATTTATCATCTCTCATTGACCGAAGCATGATTACTCCTGTTTCAAATATTGTTATATCAAATTTAAGGAGGAAAAAAAATCAAACAAGATTTATAACTATAAAATGTATTTATTCCTTGCATATTTGTAAATTAAAATTATCTACATTGTATCAGTCGCTCCTGTTATTTTGCATTGATTTTTATCAGATAAAAATTAGGCTAAACTAATTTAACAGTGACTATCATCTACGATCCAACTTTACAATTAAATTCTTATAAAAAAATATAAAATACATATAATTTCCGTTTATCTAATTGAGCAGATAAATATTTAGATCTATGGTCCCCAAGACACATAGCTATAATATGAAGAACATTTACCGCCGTTAAAAAAATAAATATTAAATAAAATGTTACAGACATTCACACAGCCAAGAATAAAATAGAATATACAAATGTACAAGTATTTTCACAATATTCATCCCTATGGATGTACGTTATAACTATAATGTAAGTTAATTATTATATTAGACACATTAATAAGAAAGATCTAATAAAAAGTGAATTCTGAGGGATTTCTACTTTATTTATTTCGTCAAATTGTAGTTGGTGTAACTGTTTATATGTATTAATAGAACTAATACACTTTGCATTGATATTTAAGACAAAGAAAATAGATACTTGTACTCTAGTTTTTACCAAAATCGGCATATCTATTCGTTGTTTTGTATTTAACGACCTTGAAACCCTTAAAATGATACGCCCATGGAACTGCTTAGCACAATACCATGTTTTTACGTAAATATCCCTAGCGTACGGCCATTAATTTATACCTAAGAATTACGTAGGCGCTTATCCTCAAAACGAACAGAAACAGAAGCAGGGCTATCACGTCGTTACTGAACTGGTCCCCTCTCACTGCCACAATATCAAGGAACTGTTTGGGGTCCAAGTAGTGACAGTACATGACGTCTTCAGGGCACTCCAGCTTGGGCCTGTTAAGCCCGTATACGGCCCCTACTATCCCCTCCAGGCCGAACCTGAGGTACGATATGTAGCTGCCCCAGTACAAGTAGTGAGGTAGATCGCGTAAGGATACTCCGAAGCCGGCGAACATCATCATGGGCACCGATAAGGTGGGACCCAGGAATGTGCCGTTCTGAACGAGGAAAAAAAATGTTAATGCCTGTCTTATCCGTCAGGATAATTAACACTTACCACCACGTCGAAATATGCGCCTATCATCAAGCCGACACTTTGGGCGACGAAGACTACCAGCATGCTGGTTACAAAGAACATGGCGAATCGTATCATTTCAGGCGGTTGGGCCGTCATGAAGTAGATGATGATGGAAAACAAGAAGCAGCAGAGTACCTGAAAAAATGTGTAAAATTAATAAGTCAATTTAAAAAAATATATACGACATATTCGTTTTGTGTCTTATGTATCTGGACCATTCTTAATTGTAAGGACAAAAAAAATTGAAAAGCTAAATCAAATATGGAAGAAGAAAATATATCTGTACTCACCGAAATAGGAATATCCACAATAGTTACAGACGCATAATACATCTTCAAGGAGTACCACCTGTTGAAATGTTCTTTGATCAAAATTGACATTTCAGTTGGGACTGAAAACGATAAAGTTAGTTTAGATATTATTGAGGTAACGGAATCTGAGTGTTACTTACAAGTCAGAATTGTTAGCATCATTGTAGACATCATATGGTGCATTAGTATGGAAAACAGTAAATTGTAATTGTCCAAAACTTTTGAGCCGTCTATTCCCGCTCTAAAATAGAGCGTTCCCAACATCAATCCTACTGAGATATTGACACCAATTCTCAAGTAGGTCAAAGTCTGAAACATGAGAAAATTATTTGTGATAGTTTCACTCTATATATCCCACTTCTGATTTTACAAAAACTTATAGATTTACTTTAGATATTAAATGCAGTGAACTTCTAAAATATTTACCTGGTCACGTCCAGATTTAATGAAACCTCTTCTCAACAAAACCTTAAGTTGGTTATATTGTGAGGTAGCTAACAAAGCCTCTTCACTACTGTGTGTATCGCTTTCACCTGAAATTTACATTTTTATTTAATTACCACATTGTTACAAGGAAGTTCGATGATTTTTGAACATACAACTTATTTGAAATAATACAGTTCTCGGTTTTATTGTCTGCATTAGTCATAAACCATGCAGTAATTAATAAGGCATGTTTTTACATGTCTAGACAAGCACTTACACATTATTGTAATTTAATTTAGGCTGAGTGTACAGGTCAACTGGTTAACAATTTTATTACTTAGAAATTTATATTGTATTCATCTGTTTATGGTTCATTTATAAATATTGAGACGTATTTAATTGGATCGATCTAAATAACGCAACAAAAAAATCTTTTCAAAAACATAATAAAGACCTTTACATTACTGTACAACATTTGATACAGTAATTTGCGCATTGGGTATAGTTATATACCAAGTGGATGAGCAATGCGCTTATTTACCTTTGAAAAACTTTACGTTCTGGAGGTTATCGGACTCATTAAAATATGTAAGTGACCTTCCATTACCCGTAGCTTTTATCATTTCTTCAATTTTGTCATTGCCATATTCTCCACATGCTAATTCGATCACTGAAAAAAAAAAACAATTAAAATACGTTTTACATTACGCCAGGCAATTGTAATTTTAAAGACGTAATTAAGCGACCTATTAAAAAATATCACCATATATTTTTTGACATTAACATTCTCAAATTGTGCATTAAAAACCGTGCGTTTTTCGCTTATAAACAATTTGAATAACATTGTTGCTGTTTATGCTATCTCACCGAAAATAGATGCAATGGATAGTTGGCAAAAAAATATAGTTTTAAAATAAAAAAAGTACCCTCTACGACCTAGAATTTTTTTTTAAATCGTAGCGCAATTGTTTATAAATATTAAGACTTGAATTTTTCGCAAAATACAGTTTACGACGTGAACTACGATGTCCCGTGAATTGCATTGAAAAATGTGAAAAATTAACGACTCACGAGTCCTTTAAAGAGAAGGTACTCGCTAAGTAAAGCGGCCGGCGGCGTGGTGGTGGGGGAAGCTCGTCCAAGTGAGTCGAGCGCACGAGAAAAGTTAATTCCAAAGTTCAAATTGATGCGCGCTTTAAATTTTGCAATATCTCGGCTTCTATTCATCGTAGAAACTTATTTTTTTTTTATATACAGGGGTAGCTCGACGAAAAAATAACAATGGGCATATTTACGAATTCGTAGAATAGCCCTGAACCCCAGAAAAAATGCATCTTTTATAATTAATTTTTTTAATTTACAAAAATGTCACAAAAATTATTGTTAAACGAAATATTAATTAAAATTTCAATTTCGGAATTATTTTACTATTATTAAAGAAATAAATGAAGGTATCGTTCATTTAAAATCTATTTTTTTTTGCATATTAAGGCAAAGTAAACTTATTTTTTCAATATTTTGTTAGCTATTTAATTACGATTTAAATGTAAAATTAAAGTAAAAATTCGCAAATTATTTTCAAATTATTATTTATTAAAAGATTTAAAAAAGAATAAAAAGCATTTGAATTTATTGCAAAATTGTCAAAATTAAAAAATATTAATAAAAATAATGCGGTCGATAAAATTACAATTTTAACTACTTGAAATTTTAATATATAAAGTTTTTTTATTATATTTATTACTAATTTTATACAAAAAATTTTTTGCGACAATCAAAATTAATTAAAAAAATATTAATCACAACCATTTTCAATAATAGATATAATGCAATATAATACAATTTAAAATTTAAAATTTTTTAATTTCGAGAAAAATTGGAATACCTATAAGGTGGAAAAGTTGAGAAAAATATATTTACAGGAAAATAATAATTTAAAATTTAAAAAACTATTTAAACATGTTTTCTTTGTGTTTCCGATAACAAATAAGCAATTGGAAAAGAACCTTATTTTTTCAGTACATGATAGCAAATACAATAAAAACGTGTTGCGCGTAAAATAAATACTTTCATTTGTTTGTGAGATGTCGAACGAAATGTAAATATAGAAAGGGGTTAAAGTTCACGAAAAACCATTCCTTATAATTTACAACGTTCTAATGTCTTTGTCGAAATGATTAATACTTACAAACACGCTAAATCTATCACTTCCTTATCGTCGCATGTGCAAAACCCGATAAAACTAATCCCCCGACATAAAATACTAATATTATTGGAATTTCTTAATAATTGGAGGATTCCTACCGTAGTCGGCTGGGTTGTGAAATTTCGGGCAGGGAAATCCTACGTCTGTTAAGAATGGCAATAGCTTCGCCGTGCTGCCCTGGTAGAGGCAGTTTCCAGCGGCCAACACGTAGACCTGGTCGAAGAGTTGGAATAATGACGCTGACGGCTGGTGGATGGTACAGATGATTGACCTGCCTTGTCGTGCAAGTTCCTTCAAAAGTTTTACGCAAGTCGTGCACGACGAACTGTCCAGACCACTGCAAAAAGTCATATAAATAATTTTAATCTGAAGAATTACTACTTTTTTGCTTATTATATTGCCAGAATGTAAAATTATTAATTAAAACCTAAACTTTATAAAATATAACAATGTACATATATTTAAATGCGCTGTGACGTGCTGTTGACGAGAGAAAACTTTATTTTTCGTTTTATGAAGACAAGTCATTATAAAAAATGCTGCTTCTCTGCTAGATAATAACTATATTTTCCATGCTAGCTGATATGTAAACAAGGCGTAGGTACTATCATATTAAACATATAAAAAGTCTATCACTTCCTTGCACAAATTGGAAACGGATTTTGGACCATCTTTTATCAATGGAAAAAATAAATGTATTACACAGCGTTTGTTTTGCATGAAATCAGAAAATAGTGATAACGAAAGTTACATCTTATGAAAGCTGTTGTCGGAATTTTTTAGCAAAATAAAACTATATGACATATTTTTTAAAACTGTATAAGGTTTTACTTATTTTGAATATCTAACAAACGTTTTGTGTACTTACGTTGTGGGTTCGTCCAAGAACATCACCAAAGGATTGCTAATTAGTTCCAAGGCGATAGACATCCTTTTCTTTTGTCCGCCTGATAGCCCGGCAGCTTTAGTATGCTTCGATTTGTACAGTCCTAACGTGTTCAAAATCTCGTCGATCTGGTAACAGGTATAGACATGTTCAGAATTGATCAAGACTTGTTCGTAATACAACTTTTAAGGATCTACAGGTAACATTCTCCGTTTTGTATTTAACTAGTAAAAGTATAATTAATTGGTCTGGTCAAGAACGTGAATATTTCCGTCCAACAAAAATATAATTTAGAATCGGTGCCTGATTGTTAGACAACAATTTGTTTCTTTTAAAGTGGAGTTCTTCCATTAGGAGAATGTACGTAAACAATTACCTAAATTACTTTCAAGGTAATTGACTTATCTACGACAATTAATTGACCTTTAATTAGGATATAAGTAAAAATAGTATAATTAACTTTACAAAAAGTTTAGTTTACTAGAACTTGATTATGATTCATTTATTTAACAATTGTTTTAATTTACATAATTAATATTGATCTATAATCCTATCAAATTGTTAACGAATGTCGATACTTCCAGGTTTTTTCGTTATAGTGATTGTATACAATTTTAATTTTCAAATATTCAAGTGAGTGTACGTAGAATTTTAGAATAGAACAAAGCGAATCGTAATTAATCTGTTTTTAAGCGAGTTTCTTTGCAAAAATATTCGAATTATGTAAATTATTTTTGAATATTGTCAATTTTCATCGATCAACCAACGGAAACCATTATCATTTAAAGGTCAGGCAGTCACCAAACAACATCCTGCGAAAAATACGACCGCTGTCTTATCAAATCAGGAATAAATATATGGGTACTAATACGTCAGAATTTATTCAGCGTTGTCCCAGTTGGACTTATTAGCAACTGTAATAATTCAGGGGTCAAAGAGATTGATAAGTGCCACGCGTTAGAGGCAGATAAAAACATTGGCAATGCGCTTGTTACTACATGGGAATAGTTCCCATTTGAATTTATGCTCTTTTTATATCACTAAGCTTTGGTCCAAAGTTTAATAAAACATAGAAAAATGTACTGCTGTCATTCACGAAATAAATGTCGAATTGACTGATTGATCTGGTATTGTTTGTCGTACGTGATCATTTTAAAAGTAAGTAATAATTTATTTGTGCACTCGAGCTATTGTTTTAATGCTTTATCAATTCGGATTACTAACTTAATTACCAAAGGTCGAGGTGCACGAAACGTTCAAAGGATTTTGAGATAATGTTTTTTATTGAGGTACTTGTACAGTAAATTATTTATTATAAATAGATCAGTAATTTAGTGTTCTTTATCACTCGTTCAAATGAGACTTGATGGATACTAGATTGTTTCAGGAAATTATACATTTTTAGTACATAAAACTGCATACAAATTACTACTTACAATTTCATCCTTCTCCCTTTGTGTCACATCCGATGACAGTTTCAAATCAGCAGCTATGTGCATATTCTCATCCACAGTCAGCAAGGGTTGCAACCTATCGTCTTGCGTGATATAGCAAGACATTTTCCTGAACTCCTTCATGTTCCGAGGCATCCCGTTTATGTAAACCGTCCCACCTATACCACGTATTCTGTACCCGCTAAGGACGTCCAGAAGTGTGCTCTTACCAGCGCCAGAGGGACCCATGATGGCGATCAGCTGGCCAGGGGGGAACTTCCCGTTGACTTTGTGTAGAATTTCCTTCTCCTCTGAAATATGACAATACCTTTAACGAGGAACTTATTCATCGTGACCTTTGTTCTGTCTATGCTATAAGCTATAATTGAAATGTGGACAAGTCTACGTATTTTAAAGCTTTTGCTATTATAATTTGCATAGAAGATTTCCTTGACTTGATTGGTGTCATGTTCGCAAATAGGGAATTTTTTCAAGAAGAATTATAAATTCTAACACAATAAATTACTAAATGAAACTATGAATTGTAAATATATCATTAAAATAATTCCATAATTGGAAGTTTTGCCTCAAAATTATAGCTGCATAGTAGTAGATTTTATTGTATGTTTTATAGAAAGAAATATTTCTCAGGTAATACAAGATTTCTATAAATGTAAATAGAATTCCAGAAAAAAAGTTGGGTTTGAGAAAATATTTAGAGGGAAATGATTACAGTGCACATATAAAAAATGCAAAACTGTGTTTTTATGAAACAATGCGAAAGTTGTGTTAGGTTACTGCATTAAAATATATAATTGTGACGTTTATTGTGCACCCAACCAAAGTGCGGAGATCACGGTTCTTTAAAAACTGATGCCTACGTGAGGAAGCGGTTATTTTAGCAGTTGTTAATTGATGTTCGTTCAATCGAACTGTCTTTTTCTTTGAACACAATTATGCCTGTACCCTGCGTAAATATTTACAATTTTAAAAGAACGAGCGTTGAAATTTGCCTAATGGAATAATTGTTTATGATTTAGGAGTCATTGTATTTGAGTACCTAATGTTATTATTTCTCTTGATCTTGAGTATCATAATTTTTTAACCTATAGATAGATCTTGGTAACCGTATTACGAGAATGGAAAGAATGAAATAAGAATAATAAAATCCTATTAAACACCATTTCTAGTAGTGATCTAAGCTGGTGGTAAAAAGTTGTTCTGCCGTTATTCATTCATACCATAGAACAGTAAATCTACAAGGAGTGTAGTTACAAAGAGAATGCAAAAGCCATATTTATTTAACTTGTTTAAGATTTTGATAACATACGAGTATAAACATATTTTATTTGCAAGTAAATTCTACTGACCCACTTATTCCTCTTACAATCTTACAAATCTCAAGTTTACATAAGAGCTTATGACCTTAAATATTATTACGACATTGGCACTGATTGCAACGTATTATTAATTCAACAAAAATTTCGAGTAATATGTTTATGATATGGGTATGTATTCAACATAGTCGGTTTTGCATTATATCGTGCCAGGAACGTAGAAGCTCAAGTTTGCCTTTTAAAATTCAATAAAAATTTGTCATGAACTGAGACTAATGTTGCCTTAGGAAATAATTATATGAAATTATGCCGTTCTTCAATTTATAAACTATTTGTTTCTTCTTGACAAATGTACAAAGACGGTAGAAGAACCTTAGTCTCATTCTTACTCTCATTGAATTCTTTGTGTGTTCTACACAGACATAGAACAAACATTTGTTTTACTAGTCAGATCTTTTGATTAACACTATTATTCCAGTAAACGTTACATGCACGCATGCACGTCAAATTCCAAAAAATTGCAATTCTTTATAATTTATTTGCAATTCACCTTATTAAGCATTTTTGTACAGCTTAAGAAGACAACTGCGAAACTAACCATAAAACTTGGTATATGCGCATAAATATATTTCCTTTTAGAAAGTAGTTAACTAAGCAATTATTTATTTTATCATTACTTCACTGTTCCATGCTAAAAACACATTTTGTAGGTACTCGAAACATTCCAGTTGTGCGTAACAAACATAGTACAAGGATTTCTACTTGTCTGTTTCTTAGAAAGTACAGCACAATACTTTATTGCAAATAAGAATTTCAAATACAAAATTAAACGGTTTGAGATAATAAATATTGTTTTAACCGTTAGTTGCTTACTGATTAATTCCCACGAGAGGGTCTCACTAATCTCATCATCATGCTTTTGATTAATTATAGCCTTTTGTTTAATTTGGATTGACATATATTACGGGACAACAAAGACGATTGTCAATGTTATTACAAGTGGTTTATTTGCATTGGGATAAATCGGTTGGTCTCCTAATGAGCTTGAGTAATTCCTTTTGTTAGCTTTCACACAAAAATTGTAATGAAGTTGAACAAACTGATAAAAACGCGTCTAGTTTTTATCTTCAAATTAATTGACTTGGAAAGAAATTTATTTAAAGATTCCGGAAGAACAGAAATCATAATCAATGTCGAAATGCAACTGACAACCTTGAAATTCTGAAAACAATGAAGGTGTTGAGTAATTATCAAGTTTTTTATTTTTTGTTTTTATATAGCGTTTGTAGGTCAATACCTATAGATTACAAAGCAAATGTAGACATTTAAAAATCAATGATGACATTAAAACTTCTTTTTCTTAAGTAAACAGTATTTAAATGGAAAAAAATTACAAAAATATAGCCTTATTAAGGTTAATTTTTACATTTCATTTCAAATATAAAAACAAAAATGCATTCGCACCTACTGAGAGTAACCTTGGAAAAGCAAAATATAGACTGGTAGTTATACAGGGTGATTCACAAACGGTGACCAAAAATGAAACCTCGTATTCTTTGGTGAATTTTAAGGGGTTTTTTAAGTTTTACTCGAAAATCCGGCTTTTTTCCAAAAACATAAGAGAGTAGTAATTTATAGAAAATTGAAAGACGAATCCGAAAATATCATGGTAGTTACCGTCAAGCAGTGGCGTACTAATTTATTTAGAAAAATATGCCACCAATACCCTGTATCTCCATCACTGGAGCATGTACATTTTAGGAAAATCCCTCAGGTTTTGGACAATGATTACGTAAATACATGTACCCAATTTCAAATTATTTCATTTACTAGTTTTTAAATTATTTAAAAAAAAATAAAATATTTAAGTTTATCCCTATATCTTTTTAACGAATCATCCTAGACAAGAACTTTATATGAAAGATTCCGCTTCAAACTCACCAAAGAATACGAGGTTTTGGTCACCGTTTGTGAATCACCCTGTATAACATTAACTTAGTATTAAAAATTGTACAAGACAGGATATAAAATTATTATTTGTTATTTATTTATTTAGGTACCTGACAAACCCAAATAAATAGATAAAAAATTAAAACTGCCAGCAATAAGTTACTTCGGACGATGAGATTAAATATTTAATAATGATTTAATTATTTTCCTAAGAATAATTTGTCAAATTAGCGACTGCGTTGAGGAATTTTTTTTAAATAAGAAATAAAGAATATCTTGAACTTTGGATTATTCAACATGACGTCAAACTGGCTAGGAAAATACTGATTATTAAATTACAATATTTTTTATACACACCAACAGTTCAAATCATTTAGTTTGTAAGATCTACGACTTAAATTAAAGATGTTACCTCATAGATTTTATACTTGATGGGAAGGGGCTTTTCCCAAGTAATATTATTTATCTTAATTCCATAAAACTAGGCATTTTATTATTATTGACAATATGTTTGCAGATAATAATAATTTATTGTAATTATCTGATACACGAATGTTCTGAATTTGGCATCTTATCAAATTTAAAGCAGGTGTAAAGATTATTAGAACAATATGTATTTTTTCTTATTATGTAATTTAATGCATTATTCGAACAGGTATGCTCTGTGAATTGTGGATTTAACAGAATAATGAACGAACCCTTGATATCGTTTTATGACGAATTCTCCTCTATCTATGTAGGTATAATAGTGCAATTTTTTTCGTTTACAGTATTTCTATGGCCACATGTGAATCATGGTAATTATTTAAATCTTACGATTGGAACACATTTCAAAACTTAGTAGTACTGTAAATATATTGTATGCAAATTCAGAGAATGGATAAAAAATGGTTGGCATAAAAACTAGTATTAATGTACTAGAATAATAATTAAATTCATTATTTTTTTGTCGCGCTTTTGAAGATAGTTAAAGAATGCCGTATTAATGAGGTACCTATTTTGGTTTGAATAATGGGATTGTAATTATTTTTTCATATTGAAATTCTATTCTCTTCCTCAAAATAAAAAAATGTAGCTTTGGGAGGGCCCAGAGAAAGAAAAGTAGGATTCAAAACATGGGTTAAAATTAAAAAAAAATACAAATACGCGCAGATTCTTTGTTGCTAAATATTGTTGTAATATAACATACCTACTCATTGTTCTCGTCAAAATTTTATTTCTATATCGTTTTTTATAGTGACAAATGTACTAGATTAATTATAAGAACGTCTCTCTTACTCTTTTTCCTAAACAACCCTCCCTCGGTGGCGGTAAAGGTGACATTTTCGAACTGCATGTCGATGGGGGTCTTCTGCGGCAACATCCTGAACGTCGCGTCCGCCGTACCGTTCCCATTGCTGTAACAGAGTTTTTCTTTGTTCTTCAGCGCGTCACTTTCTCTCGCACTGTCGTCGCGCTTCGCACCCGCAGAATGCCCGATGGTGCTCTCGAGTATGACTGCCTCCATGTCCAGCGTTTGGAAGTTCGCACCGTTCTAAGTTCTCATCGGTCTCTCAAACGAGTCTACCGACTATCGTATTGTGTACTGAGTTTGTTTATCTTGGTTTGGTCATTATATAGAGTGTGTGTATACTGATTGGACCGCGATTAAAGTTCACGCTTACATTGTTCATAATTTATTTATAATTGAATAAGATTTTTGTTGGTATCGACGGTATTTTCGTAAGAGGGTTATCTGAAGCAGTTGGGGGTCACTACCTTGAGATATTTCGAAATTTGGGGTACCTTACTCAATAACAAACAAAAATCAAAGTAAACTGAAGCAACTTTAGAGCGATGTTCATTCATCACATTCAATACATTTCATTTATTGCCGTACCTTTGGACTGAGTGGTTTTAATTATAATTTTTTTTTATTGATTACCGTCTGGATGTAATTACACGTAAATGATTGAATAAAATATTTGCAACATTAACTAATGGTTGTATTATAATTAATTATTCCTACTATATTGTTTGTCAACTTCAATTTAGTATACTTTCCATTCTTTCCAATTCCATTGTTCCGGTGAAATACAGGGTGTTTCTTAAATATGATATCAAATTGGAACAGCATGCCAGAACACTTGAGTAAATCACCCTATTACTGTTTTATAAAGAATTTTACCATATTTTAAAAACACTTTGTATAAATATGAAGTAAAACAAATCTCAAATTTTTAAACAATTTATTTCTCTTGTATCTGAATCGTCTTTAAGTATGTAATTACATGATCACATGTATTAAAAGACATGAGACAATAAATAAGAATGCTAGGCAGTTGCAGCAATGGATCTGCTTCTCAATAAAAATTGACGGTATCAAATTGAGTCTAATAAAATAGAACTACAAGAGGATTTGCTGTTTATGTTACTTGCATTACTACCTACAGGAAGTGTACCAGAGTTATGGCGGATATGCAGCGTTAAACTATATGACAATTAATAGTATTTTAAACAACGGCTTGTTAAAAGTCGTACGTGCGTTTATTTTTTGTAACGTTACTATTTCAATATACATTGTAATACCATTCAACTGATGTACTATTTTTTAATAGTTACCATCAGCATTGCATAAAAATACTCAAATTAACTATTTATATTATCAGTATATGTAAAACATTACAAGGTAATATAGGTATTTGACAATACGTGTTTAGATAAGTACAAGACAATTCAATATTTTGTATTTCAAAAAAGGTTAGTGCAAAGTATAGCTTTTATTTACCTATATACATAGAAATTTTTAAAAACAGTAAGTACTCAATTTTAAACTACACCAAAACGAAATAAACTGTACTTGTTTCTTGATGTGCTTATTAACTATTTTTTTTTCTATCCATCTGTTTGATCACTTTGCAGAGTAATGATGGAATTTAATTATGTTTATTTTAGGTCCTTCTGAAGATCTTGTGATGATTTATTATTATTAATTACATCAACGACAATAATATGATTAGATTGCCGTTTTATGTATTAGTACAAATTTATCAACAGCGCAATTTATTACCGAAAGTATTTGGTAATTATGTAATTTAAGGTCAAATCAAGTACAAAGTAATGCAATTTTTATTAAACACAAGACTGTCATGAGTTGTGGTAAGTTAGGAACATTGTAGAAATAACACATTTTACGTTTTCGTTGAATTCGTATTTTCGAAAATGATGATTCGAGTCTTTAGGTGTCAGCAGAAAATGTATTTAGATCTATTCTGAAAATGATGATAAAAGGTTAAAAGGTATCAATAAGAGAATGTTACTTAATTTTAATTATTCTATTAATAGGCATATGTCTAGGAGAAAGATATATGTTTAAACTTTTAATCAAATCACTGATGGAGTGAAAGAAACTAAAAATGAAATTAATTTATTACTTGGTAATACGACATTTTTTATAATCGGCAACACCCCACGCAGATATAACCCTGAAATTGTAAACGGGAAATGGCAACAAAGACAGTTTTAAATCTCAGATCCGATCATACATAATTAATTTTTTGGTTGCAGTGGATGAAATTTTCATCTAATTTTTCAAAGGTATAGAAAGAAGTTTTTTATATTTACAGTATCTAATACTAATAACAATATGTCTGTAAATAATATTTATGCTTTTAAAAATAATTTTTGTTTAATTAATCGGTATATCTTCATTTGGTCTGGACTTGAAATCACAAAACATTTCGGAGTATGAGTTTTGGAATTGCGAATTCTTATAATAATAATTATTGCATCTTCGTCTTCTACATCATCGATCGTTATCTTTAGTAGCTCATCTCTTCTCAAAGCTCCACAAACACCAATTATTAAAACGACCTGAAAAATTGTCTAAAATCAGTTAATTTGATCGATTTATTTTTATTCTTGTAAAAATCTCTCAATTTCCTCTTTCCTTAGAATTCTGTACTTTTTGGGACGATATCCAATTAGTTTTTGGAAATTTTCTGATATTTACATTTTTTTGGCATTTACTGTATTTTTAAACATGGAATATACTGACCATAACGTCGAAGGTTTAATTTTATCTATTTTATGTTCGAAAAATGACAATAATACCGATTCGGACATTTTGAATTTTCTTCGAACTACCCTTTAAATTCGTTGTAGGCAATCTCGTACTGTCTTGCCGATTTTTTGGGAATTAATTATGAAACAGCACTTTGTGCCGCTTCCAATACTTCACCTGGCAAATGCTCATTTATACTTTCCGAGCTCATTTCGAATTAAACCCTCTTAGAATATGAATTACAGTATATAGTTCCGATACCCCTTTTTCAAACAAATAATTTTTATTGTTTATTAGGTTGCCAGCACTATGGTTACCCACTGTCTTGATTCAAACCATTTCAAATACAAATTAAATTCCCTTCTTGAACGCAGAAGTACCATTTCGCGTTTTAGATACAAAAATAACTGCATATTTATGACACTTTTGTAACGATCACGTGAAAGAGTATTACAATGATTCAGAGCACATAGATATGAACATCTGGCTCAATTTTCCTAAGAAATCATAACCGTATCAGTGCACAAATGGTAAGTAATTATGTTATGTAGTCATAATCGATAACATTTTACGTATAGCGGTGCTTTTAGCAAAAGATACGGCTGACCTTCTGTCACTGGTACTAATTGTCAAGATATTATGTTTCATTTAAGATCGTCGCTTTACTAAAATGACAAAAAAGAGTCAGTGTTGTATAAAACCATTTATTATAAGTCATACATTTTGAATAATTTTACTAAATATTTATATACATTGATCATTAAGAGTTATTAGATGTACCTTAAGGCAAAACAGTATTACAACGAAAATATAATTTTGCATTACGTTTATTTTTTTCGTCGTTTATTGCAAAAATATTACTATATTTACAAAAATAATTTTATAAATATCAACAATCAAGCATGGTAGTTAGGCGAACATCGTAAACATTTACATTAAATTATTCTTAATAACATATACTGGCCATGCAAAAATTGTGAGTAAATACGGTTATGTTACAAGTGATATCTTGAATATAAATGTTTTTATGTTGCCTCTTACTTAAACATATTCTCACTTAAAAATACAGGCAGTAGCGAGTCATTCGAAAGAAGAAATACTTGCATGTATTTAATACAGTAATAATATAGGTACAACTGGAAAAAATAAACGAAACGGTAATAATTATTATCAATGCAAATATTTAATCTTTGGTTTTATCCCTACAAGTTTGCTTTAAGGTACACGATGCTGAGGAATTATTCATAATTTTTGGAACACTATTACTCACAGATTCAGTCTTATTAAAACTAATCATATCACACAGAACTTTTGGCCACGTCGGCCGCTTAACAATTTACATTCGCTTGTTCCCTTATTCAAATTCAACGATCTTTACAAAATCTTCGACGATTAAAAATAATTGCTGCTTTGTCTAAACAGTTTTGATGTTTGGACGTGTTTTAATATGAATACAAAGTCCAATAAACACAACGTTACGTCAATAAAAAATGATGTCACATATTAAGCAGCGATTAACTGTACAACAAAGTAATAATAATCACAAGATTTAATTTCGTACGAATCTATATAAAAATATACTTTTAAGAGGCAGATTTTGCAATGGAAATGGAAAAGTATTGGAAGATATAATACTTTCACATCATGAAAATGTAACAGATACTTATATAAACACGTTAACTGCTAAATCACAAGTTGAGATCGTTCAATTGATGTTGGGTATGAGCATTTCGCATGATTTTCCGTGAAACAGAACTTGATGCACTGTTTTTGATACTTTTTACCTTTCCTTTAGTGTCGTTCTTTCTTGGATTAATGGGGACAAAAGACAAATAGTAAGTACTTAGTGCAATGCGAATTTCCCTTTCCATTTCTCAATCCACTATGTACTCTTTGAAACTAACACGACAAATACTACCGGAATTTATAAAATGTGCTACAAATTTTTGTTCACATAAACAAAACAAAATAATACAGTGAAAAATAGTGTATTTACGTAGTATTCCATAACTCCTTTTATACAGAAATTGGATTGTTTCAAGTTTGATTGCATTTTTAAAAGAAGTAACACGGGAGTTGTGGAATATGCCGCGCCAGAAGTTTTTGATAACGGCTCCATATTGAATTTGCACCCAGTAGAATATGTTTAAAGCATCATGCAAAGGTACGATTTTAAAATTGTTATCAATAACAATGCGTTTAAAAGTACTTAACAGCAATACGGTCCGTTCAAAAACATCTGCATCTGCGTAGGTAATAGCCCCGAATACACTTTTCTTAGAACATATATGGAAGAGACGTGGAAACACATTAAAAAAATTGACTGGACATGCACAAAATAGATTAAGATGAAATCTAAAACAACAAAAACTACGATAACTAATACTTTGATCTCTTCGACTAATCAGAATTAGTCGACATCCGTTTGTCATGTGGTTGTCGTGTCTGTGTCGGACTCTGCACTTCGTGTGCGGAAGTATTTGATCAGGTACTCTATGGTCCAGGCAAGACAGCACAGCATTATAAAGAAAGTCTGGGAGTGGAGGCAGATCGGGAAACTTTTGGTTGAATCACGGATTTGCCCTAAAAAAAAAAGAGTTACTAGCGTCTTTCTCTTAAGATACTTCGTGGTACTTACCCAATATCGGGCCGAAGATCACAACGAACAGCCCTTTGCCTACCATGTGCAGTCCGAAAGCGGCGGGCAGTTTTTCCAAAGAGGAATATTCGGAAATAGTAATTGTAAAATTGATGAGGGCTGCGCCTCTGAAGAACCCGCAAATAAACAACCAAACCATTATCATGGTCCATTCTGTCTGTTCTGCCAATACTGGAAGAAATAGAGATATAAATAAGTCCGGGAAGAGTAGCTGAAGGTGACTCTGTGCGAAAATCAAAAAAGGAAAACATAAAATTTGGTCCAAAAGCAAAAAATCATATATAGAACTCCTGCAATTCTCAAATGAAAAGGTATAAAAAGAAATAAATAATTATGCTTCAAATTTATTTTTAAAGCTTACTTTTCTATGTTTTTGTGGTTACCTATTCAATGGCTCCTTCGGCTGCCAACAAAAAGTCATAAAAACATTAGAATATATCAGTTCATGGTAAAGCAAAATGTATAATAAATTGATAAAACTGAAATTAAAATAAATAATAAGGCCGATATTCACCACCAATTTTGAGGTTACCAGTGGACTGTCTTAGGAATAATGTACGTGTATTAGTGTTTGTTCAAATAAAAATAATAAAAAAGCAATGATATGGAAAGAACTGAATAGTGAGCGGATACTCGATCTAAAGTATGAAATATACCAGTCAAATTGTCGAAAATACCTTGTTTTTTTGCCAAAATTTAGTTCACTAAACAAAGACATGTAAAAATTAAGAAAAATCCCTAGAATTTAATAAACTACCTACTTTACCCCAGGTCGTGTTCATTTTCAAAATTGCGTCCAAAGTTCACAAAAAACATTTTAGAAAAAAATGTTTTAGACAAAAGTTGCAGAATTATTTATAATAAAAATTTTGAGCCCAGCCCGATATCAATTGATAAAATGTATTAGTTATTGCAAAAAAACGGCTAAACATCGCATTTTTTAAAAACTTTTATATCTTTAAAACGAAAAAAGATTTTTTCACGAAATTTTCAGAATATGTAGTTCTTGGCAAGTAGAATAAGAGCATTTTTGTAAAATTGCTAAATATTTGACAGTTTTTGCAAAAATTGAGTTTTTCGAAAAGACAATTTTTTCAAGCTTCAATAGATCATACAGTAATGCACTTACGTGACCCTTCTTGGGCTTAAAATTTTTCTAAAAGTTGTACTTTCCTGTTGAAATTGTGCACCTATTGCAAAATAATTGGAAACATGCGAAAAATCTACCGAAACTTTGACTTCTTTTTTTGGGTCGAAAAATGTAGATTTTTTTTATCGTTGAAATTAATCGGATTGGCATTATTGCCATTTGATAGCTGATATTTTTTCATGAATTTAAAAATAAATGTCCTACGACCAACAGGAGCCGAGAAGAATTTTGATGCGCGTTGTGGGGGGAAATAGACTGCATGCATTAGAATAAAAAAGTATAAGTAAATCAAAGTCGGTGATAAATATCGGACTGGGTATGTATATTTAAAAAAAAAAACTTGTATATTAAGCATGTAATTAATTCATAAGTTGATTAAAGTGAAAAAATAACAATAAAGTGACAAATTCCTTTTTATAGACTTTCTCGTTATGACCGCTGCGGTAGATAAACGAATTATAAAGGTTTATATTAGTCAGTGGCATGCTTTAATGCAAGAGAAACTTATTTTAGAACGTTAAAAATTCATTACAGCATTACATACTTAATGTACACCACAGAAAAATAAAGTTTCCAAATGATATGAAAAACAGGGAAATTAAAAATAAGAAATCGCTGACTGCTTCCTAAAATTCCTAAATAAATGATTACTAAAATAGATGAAGAGAGGGGATTTTATTGAATTAACATTCTGCCCTTAGAAATTTTACCAATATTTCTTTAGAAGAAAGAAATGAATGTCTTCCTTTACAACTATCACGGATAAGGGAGCATTAATGACTTTTTTGTAAAAATTCATATAAAGGCAGTATCAAGATTTGTTTTAAGTACGATCTTTATTCACATAAGAGTTTTAGTTTAATAACTAGATTTTGCATGCCAATATAAGTACAAACTAAGTAAGTTCAAAATTTTTGAAATTATCGATCCATTACGGTTAACAATACAAGAACAGGTAGTAAATCTTACATTTTAAAAATATGTGAGTACAAAGCTCCAAAATAAGAAACGACTCGAGGATTTTGCAAATTTTGCCCGACGAATTATCCCATTCCTCCATGTCGTAGCGAAATATAAAAAGATAGTTACCTGATCGACAAATACCCAAAACAAAAATTCCTGTCATGAACAGTGTCCTCTTGGAGATCGTGAGTCGGTCGCAAATGGGCGGCAGGATCAACCTGGCCAATATATCGGTAAGGGCTTGGACGGATAAGAACAGAGCAACGTCGCTCTTGTCGTAACCGATATCCTGGAAGAAGAACGGGGTGACCATCTTAAAGTTCTGCTCCGCCACGTAGAATATGGACAGTCCGAACACCAGGTTGAGGTATATCGGGTCTTTGAGGAGGTCAAAGTCCATGAAGACGACGATTTTCTGCCACGTACTCTTCTTCGGCGTCTGTTTGACCGGCGTCGTGTGCGTCTGTTGTAAAAATTTGTGTTGGGGAGATATCTGGACACCTGGATAACTCATGTTCCTCCTTAGTTGCCGACAAGATCCGTACGTGGTAGTTTCCTCGGACTGTGTGCCCTAATCGCAAAAAAATAAATAAAAATAAATAAGATACTTTCTTTATCTAACTGCTTACGTCGAACTGCAGCTGAATGCTGGACCCGGTGAAATCAAGCCTGGATATGTTAGATATGGAGTCAATAGAAGTCTTCCTCTTCCGGTTACCGGTAAAACTCATCGTGGAAAAGTTTCTCGGGAATGTCGACTTCCTGGTCAGACCAGGTTTGGTGAGTTCCTCCAAAGTTTTGATTCCAAGTTCGGAAATGATTTTATTGTTGATTAACGTTTGCCCTTCGGCCAATTCGGCATCTTCGTCTTCGGTTTCTTTGATAGTTTCCATTTCCTTAATAGAAAAACGTTTAAATTTATTGTAATATGAATTGTGTTGACATGGAAAAATGTGCAATATGAAGCTAGACAGATACTTATTATTATCAACTGTAAGCCAGGTAATAAAGCACTGCATTAACGGAATCAGTCTTGTTTTTCGTGCTATACTCGTACATTGTTAGGACTTTTTATTATTATTTAAGTTTAGATTAAATAGTAACAAATAACTAAATCCAAAAAATCTGATAATGTAAAATAATTTATTAGTTTTTTTGTCATCATCAATGTAGTTACAAAAATAAGATTACTTTATCTCAGTAGGAATATTTAAAATAGTAATCATATCGGTTTTATCGTATTATATTAATCGAAATGTACAATGTATGTGATATATTTTTGTTCATCCAGTCCATTTTGTCTAAAATTTTACCTAATCTTAACATTACAGCGTTTGTTTGGGTTTTGTTAGATATTCTGTCAATTGGTGTATTCATGCCAATATGCGTTTTTTATTATGATAGTAATTGTTGAATGACGTAAAACGTATTTGGTGAATGGATGCTTGCGATTGTATTAAATTCTCGAATTACTCTTACGCGTATAATCAGTAATTTTAAGTATTTTCTACAAATGAACCCTATATGTAACATTGCGAGAAAAATTCAATATAAGTTGAATACATTTAAAATGTTTAAAAAATCAAATTTCATTTCTAACAAACGTTCGATAGCAGCTATTTTTTGTAAATTGAATTGACCATGCACTTCATCAAATCCTAAGTCTAAGTGACTTAGAACGTGAATAAAACTAAACAGGCTAATTTAAAACATGCAAAAAACGTCGTTCGCCTAATTCTAAAAGATTTACCTCGCTTGAAGCAAAGAAGAAGTGTATTCCCTGCGGCAATAAATAATTAGAAAAGAAATTAACGAATGCATCGGTTACTGTATCAATAAATCGAATTTTAAATTCAATTAATGATAATGGAAGTGTAATATTATAATATTATTGTATCCTAAATTAGTAAACATGACTGATGATGAGTGTCATGGAAATGTGTTTTTAATGATTTTTTAACCATGTAGGTATTTATTTTAAACTCATTTGATTTGCAAGGTGTTTATAACAGGGCGTCCGGAAGTTTCTAGCCAAGCTTTACGTAGCTATAGAACATCTCAAAGAAAAAAAAAGTTCATATAAACATAGGTCGTAGAAAAAATCACATTTATTTAAATACATATGTCTTAAAATGTCCAAGTTTCATAAATTTCAATTAAACTTTTAAGAGATACTTAAATATTTTCTAAATTTCAACAGTCTGTATCTAAAAATCTAGGTGTTCTACCATCAGGAAAAGTTGGGAGTGTACAATTCGTGACGCCTTGTATATTCAACACAAAACTACATTTACATAAAAAAAATTGCAAGGAAATAGTGGATATGGCAGGTGCCTACATATCCAAAATGCAATTATAGCAAGTGCATTACTAGATAAACATACCTACAACACACAACGAAGACCAAAATAGGACACTGACAACAAATTTTATTAACATTTAAGCGTACTTTGTCTGAATACCTCAACCTACATGGTGTTTGATTTTATAAAAAATGATCGTTAGATATAATTGCTTTTAAATTGAATGGAAAATGTACCCGTAGTTCAAAGACACCATGTAAATATTATTTTCTAAACAGAAAAGTTATAGGCACTTATGCTACTAATTCTTCTTTGTTGAGGCCGATTCTAATAAATCGTATAAGTAATTTAAAAAATATACAGCAATTTAACCTATGAAATCAAATACAGTAACAAAAGGTGCATGAACTTTTTATCTAGAACTGTTTTCCATCTTCATTTCCACATTTAATATAAAATCTGTACAGAACCAAATTATTAAGATATCATGATAAGAGTATATGATCTTTATTTTTACATATAGATAATCATTGTGCTTTTACACCTGTAATAGTAGTAAAAGCCATATGACCATACGATACCAACTTACCTGATGGTATCCCCCTTCTTCTTCATCTTTAGCTTCTGGGACGAAATGCCACTTGGCGGGTTGCAATAAAGTCGACCCCACTATTCCATTCAAGGCGAAAGCCCCCAGGATAAGTATGGCACCGCGAAAATTGTAGCTGTCCAAGAGGAACTTCACCGCTTGAGGCATCAGCATCATACCGAAAGCGGTGCCGGCCAGAGAAAACCCTACGGCTTGTCCGCGACGTTTCACAAAGTAGTTATTTAAAGCTACAAAGGTCGACGAAGCCGTCAGACCAACTCCTAAACCTGCAAAAGAAGGTAGATCGATTGCAGGCACCGCAATGTTGACAGAAACATTTCCAGAAGAAATTTTAAAAGGTGAAAACAGATGTGCAAAATTGATTTAGTAAGTAATTTCTTTAAATTTGCCCCAGATGGAAGGCCCCTTGGTTGGTTTCAGGTTAATTTTGCACAGTTCTATTCGATTCTTGTCTTAAAATGCAGATTTTTCTTGGCGTGTTGCCACTTTACTTACCATTAATAATACTGTAAGTACAAAGTAAGTGCGCCATAGTGCTGGCAGGATAGGTGAGAATCAGTCCAAGACCGCACAGAGCTGATCCAATTAGAGATACTTTGCGATAAGAGAAGGCACGGATGAGCGGTCCGACGAATAGTCCTGAGAAGTTGATCAGAGCGTCCAGGGTACTCATGATGATGGCCGCGCCTGTCGTCTCGATGCCCATCTCCTTCAGCAGGTCGCCGAAGAGCAGGCCGAACGATGGTTCGATCGACCTGGTGCATAACTAAAACGGCACAATCAAAAACACAATGTTATAAATGTTAGTAAATTATTCTAAGCTACATTGGGTGTACATTGCCAGAAGAAGCTATAAAAATTTTACGTACTCTGTTAATAATCAATAAAAACAATCATCCCAAAATAGTAATGTGTAATATATTAGTTTATGTGTTTTATGTATGTACAGAGGTTTTCCCATAATTATGTTTGTCAACCGCTTTCAAATACTTACATTGACAAGGCTGACGCCGATGACGACAATCCACCCCCATCCGCCATCTGGTGGTACCAATTTCTTTTGTTCGATAAACATGTTACCGGTCTACCTGCAACAACATAATTCCCCATAATTCTTAAGCCCAACAACTGGTTAATTAGTAAAACAGGAAGTAACAGGTACACAAAACGTTTTCATCAACAGTATGCGAAATTCTTTAGGAAAGCGACGACTAAAGTATTCAGGAGAACAATCTGTAGAACTATGTAGAATTTATAATGTTTTACTGTTTTAATTTTTCCACTCTCGTTTCTGATCTTTTAATTAAACTTTTTATAAAGTTGCCTTTAGTTCAAACGAACATTCCATCTTAGCAAAGCAAATACCTACCACATTTTTCTTGCACTTTGAAATCAAAAACCAAGTTATGCATTTGGTGTGTTCCCTCTTTTGCTTAATTTTGAGACGGATTTTTTTAAATAATTCTAATACACAACGGACAAGCGCTAAGAGTGACTAATGTGAGGTTTATTACTTTGTATCACTTGTAAATATTCTTCTACTCATTCTGCGAACATATCTATTAATTTCACAGAGAAGAGCATAAAATAACCAAAAAAAAATTCACAACTTTTGTTACACGAGTTTTTTTCCTAAAAATAGTAATCGAATCTTTGTACACACTTACAGTGAATGAATTTTTCACGACATATCAGTCATGATCAGTAAATGCCGACTTATAATATGCAGTAAGCAGACTGACACAAAAAGATAGGCGATAACATGAATTATGATATGTTTACTACACCGCTTGGATAAATGATACATGTGTGGTTGTCTACATTTTGCAACAATAATAAAAAATAACACCATTGGTAGATATCAAGGAAACAATAGTTACAGGGGCGTAATTTTAAAAATTACAAGAACCAACGTGGATAACAAGATTCTTTACTTTAAAGGATTCAGGCTTCGAAAAGAAAAGTTCATTTTATCGAGAAACTGCTATCATACCTAAAATTGTTTCTAAATTTAGTATGTACGTTATTCCTGTAATTTAATTGAGACCAACTCTTTTGTCATGCTTTCTGATTTCATAAACATTTAATATATTTTTTTTTCTACTATGTCCATACAAATATTGTTCATAGACAATAATGACCAAATAAATTACCTTCTCGCTCGCTATTTAGTACCTAAACAAAAAGAAAAATTCATATATCCCGTCCCTGACTTGATAAATAGATAATCTAAAAATAATTTTATCGTATTTATTAATTTTGATTATTACACGAGGCGAACTTGAAAAACCTTGACACCTGGAGTTATTTGTCGTACCGAGAATTTTGTATTAGCATTTAATAAAACGATGCGTCATATAAAATGACAAAAAATGTAAATAGCTTTCACCAACAATTAAGAGTCGGAGTCGGAAAAAAACAAACGTACCAATTTCTGTACTTTAGATTCATCACAGCGCAATCATACACAACTTTTTTAAATAAAATGCCTAACAGTTTCCAAAATTAGCGTCTTTCTGTGTGATGATGTTATGCAAAGAAAAAAGAATGGTGCAACAAGGTTTTTTTCCCACAATTTTATATTGATTCCAAACTGAATAAAGCGTGAAAATAACAATACTTTACCTTGATTAACTTTAAAGCGCGAAATGTCGATCTGCATCTATAAAGGAAAATTTGTCATTGATTTACAATGTTTATAACACTTTGAGGTCAGCTGGACTATGGAAGTTTACAATTTATAATAAATTAACCATTTTTTTTTCTTTAAGCTTATTACCGAAATAGATTCATTGGATCAGTTCTGCTTGTTAAACAGAATCTCGATGAAATTATTGAAAATTATATTGGTAACTAGTTAGCTACTATAAAAAGTTCGTAGACCTAAAAAGCTAAGATTCTACAGAAGCATACTTACCAATTTCAACTTAAGCTGAAGGAGAAAAACAGAAAAAGAAATTTATTTTATAATACTTTATCATGTGAATTGCACTGATTAATTTTACGAGATAATTGTTCCAAATAAAAATTAATAATAGCATTACGTTTTACAGTTTCTGTTGTTACCTGTCCTTCATAATTAGCAGGAAAATGTCAAAAATTTCCAAGAAAACTAATCAATTCTAGGTCAGGCACAAAATGGCATATTAAAACCCATTCCTGGGCCTTTTGTAGCTACTTTACATTGAATTTACGTAAAATTCCAAAAGAAAACCGAGACGATTGGGATAAGAACCGCAATTTCTACGGGAATTTTCCCAACAAAGGTCAAATTCGCGATCAGTGCCGTCCCCCATCACTAACCCCAAATGGAGGATCTGCCTGAAACCAGGTCAGGCCATAGCGAGAGCCGTGGCCGACGACGGACCGCTACGCAACACTACGCTTTGCCGGAAGAGCAAGCATAGTACATGGCTGGTCAAAAGAACAAAAATCTTTTAAAATAAAGGTACATGATACGTACACATTTCACGTGTAGCACTGACCGTCGCTTCGACAACTCTAACGTCGGTTCTTGACGCATGTGATTCAGTGCGGCCGGTCTGGAGATTCCATCATCGATCCCACGGGCGAAAGGCGGTCACGTGATGTTCACGCGCACGCCATGTGCTCCTTCCAGCTGATTATCGAGGAATTTCGGCCGCGACAATAGCCGTAAAGGAACCAGGGGATCACCTTTGCGGTGCATTGTCTCTTTCGGTGTTGCAGCAGACAATGTACCTTTTATTGGAGGCGGGTTTCAGAGTCAGGTACAGGGCGAGCGGTGGTACCGCTAAAACAGATAAAATACACACGCGTGATGAAGGAGATACACTGAATATTGGAAAATATCCCTGGAAAACTGAGGCTTAGAGCAAGAACGAGAATACAGATGTCAAAAAATTGAGTTTTATCTTCGTCAAAGACGAACTTGACGAGAATACCATAAAATCAGATTTGTAGCACGTTAAAAACAATAGTATTTCATTAAAGAAGTAGTATAGAAATAAAAAATATCGAATCGAAGTCTCTAGTGACTTTTTTCGGGATGATAAATTTCTCCGTGCCTCCAAAGTAAATATAATCCTGTTCCTTCCCAACATCAATCCCAATTTATTCAGCACACATAGCCAAAATTTGCATTTCAGATACGAACTCACAAAAACATTTAACAGTTCAATGATCGATAATAGCAAATAAACGCTATCCCGTCACCGCGGAGAAGATGAATAATGAATGTTTGGAAATAGACTTGGGAGGCTGTTTTTTTTCTAATAGCGTTTTGCAGATTTAACTAAACAAGTTAGTGTATTCTTTACACCGTGTAATAAGAGCATACGGTAGTCCAAGTGCATTTTCTGCAGTTTGAACCCGTCGAAAAAGACTGTCGAGTTCAACCACCCAGGGAATCAAGTAAAACGTTTTTCTATAGCCTGAAACCATTTATCATGACGGCACTTTTGAAATGAATAATGGATGCTCCCAAATCGGTCTATTTTGTGGGGAGGTTGAATTATTTAATAACATTTTATTACGCCTTTCTTTTCGATAGCTTTGATCCATGAAATATTCGATGCTGTTCTTTTTAGTGGGCTAAAATTTCAGCCTTTACTTCAAAGACCCTAGAAGCGACGTCTGGAATTATGTTGATAAACTACACGTGTTAATGAGAATTTGCGACTAGAATTAATTCGGTGTACGCGTGAGGACAATTTTGTTGAGTTAATTTTCATATACTTACAAATTAACAATAATTTTGCGAACTACGGCCATGGTCCCACATTAATAAAAAGTATTTTTATGAATGCTACGTATTTACATATACAGAAAAAATAATATTCGTTCTCGTTTCCCGTGGAACATTCCGGAATTTACTATTAAACTAGGTGGAACTTGTTGGATGAGGCCAGGCTGCGAGCTTGAAATCGATCAATAATACAGTGAATTCGGTGCTTAAATGCACATTTCGTGGAATCTGCGAACACGGCGCAGACTGTGATTCAATCAGTTCAGCTGAATTTGCTGATAAATATCAAGAAAGTATCAATAATTTTTTTTACAAGAAAAAAATTACAGTGTTGCACTAATTATTGAAAAATATTTCCTTCACCACCACCACCTATGTAGCGTCGTATTACCACGTTCGTAACACATTGGACATTCTGAGAAAGGAATAATTACAAATCATTGGGGCATATCGATACCAGGAACCAGAACTCTTAATAGAATTAACTTAATCAACTTAAAAATAGCGCGAGTAGTAGATAATTCCGTGCTTAGGGCCAATTTATTATTTTTGTTGATTTATAAACTTAATGTTATTTACGATGAAAGCTGCTTATGAATATTTTGAATGAAAATAACTTGTAAAACATGCTTAATTGATTAGCCCAGGAAATAATTTATTCTTCGCATTGACGGTAATAGCATTTTAATGTAGATTCATTGAGAGTTTTATTTTCTGTGCGAAATTAAATGATTACTTTATTCAGTTGCTTTTAATACAAATTTCTTATAGCATCATAGCCTTTTTCTTTGAAATATTTCCGCTACTTGATTTTACTAAACACTTTGATTCCCTTTACCGTCCTGTCCTTTGTGTTCCAAAATATTTAAGAACTACTTTTATACGTATTATAGATAAGTAGATAACATATCTACAAGTTTTATAATAGCATAAAAGGATCGAAGTTTAATTAATCAATAAAGCAGAGATTGTATCGTCGATTAATTAATAGTGTTACATTATAATTATTAATTTTAAATAAAATGTATTAAAATATTAATAATATAGTCGGTGTAGAAATATTGCATTTTATTAGGCGCCTATATGAAAATAAAAGTTTTGCATATTCTGCTAGCACCAGAACAAATTAGGTTACGTAATTAATATGTGATACTGATACTAGGGATATTAAGTGCCAAATGGTTGATACAAATCAAATCATTACTAGATACTACTTTGAAATAAGATCAATTATTGTAGGCCTCGTTATGAGAATTGTTATAACGCATTTTTCAACATATACTTGCTTACAAATGTCATTTTCGATACTTCAGAAGTATTTGTTTTGATTGTATATCTATTCATCTTTACATACTCTGCCGTAGATAACCTACTCTCCATTTGGCTTATCATAGACAGCTACCACTTCTGCGATGGCTGTATTGATACCTATTAATTACTTCATAACAGAAACTGTTACGGAGTCTTTCAATCAAGGTTTCTTATAACTTAAAATTTCAATTTAACGACTGCTTTCAACAACAATTGCGAAAAATAATCATTTCAGTAAAAAATTTTTACAACTACGACAATGATAACCTCGAGTGCCATTTTTTATGGATTCACGTAACTTTTCATATCAACTTCTTAAAAGTTTAAATTGCCATTGAGGATATGAACTGTCCCTGTTGAACATACAGTATGCAATAAGATGAAATAAAATTCTTGTTGTAGTTATAGAACGGTCGGTTTTTGTCAAATTCATTTCCTACTTGGTCCGTTCATTATATATGTACAGTACTTCCCTTTGTACTGACTCTTTGTAAATTTAAATACACACCCTATTCGGAACAACCTTTCAAGACTAATAGATTTTCAATAGACCGGTAGAGAGACTGATAAATTATTTTCGTCCTTTCATTTTTTTTGTATTAAAATTTAAAGGTTATTACCTTCCATTATGTATATTAATGTTTTTAGTAAACAATGAAATGGATAACCAAAACGGAAACTTGGTAAAGTCTATAAACAGTTTACATAACAACAGAAAACTTTCATGCTTTAGGAAGAAATTGTTTTTAAATACAAGTTAATTGACGAAATTCTTGCCATACTGAAATTTATACAACCTGTACTTATTACGGGTATAAATTAAAGTATTTATATCAAGTAATTATTATTTTTAAATTGTAAATATGTGCTATTAAAGGATTTAGTTATTATTAAAAAGAAATCACTTCAAATTATTACTTTGAAATATTTTATCTCTTTATCTTTCGTTGGTGGACTAAATCTCAATCAATAGCGATGACTGCCAAGTTCTATAAAATCTACGAACATTTTGTCAGGAACGCGAAGTAAATACATTTGCAAATAGATTCAAATTTCATGCTGCATGGTAATTAGTTAATAAATGCCGAAAGAAATTTTTGCAATGTTGCTTAATACAAATTTTTTCTTGTATGTATTAGTCAATATATTCTACATTGGATATAAGTGACCTTAATTTATAAATAATTTTAGTTCTTACTTGATATAACTTTATTCAAAAAACTAAAAGAAAATGACCTACTTATATTAAACAGTCTTAATAGAGATGAATTATACAAGAATTTTTAATTTTCAATAAACAGTTATTAAATAAAATTAGTTGTAAAACATCACTTCTGACTATTTCTGTTTTGGTCATTCTATAATTTTAACTAAAATTTGCTCTGCTCTACAGAATTCAGACACTATAATACAATTATTAATATTTCTCGGAATTAATATATTGCTTTTACTTACTTTTTCCTAATCTTGACGAATTAGAAATAATTTTTAAGTATAAATCGCAACTTCACTGGCTGCATTGTTTAGCCCAGAACACTCCGTGGTACCGGTCGTAAACGGCAACACAGCAGACAGTACTGATATGACACTTAGTTCGCACATTTTCAGTTTCAATCAAGTTTCGAACTGCGTGGGGGAGAATAAACAATACAGAATACAGAATTAATATGTGATAGAAAATAAGGAAAAAAATAGACCAATGTAACCTCGAAACCTTTACAAAATGAATAAAGCGGTGACTATATTACATTATTATTGAAAAGATACTTTAATTTAGTGATATAGAATTGGATATTTTGTAATGATCAGACCAAAATGAAACCAGACGATGAATGAACTAAAAATGTTCTAAATGTTTTAATGTTCTAAATGTTAAATGTGTTAAATGTTCTATGTTTTAAAATGTTTATAAAACGAACAAAAACGGAACATAAGTTAAAAAAGTGGTTAATTATTTGAAAATCAAATTTTCCAAGACTGATAACTGATAAAGTTAGTTATTAGTTAGTTATTAGTCGTGATTTGTGAATCGCCAAAGGCAAAATACTAATAAAAGCCGTAGAAATCGATTAAACCTAAAACAGAAACCCTTGTATTTTCAAAAACCAAACAAATCCGTTTTGTAGATACTCTGAAAATTGTATAGAAATCATTTAAAAGAAACTAAGGCTTGAAAAGGGAACTGACTGTAGTATTAGATACTTGGTAACAGCTGACAAAATGAAGAATATTTAAATAAAAGTCGGCTATCGATTAGATTATCCGTATGTGTACCGATTGGTATGATGTAAGATTGTGTCATCGAATACTGTATCTCCCAATTAAATACACATTATGTCAAATCACGCGCGCGGAAGCCGCTTGTTAAATTGTAAAAAATATATAGTTACCGTCCAGTTGTCACATTTTGAAAGAGATCTAGACGGGTCAGATTAATTATTAGTAACGGAACACATGACTAAAGATCATGAGACGATAATCACGGGTTATATGTGTGAATGTGTAACCTTGAGGCAGAAAATATTGCAAGAAAAACTGATGTCTACTTAATATAGAAATATTTTATTATTGTCTATACATTATCTACATTACGTAGGTACCTACAGTAAAATTAAAGAATTATCATTTTTGTTAGACTTAAAAGTAATAACACATAATTGAATGCCATAACTTCAGCGCCGGATTAACCAGGGGCTAGCGGGGGCTGTAGCCCCGGGCCCCACAGGCTCCGGGGGCCCCACATGCTAGTGGAAAAATTTAAAAAAAGACTAATGAACGGTAATAAAAATACTTAATGACAATTTCTAATGCTATTTTTTACCTGAACAAATCATTTTCATTGGAAATGTATGTATGTTGTATTACATATAAAATGTAATATTAAGAAAATAGCATACTAAATTAATTAATTTAAAAGGACATTTGCTTCTTCATAAAGGAAGTTTAAGAGGGCCCCTTCCCTTCAAGCCCCAGGCCCCACCGAGGCTTAATCCGGCGCTGCATAACTGGAAATAACCTAACCTAATCTAAAATATCGATTACACCTTTACGTTTTCATTATTTTTATACGGGTTACAATAGAATGTTGAGTGAACAGAAAATTTGGCACAATCGAAGTCAACAAAACAACATTTCATAATGTAGGAAATTGACACAATTAAAATGTTAGATAGATTATCAGACTACCAAATTATCCTCGGCGGTGTCTCAATAATTGACACACATTTGGTTACTTCTGATAAGAGTGTAGTTGGTAGTAGTGACATTTAATTTCCAAGATTTAATTCTCTCGTTTTTCAAATTGAAATATTTATACATAAATGAAACAATTTTAATATAGTATGATTTATCAATGTACATAAAAAACTATTAAATTCTTGATTTGTAAATATTTTTGTAACAAACAATAAAATAATAATTATTGTATTTATATACATAAACTGGTTCGTGCTGATGATTGATGAAACTTCCTTTATAACTGCACACCCAATATTTTTATGCAACCAGATATGCAACGTTTAATATTTCTAATTGTATTTTTTAATTAGCTGTGCAAAATACTAATTTTGACTATAATATTCCTATTTTTTCGTCATAGTCTTTGAAAATTCTAAACAGGACATCCTAGCGGATCACAAACTTTATTAATTCAGCTTGCTTCAGAAAATGTATAAATAGTCTGGCGTATTTTTTATAAAATTTTAATTATCTTTGCAAAGCAAATTTCATTTAATAATCGACAAAAAAAACTTTATTACCCATTTGGTTTTTGTTTCGTGACATACGGAACCACTAACACATAATTACAAGGACTTCAGTAGAAAAGGTGGAATCACATGACATACTTCCTAAAAGCAATATCACTTGCATATATAGCATCTTGATGTATTTATTTACTTGTCATATGTCATGTTTTTCGTGTTGTTTACTTGCGTTGAGCCTCAGTTACCAACAATTCTTAAGTATTTTATATTTTTTCAGGTACTTTAATGTTACCTTGACATAATTTACAAGCAAGAACTTTGTTATTTACGGTTAGATGTAACATCAGTGTATTCAGTGATTAAAAACATACATCTGTTATGTGCTTTAAATAGGGTAATAACCGTTTTACTTTATTTCCGGATGTACGTTTGAAAATAACAACAATAAACAATATTTGACAAACAAATATTTTATACACTTTTTCCCTTAATTTGTATGTACCTATGCTTTTTATCTTACAATAGTGTCTTAAGTGTTTAAATTACTGTAACTAATTATTAGTCAGCTCTACTTTTAAATGTAGTAATTAAGTGATTATTTCATTGTTTCTACAATTTTTTTACGGTAAACCTTAGCGAATTTGAGAACTAGACTATATTATTTGCATTTAGCCATGACATTTATTTACTTTAAATTAAATATAATGTTCACAGAGTAATTCAGAATTATCGTTATCAGTAGGTACTAGAGATAGGCACTTATTGTTATAACTAGCTTATGCTTTTACTATTTCAAAGTTTGGCTAAATTTATTTGAAGAGGTGTCATATTAGAAATTTTTAATAAAACATCTAACAGTAAAAATGTTATGTAAGTTAAAGAAATTTAAAATTAATTTTGTTAGTTGTTAAAGCACATGTTGATTATAAGTAATTCAATTTAAATAACAACCAGTGACTCGAAGAGTAATTTAATTAATTTAGTTTAGAGTTTGTTTTCAACTCAAAGTAGTATACTTTATAAATATCTATAAATCTACAAAAAATTTGAGAAAAAAGTCAAATTGTTTCATTGTAATGAACTGTACTTATTGTTTTCTTAAATTACTATTCATAATAATTTCAGTAAAAATTGATAACAATTTTTTATAGCGTACGCAGTAAAATATAACAGCGATTGTTAAGTCTCTTTGTTTTATTCACATTTCTATATATTTTTTGTGATAAGATAACATTATATTGTTGATTTAAACATAAGTTTTCAGCATACAATTAATGTGCAAAAACGGTGCAAATTAAGTCAGTAACCCTGTACGCTTTATAGAAGACTATGTGCCTGAGAAAGCAAAATGAGTAAACCACAAGAAAGGGAAGAGTTTGTGCCCCCAGATGGTGGATATGGATGGGTCGTTGTTTTCGCGAATATATTAATAAATGTAAGTTCCAAAAGTAAGTATAATCCTACAGAATCTCGGTGAAATGTTGCGCTTTTATTGTCACTGTTATTATTGCTTTAGTCTTCGTTACTGACACTGGTCCAGTGCTTTGGAATTATCTACAAAGATGAATTTTCTTCGATGGGTATAACAGCAGCTGAGACTTCATTCCTGCTCCACCTCCACAGTTCTCTTTACTGTTCCTTTGGTAAGTATAATACTGCCACGAAAGGGTAGTGTTAACAATTAATTGTTATTTAAGGTTTTTTCGGCAGCCCGTTATTGAAAACATATGGATTCAGGGTTGTTGCTTTTGCTGGGGCTTCTCTGATGATCTTCGGCATTTTCCTGAGCAGTTTTGCTAACTCGTACGGATTTCTGATATTGTCAATATCTATTTTAATAGGTAAAATCATTAAATTACTTAAAATTTAATATTTTTATGAATTATAGACTTTTTTTAGGCTTGGGTCAAGGTATACTGATGCCAGCAACTTACCTTGCCACTTACACATACTTCAAGAAAAGACTGACGGTAGCCATAAGCCTATCCGCTACTGGTGCTAGCTTATTTCTCATATTTATGCCAAAAGTTTGTGATATTTTACTGACTCATGTAAGGCGCAAGTACACCGTACTGATATTATTCACAATTTCTCTGTTGTCTCTCGTTGGTTGTTATCTGTTGAAAACCCTAAACACAGGGAGTAATGAGTCGGACAAGAGCGTGGAACTACTGAATAAAAATAATGGGAAGCTCGAAGAAAACGCAAACGTGAAAGTAAGTAAATGATATTCCTCCATTCTTATCTGTATTTAATATTTTTAGGAAGAGGAAAACAAACTGATGCCAAACTCCAATCCTGTGTACAGGGACACCACGATTCCTGCTAAAAAGGAAGAGTCGATAGCCCAAAAAATTTATAGTTTGTTCGATTTGGAGCTGCTAAAGCAAACGTCTTACGTCTTGGTGGTTATCGGGCTCGGGATTTCCTTTGCAGCGGAACTAAACGTAATTTTGATGATGCAGTTCGTTTTACCTGAACTGTCAGGCTTCCTGAGGTCCGATGTGGCTTTCGTTACGTCTGTCCAGTATACTACCGACATCATCGGTAGGTTGGCTATACCCCTGGTCTCTCATTACTTTGAAGTTGCGCCGAAGATTATGTACGGTGGAGCTCTGGTTGCAGCAACGGTCGCTAGAACTGGTAAGTTTTATGTTTGAGATTGATATAAATATATCGACTACTTATTTGCTGTATATTACTTTTTACGCTTCTTGATTATTTTGAAAAATATTTTAATTTGCGACAAATTTCAATAAGTACTAAAATATCAAAAAAATTACACTTATCTCTGTACAATAAATAATTTTTGCATAAAAATTTAATAAAAAAAATAGTACATTTTTCACTAAAAAATTAAACAAATTTTATTTTGCTGTGTGTTGACCTATTATAATCACTTTTTAGTAATAAAAAAGTATGTTATACATATACAGGGTGTTTCAATTAAAATTTTCCATCTGGAAAATATCGGAATTAAAAAAAACAAAAAACCTGAAACATGTCGATTTTCTTTTCAAGGGGGATATGTGATGGCACAAGCTACCTTTTAGGCAGGGGCATAAAATACCCTTAAACTTTAAGTGGCACCCTATGATGAGTGACACCTCATTTTAAAGCGCACAACGATATACAACCCTTTGGTTTGGATATGACAATAAAATCATCACTTAAAGAATAACATAAAATATTCAACAAATCGACATCAGGTTTTTTTTTTGTTTTTTTTAGCTCCAATATTTTTCTGGATGGGAAGTTTTAATTGGAACACCCTGTATGTACAATCTCTGGAAATCTGAATAGCTGACAGCAAGCTGCCTGCCGATACGCAGCAGGCTGTGATGTGAGTGAACAGGTTTATAGTTAACGAATTATAATGTAGTTTTAGCCCTGTGTGGGAAATCTGGGACGACAGTGTACATGTGCTGTGCATTGCTTGGTCTGACGAAAGGAGCCAGAGCTGTTTTTCAGTCGGTCATCATTCCGAAATACGTTCCCCTGGAGAAACTGCCAGCCGCTAACGGTTTGAATATGCTCTTTACGGGAGTTGTGTCTTTGATGGTTGGACCAATAATAGGTACCGAAATAATATATTTAGAAGGTTTACTTATCTGACTTTTATAATTTGCCTCGAATCTTGATTTGTTTGAAAGTCCACAGTAAATATATTGGTTTCGACGAATTAGCGAGTAGTTGAACGAAAATATCTTATTATTATAATTTAAACGAAAATATGTTAAATATAAATGTTTTATGGAGGTGAAAAGTTGCAGTTGCATGAAAATATGAACTTATTAATTTTAAAAATCATCTTAGACTAAGAAAGGCAAATTAAATTGGAAATTATTGTTTAATGTTACTTATTTGTGGCTAAGTTTGAATTTTTATTAATATTTGTCAATAGGGTGGATTAGAAAATAATATACATGGTGATTCACAACTTATCCAAAAAAATTTGAGAATAGATGCGGCATGAGAAAGGGAGTCCATATCGTAAAAAAAATTTTTTGCAAAATTCTTAGTTTCCAAGGAAAAAATTATTGAAGTTGTAGTACTTTCAACCATTACATAGCTGGACAACTGTAGTCTCTAGCATCGTTTGCCCCTAGGCCTCAGCGACACCGAATACTGAAATCCGATTTTAGAGTCATCGTTGCGATAGTGTTTACATTAGTTTTTTAAGTGTCAAAAATGGCTTGCATGTATAGCACTTCAGAGTTGATGGATATTGTTTTAATTTATGGTGAAGTAAGAAAACATTTGTATTAAGGTGAGGCATATATTTGTGTTATGTGTAACAAGACAGTATTTGTGTTAGTTCGTAGAAATTGAGTAATATGGACCCAAATATGTTTACACATCGGTAGACAAAATTTTATTATTTAAAATCACAAATTCATTTTATTAATTAATAATAACAATAGCGGCAAAATCAATTGAATTTGATGATATAAAATAGGTGCTATAAAATTCTATTTATTCCTTTTCTTGCGAAAATTTTTCAACTTTTTGTTCGTTTTTATCACTGCCGCCATGACGGTCACAGATTTTGTGATGGACCAGTTTCCCGTGCCGTGCAGAAGTGTATTTTTAAATCATTTACGAACTGCACTTTTTTATTTTTTTCGTTACAAAATTGTATTTGTGAGAGTCCCCTGTATATCCAGAATTTTGGATAAGTTCTGAATCACCCTGTATATAACAACTGAAGCATTTTATTTGATAGAATTTCAACGATGAATTTAAAAACTTTCTATTCAGCACAATAGTAATAGCAATTTTATTTTCAGGGGCTATTCACGATGCAACAAACTCCTACGTCCCTGCCTTGCACACGGCTTCGGCATTGTCGTGCATTTGCGTTATTTTATGGGTCTCTGAATTCGTTTTTTCTAAATGTAAAACTGTCCCCCATGATGGTTAGATTGTATTGTTTCTTCAAAATGTTGTTTTCGTTGTTATCGTATTTACAGCTCTATACGAAGATGCATATTTTTGTAGATATGTACCGACTGAATTTTTTTGTAAAGATACAGAATGATAAATACGCAATAATTTTCATAAATAAAATTGTTACATTTATTTCGATTTTTTCAATGATTTATTTCAATTTCCTTTAGTCCCTGAAAATAATCTGAATACACTAAAATATATAAAAATATATTTGTTACTATTCTTCTGATAATGCAATACATTTCAATAGTACTTATAGAACAATCGAACAGTAAAAAAAACAAAAACGGTAACTTCTAAGACATTATGTCAAAAGGACACTTCAAAAAAACCAGATGAAAATGAATAGAAAATTTATTAGATTTCCCATTCGCGAAAGTGGGATCAGTTTGTAGGCAACCTCCTACATATTTTAGCAACCTTGGTTTCTGACTGTTGTGCGAACAAACATATGAGGCTTGATGAGTATGCAACTCTTAATGCGTCTCCGGTAAAAAAGGCTGCTAAATTCGAAGCACTCCGCTACTTTTATTGCAAATCTCTACCGGAAGATGTCTCTGACAGTAAATAAAATTCAAATCGATTTTTATACACATTCCTTAGGAACCATATCAATCATTCGCGTCGATATTAATATTCTTCTTTATTGTAACCAAGTTTTGAAGGAACAAGCAGCCCTCGGTTCATCTTAAAATTATTTATGTGTAAAGTCAGAATGTTGTAACGAGCGTTCAAATAAAAACGTGGTCGAAGTTGGCTCTGACACATTAGACGTAGGGCGTAGCTTATAGCGACCAACTTAACCTCATTTCTCAACGAGCTGTATAGCAGCTGTCAGTTTCAATAACGTTAATGACTATATAACTTTATTTTAAAGAATAATCGTGATAACAATAACAAACAATTAAAGGAGCTGCGGAAAGTGTCCCCCTCCTTGTTATAACAATAAATTAAAGCAGCTGCTGAAAGTGTCCCCCTCCTTGTTCCAAGCACTTTTCACACCTGTTCCTCAAAGAATTAAAGACATTTTCTAAGA